AAATTGCACTTTGATATAGCGCTTCTTTCATAAGTTATTTCAGATTTAGGGTAACAACTATTTTTCTAACGTTCATTGAATTGTGAATACGCCATCAAGAAAGCTCGAGAAACTCATGAAAAGTCATGTAGTGAGATTAGCACGCCTGAAAACCTTGCCATACAAATTTGATTTTGTTTTTAAATTGTTTCATCAAAAGGCCTATTTCACAGTGACGCTGTATGCTGGAGATTCATACCGTAATCCTACAGTAAAAGGGTGATTGTTGATTCGCTCCACACAGCAAATCTTAGTTGAACGTCGGTCTACAGAATGGCACCTTAAGCTCGGCAAAAGACATGAAAGCAGGAGAGCGATTAACGATCAAACAGTGTGCACATCTTTTTGGGACACCCTGTATATTAGGTTAGTCCGAAAGTTTGTGCCGTTTTTTATACCCATGCTCAAACCACTTAGAATAATGACAGACAAATGTTATCAATAGTGTTCGATGCAGAATTTTTTCCTCTTTCTAATGGTCATGCTCCTGTTCAGATTCCCTTGATATCTGCTCAATAATCGTCAGAATCTCCAACCCATGGTTTTTACTCATCCTGAGTTCGGCTTTTTTGAATTTTCAATTTTGACGTCCAAACCAGCTTTGATAACAGTTGGAAGAAAAATGCAATATGATACTTTTTTTGGTATCTCTAGTTGGCTTTCCAAAATTTCTGAAAATATTTTCTGATGCTATCAAACTCCATTTTGGGCATCCCAATCCTCGCAGAACAATAAAGAGCAAGGTGTCATTAGATGCAGCTTTTTCTCCTCTTTCAAAGGCCTTTTTTCTTCCTGACTTGTGTAGTCTTATATATAAAGCTGAATGTGTGTCTGTATGTCTGTCTACGTATGTGCGGAATAGAAATTTTTATTTCTGAACCTATTTGGACCAAACTTGGCACACATATACATCGGGGAGGGGAGCGTGTCACAGGCAGCTTTTCGTTATCGACCGATATATTTTATCGATTTTTATAGATTTTTTTGCAGTTCACCTACAGGGCTGGGAGTTGGCACACGGGGGTAAGTGAGCATGCTGATTACGAAAACAATATTAGTTTTTGGTATTACCTATTACTTTTATCGATTTTATCAATTTTTTGCAAAGTTTGAGCTGAAAGGCTGGAAGTTGGCACAAGGGGGTAAGTGGGCATGGCGATTCCGAATACAATATTAGTTTTCAGAATTATCAATTACTTTTATCAATTTTATCGATTTTTTCAAAGTCTGAGCTACAGGGCTGGGAGTTGGCACAGGGGGGGGGGGGTAAGTGAGCATGCTGATTACGAAAACAATATTAGTTTTTGGTATTACCTATTACTTTTATCGATTTCAAAATTTGAGCTGGAAGGCTGGAAGTTAGCACAAGAGTGGGCATGCTGATTTCGAAAACAACACAGGGAACAGGGAATGAAGTATAGAAGTGGGCACAGGGAAAGGCTGTACAGGGATAGGACCTTTATTACAGTGTTTTGACAGGGCCGAGCGGAGCCGGGTAAGCAAGCTAGTATGTAAGGGTAAAACCATTATAATTCTTGTTTCCGGACTCTCCAAAGGCTGCGTTCAGAAAATTCGGAATACAATTTTCGCGCCGCTAAACGCTCAGTTGCTTCTCATAATCAGCATTATGTGATGAGCTTTTTTTTGAAAGCTTCAAAATCCATAGGATTATTAGTGTTTAAAGCGGTTGCGTCAGGGGCCGGCACGAGTCGGTTTCTAGGGCTTCTGAAAACGAAGTCTCCCCTACTCTCGGAAGTTTTACGAAGTTCGCTTTGACCTACCTGCTTAGGAGAAGATGAAAACAATAAAGATTTACTAGTCTGAAAGAAAGGACGTGAGATAAGACCACGCATGCACAAGAGTTTGGCATTAGAGCGCGATATTTAATAAAGCGAAAAGAAATGAAGGCAAAAAACAAAGGAAAGGCAATGATATGAAAATGTTTTCATGCTCAGGGATAGATTTTTGACCGGAAAATCCGTCCATGCTAAAGAGATCCAAAACTTACGTGAAATGACGAAAATATATCGATAGATCGTCTCCAGACGGCCACCAGACGATCTCAGATCGTCTGGTGGCCGTCTGGAGACGATCTAATTTTGGAAAAGGTATTACTTCACATAAGTTTTCAAATCTTTTTACATGATCCTTTCGCAAATAATTTTCTATACATACAGTTCAATTTTGGTGCCATATGCTTCAGTGTGCGCTGTAAACAAGCAATTTTTTTTTATTTAAACCTTGCTTTCGAATCGCGCGCATTTTTCGCCATGCACGATAGAGCATGTCAATTGTGTAAAAACCTGTCCGAAAAGCTTGTGTTCGAGCAAATGGCGCTTATTCTTAGTGCTCGGTTCCGACTCGTCAAAAACGATATCCCCTTTGCTGTTTGCTTCAAAAACGATGTCCAGCCTGCTTCCAGACGATCTGTGCCGGGCTCTGGGTTGCGTATTTCACGACTTCGCAGTAATTGCTTTTGGAAAATATTGCTGAGAAATACTGAAAAGCTATTCGAAAAAGCCAAAACAGTTCATTCTACTGCATTTTTCTATTTCTATCCAACTGTTATCAAAGCTGGTCCAAAAGTTAAAAACGGAAATTTCAAAAAATAGCTAAACTCAGGATGAGTAAAAACCGTGGGCTGGAGACTTTTGCGATTATTTGAGCGGACACCGAAGGAATCTGAACAAAAACATAACCTTTAGAAAGAAGAAGAAATTTTGCATTGAATACTGCTTAGAGCATTCTTTCATTATTCTAAGTGGTTAGCATGGGTCTAAGAAACGGCATGAACTTTCGGATCGACCTAATATAAGATGAACTTGTCGAACGCCGATATACCTAGCGTGATTAACATCGCACGCCTTGATTGACATCGCACAATAGAGTTCTTTGATGTCACCTCTTTTTATACTGATGTTCATTAACATCAAGTTCTACAATACCGGAGTCGTTGGTCAACGCCATGTTTAGTCTTACAAAGTGAGAATGATTCTAACGAACTGAAATGTGAACTGCAACATCTTTGAATGGTCTAGAATCGCTATTTCTAAAATCGCCTTAGCCATGGGACAAAGATTAACACCGGTATTCAGAAACGAGTGGTAGGACGAATGCCATGTATTAATGCAAAATCGCCGATTGTCGGCTAATAACTGCAGCACAGTCCGAAATGGACAAGATTTTATATTGAACTAGTTGGCAAACCCGGCTCCGCCCGGCCCTGTCAATAACATATTTGTAATCAGCATGCTCGAATACCCCCCTGTGCCAACTCCCAGCCCCGTAGCTCAAATTTTGCAAAAAATTGATAAAATCGATATCGATCGATAACGAAAAGTAGCCTGTGACACGCTCCCTGCCCCGTAGTGTATCTGTGCCAAGTTTGGTCCAAATCGGTTCAGAAATAAAAATTTCTATTCCGCACATACGTACAGACATACAGACAGACATACAGACAGACATTCAGCTTTAATAAGATCAAATCGTAATACATCATATTTACCCGCAACAATCAGGGAACGAATGAATGCCATTTTCTGACATGCATATTGCTTGAGTATCACAAGAGCAGCGAAGTATAATCATAAACTATAAGTACACCGATATACGTTAAAGGGGGTATTTGAAAAGAAACATCTTCAAAAAAAACTGCAAAGGTGTGCTCTAGAGAAGGTGAATGCCAAGCGAAATTATTAGCTGTAAACATCGCACGTTTAAGGTTATTCATTGCATCATCCGCGGTCAGTGCAGCGGCAGAGACAGACATCTATTGTATGTTATGTTTAGATGAGATAAAATTAACTCTGCTCCCCGTCAATACTCATCTCGAGCGCAGCTAGAGAATGAAATCTTGGTAAGCGTTTCAAAGGAGGATCTCAAAAAGCGGCTCTTTGAAAACAGGCTTTACAACCGAGAGTGCATTGATATCGGATCACTGCGTAATATGTGCCCGGATGGAAGAAGGTGACTGTGCGACAGCGGTGTTGTCTATGAAATTGAATGTCTCAGCTGCAGTGTTTTGTAGATTGGCGAAACTGAAGAGTAGTAAGCGTTGGCATGAAAGAGCACGTGGCAGAGTGAAAGACGTTAAAGTTTGCTAACATCGCTTGGTAGGCACAAAAATGAAGCACATATTGCGAATGATTTTGAAATTGTATGTACGAAAAAGTTGCAACGATACCAAGTGGAAGTTCATTATACATTCTGTAATTTTTGGAGCAAGAGATATCGTTTCCAAGCCTTACGCCTCGCACCCGATGTTCTGGAATAAAGTTTCTTACGTTAGATCTATGCTAATAACGTAAGTATGAGGACGAGTCGCGTAATGGTATGAGGCGTCGCCATGACCAGATCGGACCCAAGTTCGGTCTCGCCCTTGGGCTGATCAAGCCACCCTCCGGGGCCGGTAGATTGGTATCAGAGTAATCTGAGAACAATAAAAGCACTGATTTGGTAATCGGTATGCCCGCGCAAGCCACTGTAATAGTCTGCACGCGTTCAGTACCTTCTTTGACTAGAAGTATAGTGCTTTCGGCACATGCCTGCAGGGAGTATTGATGACGCCGAGTCCTTTATCCTTTGTTAACGTAAGCTAACACAAGATGAGCGACATTTTCGCCTTTATCTCCCCTATCCATGTTCCAAAAAAAGTATTTCTGCAATTCAAATAACCGCCTACTAACACAGTTCTTAATGTATTTATTCACATGCGAGAAAGCTCTCCTGAAGAACAGGTTTCATTCTAACAACACTCAATTATTCAATACTTTCTTTTTTCTCAACATTTTCAACTTGGCGTGAAGAATTAACGGTTTCTCTCATCGGGTGTTCACATATTTACTGCACAATTTCAACTTCTTGTAGAAATTTGTGGTGAGCATATTTTCGTTCATATGTTCCGACCACGATCGTCCCGTTTGCAATAAAATTTTTCTGAAAGATTATGAGAACCCAAATTCAGGAATGACAATCCTCCTCATCTATGTAGTCGCTATGGGATTTGTCATTTCTCAACAAGAAATTGGCCGACCGTTGATGAGGTTATCACGAGCACCAAGCGACGAACACACAAGTATGTTTTTTCATGTCAATGCTTCAATTGTGCTTCTTAACCCCATGAATCCAGAAAATCGAGAATGGACCAGACTAGCTATACGACGGTTGTGGCAAGAACGAAAAAAGATGTCGCACACCCCACTGTTCAAATTCAATGTAAGAGTTTTTTAAATCTTACTTGAAGTCTCACCTACTTCTTGCAGTACGTCGGCCAGCCGGATGTAGATATTGTATTCAAAAACGAATCCGCCTCACGATCAGGTTCCCTGAAGCATCGATACACTTGGGGACTCATGATGTGGGCACTTGTCGAAGGATATGTGAAAAATGGTGAGAACTTTTGACTGTGATATTTATTCATTTTACATGTTCATTTTCATATGTACAATTGGTGTTAGAAAAGTTGTTTCGGGCTAGATAAAAAAAGTTTGGTATTTCACACATTGCGTCCATACTCTACTGCGTGTCATGACGGCTCCGCCAAATTAGGCGCGGCCTCACCGTCAACGACAGCAGCGTTTTGTTTGCACCAGTTTTTGGAACTTTCTTTTTCATTTTCCGAGCGTTAGTATTTTTGCTTACTAGAAGAAAAGAACTAAATCTCAAACAAACTTCCGTATAATATACATTATGCACGTTTTGAGCGATTATTGAATGGATAAACTTTCAAAGAATTCTACAAACCAAACTTGCAAACTTTGCACTACCGTTGCATCGTGACCCGTTAAATGTGTTGCTCATTCATATCACTCTACCCATTACCTTAGTCTATTCATTCCTTATTTTGCCACTCTACCCGCTCTGAACATTACTTTCTCAGACAACTGAGCGGAACTACTGCGTGCCATGACGGCTCAGGCGCGGGCTCACCATCAAAGACAGCAGCGTTTCATTTGCACCAGTTTTTGAAACTCTCCTTTTTGAGTGTCATTCTCTTCCGCTTTACGTGTCATACGTTTGCGAAAGTTCCGCTGAGTCACCTGCGGAAGTTCCGTAAACATGCTGCGGAAGTTCCGAAGAATGCGAACCTCTATAGCAACAGACAACAGCTAAACGAGATTTGAACCTTACCCTATCGGTTCCGCAGCCGTCATGGCACGCAGTAGTGAGACTCATCTGCTATCCTCTGCACTATGGCTGACATGTACGGTAATGCACACATTGTTAGTGAGACAACATCATACGAGACAAGACATTCAAAACCCTGCGCAGATACTGGCATGTCAAAGTGCTGCGGAACCGCTAGCATTTTCCGGAAGTTTAGCGCTTTGTGTAGAGTCCTGCGGAAAATCCCGTTTTTTCTAGCGTGAGATCCCGCGGAAGTTCCCATTTCGTTTCCTTTTTTGCGATAGTAAACAAAATTCTGCGAAACCGCTGCAAATTTTGCTTGCCCTGTGAAAGTTCCAGTGAATTGTCTAAGTTATTGTATTCGTTCTAACCCTTGTCTTCTTTATAGGGACAACGATATACGAAGCTTCATCTGGAAACACAGCTGCATCACTTGCTTATATGTGTCGCCTACTGCACATTCCATTCATAGCCATTGTGAGTATTTTCCTCTACTTTGAAGTTTATGGGGTAGAATCCACTCTTGAGTGGCGTCTCGGTCCTCACACGATATGCAACAATGTGCGAAAGGGCGAGTAGTCAACGAAGGCGGCGCCTTTGGCGACTGCTGGTTTTTCGCATCTGCTTTTTTACTTATTTGTCAGATGCTTTCACTATACAGGGTTGGGGGAAAGCCTTTGAACACGATATTTTGGTCGTAGTCACGAAACTAGGCAACATATTTACATGAAATAAATATATAATGTTTATCAAACAGTCTACTAGATGAAAGCAACTTTACATCACAAAAATCCCTCCTTTGGCGCAAACACAGGCTCGAAGACGCTTGGAAAAGCTGTCAGTAGCACGGAGGTACTTCACCTCGATTTTCTCCCACGCATTCTAAAGAGCACTCGCAGTAACTCCACAGTTTTGCATGAGTGAGCGCAAGCTTTGGCCTAGAAAACTGGTTGCGGTAGTCAAGGATATTTAGATCCGCCCAATACGGAGGCCATTCCACAGGAGTAATGAAGTCCTTAACGTTGCTTTGGAGCCATGCTTGAACAACCTTCACTTAGCGCGCAGGTGCGCTATCCTGCTGTAAACACCAATCGCTCCCGGTCAATGGATATTGGTCCAGGCCAACAATTCTTTCTTCAAGATGCTATTCACATACGTGGCAGTGTCCACCTTGCGCACTGAGACCCTAAAAATCAGCGCATTTTGCTGTCGGAAGCGATCGCCGTGCCACAAAAACCGGATGAAGCTTTCCTTCTGCAAGTCAACCCTTACTATTGGCTTCTTGAGGCGTTTAAGTGATGACTAAGTTGTTTTGGTGATCAAAAACCTGCTTCACGGTGAAAATTTTGACGTCATAACAGAGTATGTTTGGTGGGGTGCTTTGGAGAGACGTTCAGGCATTCGGTGGCATTGCGCAGTCAAATCAGCTTCGTATATTCCAAAAAGCATAAATTATTAGCATCTTGCAAAGCTTCATCCCAAAGCCTTGTTAAACGATGACTACCAGAGATGAACAGCTTTGAACCCAGCTCAATCAAGCTTTTACGAGAATTGCGACAACGGCGCTGACGAACGATCTTCAGAATTTTGTGAGTGTCCGCAGTAGCCAATTTCTCACTTTTACAGCAGTTCTGGGTGCTGTTCATATCATGGAAACGATGCATGGCGGAAAAGACCCTGATTCGTAAAATCTGGGGAGTCCGCGCAACTTGCTGGTCACTCATTCTCTCCTCGTGCATCTTCGCCACCAACGCTCGCTCTGTTCCAAAAGATAATTAGCATGCAAGAATATGTGGAAAATCCGAACATACAGTGACATAAAAATTGTACAAAAACCTTCCCCCAACCCTTACTTACCCAATTCCCATTTATAAAAAAAATCGCACCCTGAATAGTCCATCCCAGTTCACGGCCTGTGCCTATGCTGGAACGGCGCCGAGACACCCAGCGCCAGCACAACGCTACCGGAGACCGCGATGGAATTTCGATCAGCACCCGGCGCATTCACCACGTTCACTAGCCAAAAACGCCAGAAATTGCTTTGTGCCTACTTTTTTTTTCTTCAGAAAAATCTCTTGTCATTGTTTTATCTGGGAAGAAATGGTATCCAATGCACTTGTGCAAGGCATTTGGGTTCAATCTGTAGGTCTTCTTTTGCGTTCAAAATGTTAGCATTAATTCTTTTCATCGACTTATCGATACCCATGACGATTCCAGAGTAACCAAACTCATGCACAACGTTTGTAATCTAGCAGACTGAAATAAGCTTCACGGAGTTTCCTTTGTGAACCCTATCAATCTCCAAATTAGCTTTTTCTCGGAAGTACAATCCACCAAGTGTGTACGATACGCCGATTTTGCTGCCGTCGTCGAAGTGGTCAAAGTTAGCGCAGAATCAAGCATCACATCAGTTTTTCAATGGCAGAAGAATATCTTTCACTTGCACATCTCCGAATGCATAAGCGATCGGCTATCACTTCCTTCCATAACAGCATTGATAAGAGAACTTTTTTTTTCAGAAAAACAGCATTTGATAAGGCATTAGATAGAGAGTAGATGCGAAAGGATGCAAGACGCAAAGAAAACGTAACTTAGGCAAAAAAGAGCAAGTTCTTGCATCTCTAGCCATGTTGACTGAAACTCCCATTGGGACCTCCGCAGTGTTGTGCCAGCGCTGGGATGGCACTATGCTAACATGGCGCTGTCTTGGCGCCGGGACAGGCCGGAAGCAGGTCAAGGTCAGTTTGGATGGAACCTATAGGAAAACACGAGGAGGGTTGGCATCTCAAATGCTCCTTTAAAGCAATGGACGACAAAATAGACTCTTGTTAGACTTTGAGTATCAGATATTGGATCCTCCAACTATTAGGTTGGCACATAAGTAATGCAGCTTTTAATATAACTTTTGTCATTCATTTTCTGGCATAAGGATTATGATGTAAACAAAATGCGTACAACTGCCGCCTTCTGCCATCTCATGTAAGGTTACGATAGGTTTACAGCAGTGGTGTACCCAGCCCCCCTCCCCCCCCCCCGAGAACGGGTTGCGAAATTCTTAAAAGTTACTTACATAGGTTATAAAATTGCGCAAATGACTTGTCTGCACTTGTGAATAATTAAAATAATTTTTAAAACTTTTTAAAAATCCATTTTAGCCTCAAAAAAAATTTTTCTGGGGCGTGGTTGACGCCACGCCCTTTTTTTAGAATTTTGGGGTTCTGAGCCCGCGAAAATTTTAGGAAGCTTACCAAAAAAATTTTCCGGAGTGCGTGACTGACGCACCTTCATCGGAAAAAAAATTTTTGTCGCATCCCCCGAGCCGAAATCCTTGGTACGTCACTGGTTTACAGTACAATGAAAATTTTTAGATTGCGTCAGATTTTGCTGGAACTTGGCCTGAGTTGTTCGACACGCTGATCACAAAAATGAGACCCTTATCGCATGAAAAGGCCTCTTTCTAAAGTCAAATAATGAATGTTATCTTAGCGACAAATGATTCTAATATTCGTGTTCACCGTATTGGATCACCCTAATGCGCAAAGTTTTAGCAAATTTTGAGGTTTCCCAGCTTTGCCATTGAAGATTGCCTTCAAAATTTATCAAAACTTGACGCATTTGACTTGTTCTACTTCTCAAGCCGCCTTATCTTAGTTTCTTAGGGCCGCATGCACTAACATTTGCGCTGGGGAGGGGATCGCAGCTTCAGAAGAAAGATTCATATCCTGAAGCTCCGGATATCTGGAATTCACGCTGTCTACCTGTCCGTAAGTACTCCCACCATCCTTCACTATGAACATATTGAGAAGAAGCGAGAAGCTGTACAGCCGCATTTCCCAGCTTTTTGTACGATCCTCTGATGATCCCTGGGGGACGAACATCTATTCTTCAAAGTCATTTTTCTTTCTCTGAAGACAACGAAAACCTTTCAAAGTTATACTGAACATCTAACACAACAGTGCTAAGCATGTTGCTGATGAGAACAAATGAATTTTTGAAAAATCGAATTTTTCGGTATACCCCAAATTTCGACCTGTGGATCATCGAAAATTTCATGACTTCAAAACATCATTTGTTCTCATCAGCAACATGCTTAGCACTGTTGGGTTAGATAATCTGCACAACTTTGAAAGTTTTTCGTTGACTTCGCAGAAAGAAAAATGACTTTAAAGAAAAGCGCCGGGGATCATCAGGGATCATACAAAAGCTGGAAAATGCGGTTTGTACAGCTTCTCGCTCCTGTTCAACATGTTCATAGTGAAGGGTAGTAGGAATACTTACGGATAGGTACACAACGTGAAATCCAAGTACCTGGAGTTTCGAAATATGAAGCTTTCTTTTGAGCTGCGATCCCCTCCCCGCTACCATGTTAGTGCATGCGGCCCTTAGAATTTCACTTCTTTTTTACTAATTTTAATGGGTCAACTTCTAACTACCTGCTGCCTATATTTTCTTTTGATATGTTTGATTCAAGTTTTGTACGGCTTTATGTTTGCCAAGAAACCGTGAAACCTCAATTTTCAAGGATTTTTGAAAAATGCTGGAATTTTTTTTACTACGTTGTTATAAATCAAACAGTTTGCGAAGATTCGCAGTTTACGTCTCGCTCTACATGATGCCAAAAAATGAGAGTGCTACATCTAGTAAGAAGAAAGTTATGGGAAAAGTTGCAAAACTTATGTGGCAACCTAGTACATAGTAGCCCAATCCAACCTCCGATACATGCTGCTTGCTGAAAGTGCGCTTTAGAGTTCTATTAGCGATCAATGATTGAAGGTTGCTGCAACATATGTAAATCTTTTCCGAAAATCTTTACGCTGCACGTAAACGCATGAGAACTCTACCTCACCCATGTACCATTTGCCAAATTGGACGCATAAGAGCCGCATAATGCATAAGAGCCGGCAGTTGAAATGGTGCTTTTGAGATTGCAAAAAGAGCTTTCCGCCATTGAGCTTAATGGAACATTACAAATAAATTCGCCAACGGGAAAAGAATGATGGGGCGTTCAATATTCATTAGCGTGTAGCATCAAGCATTCAAGAGTTCGAAGGCTCAACTTTTCAAGTACAAAATTTGTACAAGTTCAAGTACAACTCAGCTAATTGACTAAATTATTTTAAGGTTCCTGACACTATAGAGGAGATCAAAGTGAAGCACATAGAGGAATATGGTGGCAGTGTCATCAAAGTCCCTCTGGGAGAAAGGTGAGTTGCCTTTTACTGGATTGTTAAAAATTCGTAAGTCTTGAAAGATCTCGTCTGAAGCAGTTCAAGATGTTTGCTTTGAGATGTACTAGAAGATTATTGATTTCTCAAAAACAGTCTTTTTGCCATAAATAGCTTGGCATAGGTTGATCCGAGCACGACAGATGGCAATCGAAAATGGCGGATTTTTTATGAACCAGTTCGGTAATGCTGACAAAGCTGAAGATTTCCATGAAAGTGAGTCCCAGGTGAAGAGCAGGTTTAGAAAGATGGTTCTACAGCAAAAAGGAAAAAATTCCCACATTCGGTGTTTTTAGGTGGAGACTTCCCGCTTGAGTCAGTGAATTTGTTTCATGAAATGCTTGTTCAATTACAAGCCGATGACACGCAGGAGGTGAAAGTTCCACACTATTTCGTACATTCAGCTGGAACAGGTGAGAGATTAGAACAACAAAGAAAAAATGTAGATGTGAAAATTCTTCAACTTCTGTTTTCTTTTAGATAAATGTAGCATAGTTTGCAGTACAGGTATTTTGCCTTTACTGCACGCACTCAGATAATCGCGGGGGGCAGGCGGCCATGCGAATTTTTAGCAAGCGGGCACCGAAAAATAATTCATGAAAATAAATAATCATAAAAATAGTAAACTCTGTATTCTGCCCCGCTAGCAGGACATTCGACAGTAAAGGAGATACCGCCCGCTAAAGGTTTGGCCACGCCTCAAAATTCTGCGACCGCCTGTAAGGAAACGCGAGTTTGCGGACCGCCTGCCCCTGTAATTATCTGAGCAGGTGATATTAACATCTCAAAACAGCACATACCATGCTGCGCTAGGCTCATTTACAGTATTATGGTGATTATGCCGACAACAGCTTTTGTAGATTCAGTGCACATCACCTCTCGAGCAAAATATGTTCCCATGGGGGTAAATTCAGTGCTTTATTGATAGATCTTACTTTATCATTACAAATACAGCTATTCTAAACATAAAGCCACTTACTTCAAACATATTTCTTCCTTAGATCTATGGATGACTCATTAGGCCTTGGACAGAGTTCAAGCGATTTGATCGTCGCGATTGATCGCGACAGAACAACTGTAACAATATTAATGTATGCCGATCTTCTTGCATTTCGGTTTTGATAGTTTTCCAACACGATTAATCGTGACTAACTATCACAACCAAGATACAAGAAGATCGGCATGCAATGGACTCGCAACACTTGCCCCTCCTGAAGACGGGAAGCGCGCAAGTGATACCCAGAGAGCCGACTGCTGCCGCAGCCAGCCGCCAGAGCTGATGTCAGCGGCGCCGCATATGGTAGAATAATCAAATGGCCGTCTGAAATTTTCTGCTGAGAGGTTTCCTCGCACCTCTTCGCGCTGAAGTGCAATATCAGCCTCGAAAAGAGCGCGATATTATCAATATTTTTTTCATTTCAAACAGCAAAAATTCTATAATCTTATATATATAGCTGAATGTCTGTTTGTCTGTCTGTCTGTATGTATGTATGTGTGTACGTACGTTCCGAATAGAAAATTCCATTTCTGCACCGATCCGGACCAAACTGCACACATACACTTGGCCGGGCGGGTGTCATAGGCTATTTTTCGTCATTGATCGATATCGATTTTACTGATTTTTCAAAAAGTTCGAGCTACGGGGCTGGGAGTTGGCACAGGGGGGTAATCGAGCATGCTGATTACAAATATAATATTGATAGGGCCGGGCGAAGCCGGGTAAGCCAGCTAGTTCACTAATAAAAAGCAAATGAACAAATTTACACAGAGTGTTTTCCCGAAGGAAAAGTTCACTAAATTCATTTCCTCAATATAGCCAGAAGCTGAAATAATAAGAAATGCCAAAACTGTTTATCAAAATCTATTTTCTGGGAATCAAAATCGGAGGACAACGCATGAGACATAATAACGAAAAAAAGTCTGTTAAAAAATTAGCATTTTAAGACTTATTGTTAGTGTTGTTAAGCGAGCTAAATCCTCCAAAGTAGGTCAGAAATTGAGTAGGTCACTGATAAGAGGTGGAAATATGTCACATTTGCTGATATAAGAGAGAACGGTGTGGATCATCAAAAACTCAAAATGTCTAATCTATACAGCTTCCAACAAGAGCCTCAGGCTCAATAAGCATACTTGGAAAATTCATCAGTTCTCCAGATATTTTATGATTTGACTTTACTGGAAGTTGAAGATTGAAAAAAAAATTCATAATTCTGAACTCGTTCTCTGTTCCCTCCCAATTAGACTTCAGCTAGTGAAGTCCCCTAGAATACAACTACGAAAACCAAAAAAAATCTCGTTCTAAATTACGGCAAAGATACTGCAGCAATGGGAGAAATTATTTCTTTAAAATAAAAATACTTCCAGATTTTCTGCAGCCCTGCTTGAAAATGTCGTATGCCGAGTGATTTCGTTCAATGGACTGTATCTCTCGAACTTTCTCAAACTTATTCATTGAAAGCTCACTGTTGTAAAGAGCTGAATCTATGCTTTCCATCGTGATACGAAGATGTTTTGATTTCTTGAAAATGATGTGCAAGAACTTTCGGACCTACCTAGTATGTCGGTATCCAAATTTGTGACAAAAAATATTTAATCTCGCAATTTTTCGCTTTATACCTTTCTTGAAAACCTGTAGTTTGTATAGTTTTGTGAAAGTTGCATGGTTCTCAATTAGGACTTTTTGCCGTTTCGAGATATAGATATTGATAATATCGCGCTGTCACTGATGCTGATATCGCACTTTAGCGCGAGAGGAAGCCTTTCGGCAGGAGATTTCAAACGGCCAGCGTAATTATTCTACCATATGCGGCGCCGCTGACGCCAGCTCTGGCGGCTGCTGCGGCAGCAGTCAACTGTCTGGGTACCATTTGCTACGCACCCCCTGAAGACTGCACAAATCGAAGGCGTTTCCATTCTTGTATAATATATTGCTCCATAGTTCAATGTTTTTTCATTGAAAGGGAACAGTTATTAAGAAAAAACGAGCAAGCAATATGATTCATATAAAGAAATGAGGCGCTACCGTAAAATGTGTCAGTCTTCTCTAAAGATAGCTGGTACTATGAGAACAAAGTAACTTTCTGAAATACAATAAGAATGTCTGACAAAAAAATCACGAAAGCGAACCCGCAAACGATATACTTCATTTAACGCAAGATAGGACGTGTAAAAGCGTTTAGCGAACCTTGCGTTAATTAGGAGTTCCCCAACTTAAGAAGAAGGAAGGTGCAAGAGTGAGACAAATGTGAGTTAACGACGGAAACCTTCAAAGAAAGTCAGATACTGCCATTTATCGCCGCCAAAACCTCACGCGGGTGGTTGCAGCGCATGCACAGTTCCGGAACAGAGCGAGAACTGTGCGGGAACCGTTCAGAGCTTATGGATCAGTATGAACTCAGACAGAGGCTTCATTTGCATTGCAAGGTGCCAGAAATCGATAAATCGATAGAAGGTCCCAGCAAAACGGCACAAAAGGTAGCCTAAAACCGTCACCGGGTCGAAAACATGTGTGCAAAGTTTCAGCTTAACCGGTTCACACAAAAAAGTCCATAAATTTCAAATAACTTCACCTCGGACATACTTTGAGTTTTTGTATAGAGACAAAGTTTTCATTGATAACTCTGATTTTAATATTTCCGCAAACTGAAGAAAGCTGCGTACTACCAACACTAAAACACTAAAAAGCGCTTATACGTACAACTTCTTTGTTGAAAGACCTGTCGTATCTAATCCATGATGGCTTCATTGTCAAAACTTCTTCCACCCAAAGCGTAAGTATCACCTTATTGTGCCGGTTGGCTATGTAAGTGCATCAACAACTATAAATGAGGAATGTCCATTTTGATTTCTATTGATTGAACAGGTGCTCATGCTTGTAAACTACCTAGTTTTTCAGGCGGAACCATATCCTCAGTTGGACGATATGCGAAAAAATATGGAATTAGCACTGAAATAGTGCTTGCCGATACACAATTCTCTGTTTATTACGACTACGTTATGTACGATAGGTAAGGTCAGATTTCGAAGATGCCTGATAATCTAGCATACGAACAAACACTAGTTCAACTTCTACTTCTCTACAGATTCAAGAATGAGTCCGGTGCTAGCTTATGGGTAGAGCCAGGAATGGCAGGAATTGGCTATGGACCGATGGGAATGGCAAGAAAAGGTGAAACAACAAGGTATGTTTTTGAATAGACATAGAAAATCAACGGCTGGTATTTCACATCAAGTAGCGCAAATTTGTAAGCAAGCAGCACATTTTTATGGTCATTCAAATAATTCGCCTAGCGGCCAGAACGTGGAAGTAGGACGTCTAGAAGTGGGCTCCAAAGTGTGTCACCTAATTTGTATCAGTATCAGCTGCTTAGATGTGCTTCAACCGAGCCTGTGTTGAGATTAGAAGTCGCCATGTTAACTGACTGCAGTGTTGAGAATGAGCAGGCTCGTCAACGACTGTTTAGCTAGAAATGACTTTATAGTCTGTAATATTCTATTAAATTGGCTAAAAATCAAAACTTCTTCATCACATACCAACTCAGAATTTCAAACTATTAGTTATGCCCCGAAGAGGCTGAAATTCCAAAAGCTCAATTCTGCGACTGTAGAAGTTTTGTTTTCATGCTCTAATGGATGTAGAGAACAGCAATTTGGTATTTGAGTACAGACAAGTTTTCCCTACTTAACGACTACCAATCAAAATTGTGATCTGCCGTTTCAAAATTTTTGACCAAAATAACCAAATTTTCTCATATTTGTGCACAATGAGAAAAATGAAGTTTCTCACTTCATTGCGGAAATCTTTCATAGCAAAATAAATTCTATTCGAGAGATTCTATGTTCCAGTTCTCACTGAAGTGCTCTTTCCAACGGTACCGAATACTGGACAAAAAATCGTCTGCAGCATCTGTAGGAGCCGCAAAACCCCGAAATTATTTATTAGCCAACCTAATAGATGGCATTAGACCTCCAGTTCCAGCTAAGAAAGCATAGAAAGGTAGATCGAGTCAGCAATCCGACTTCAACATTAAGTAATTTGAATTTGGGAATGAAATGTCCCTATAACAACGTTTACGGCAAAGAAAAAGATTGAAATCTACTATGAAGATACTAAGAAGACTAAGAATAAGACTAAGAATCTTGCCGATAGCTTAGCTTACCCTCATTGGTAGCCCAAGAGAACTTAAAATGCTCTTTACACGTTGAAGGATAGAAATAAGATGCGAATTCTGTGCATATCGTGCGCTGAAGCAAGCAAGGTTCAAGGAGATTAGAAGTATACTTGACCTTGGATGAATCGTATATGTTGCCGCTTGGGCAATGCCTTTGTAATAGCCCCCGTCGAATTCGCGTGAGACATCCATGTGTTAAAATCTCCCGCTTTCTTTAAGGTGAAGAAAACGCTGCCATGTCAGTTTCTCGTAATCCATAAACTCTCAGCTTTTCTTCTATATGTGAAAATGTTCTGTTGATCTGGTATCCTTTGTCGATTTGGTGACGGTCTTATAAAAACCAGAACTCGAAAGATGCAGCTTTCAGTTCCGCGTTGGAGAAAAGATAGGCAGGCATGCTTCTGCCTTGGCATTTCTAGCGCCCCTTCTCGAATCGCTTCCTCCATCCTCCTACTTTACAAATTTTAGTATGGATGCAGCTGTGATTGATCGAGTTATCAAAATTCCTGACGTCGCAGCCACCGCCGCCATGCGGATATTGCGAGATCAAGGTGCGTCCGGTGGCACCAGTAGTGGAGTAAACCTGCTAACTTCGATGCATATTGCTTCTACAGCAAGGTAAGCTTTCCTTATCATGAAAAAATTGATACTGGCGCTCGCAGAGTGTAATCGCGGCCTCTACTTGAGCCGCAAAACGGCCTCATCGAATATGCGCTGAGAATGGAGCTGCACGTAAGAAAACACTAGACTACGCGAACTGTGCCATCCTATTATCTATTCTGAGATTAAAAGCTCGGGCACCTATGCAAACATTGTCTATCTAGCTCAGATTGGTCTTCTTTTAATTCCAATCTCAATGAATTTTATTTATTCTAAACTATTGATTAATTCGTTAATACTCAGGAAACCTATGAAAGGACGACTGACGATAGCAACACTTTTGGCTGATCCAGGTCACTACTACGACACTACCTATTACAATCGAGAATGGATCGCGACGAAGTTTGCTCGACACGGTGGTTTAGAGGTAAGAGTGCAACGACAATCCCCTTGCCAAGTGTCGCTCGTATCTGCTACGATTACTAATGGAAGAAGTCTCAGAAAGAAAAGAACTAATCCGGGCAACTGCTTTCAAAAAGACGGATTACCAGTTTTGCCGTTATTTGTTAGATAGAGAAAAACTTAGGTGTAATACCAAATTACTCATCTACCCATCAAAGCATGAAAACGAAGCCTAGAATGTCAAAGAACGAGCTCTTTAGAATTTGACCGCATGGCATAACTGTTCTTGAGTGACAATAGAAAATTCTGAATAGCTGACATGTGGCAGTAGAGGCTTTCGACTGATTCCCCTCAAAAACATAGATAACAAGAAGAAAACTGTTTGTGGAGATTTGACATAAGGAAAATTTGTTTTTTTTTAGCCAAAATAGTAGAATACTGCTCGTTCCCTCGTACATTTCTACCTATTCGCGCCCTCACACCACACACACAGCCTATTGTGATTATCCGCGCAAAGGAAATATATGCGTTGATGATGTATATATAGGCGAAGTGCATAGTCTGAATTTTTACCCATGTACCAAAGATCACTGACGAACTAGAGTTATACGTAAACAAACTGTCGCTCTTAGATACTCTAACCAGTTGCGAAATTCGTATCATCAGATTGATTTTTTCACTTAAAAATTTTGAAGGACATGCTTATTAAACCGTAAAGAGCGATTTTCTTGATACATAAACTCCTATTCGATAAAATAAGTACCTTACCTTGAAATTTCTCTATTGCAGTCTTTTTCTTCCATGAATCAGTAAAAGCTAATGATGCTTTCCCTTGTATCCTTCTCATCCACAATCTTGTGTCAACAACGCCACAAAAATCATTTCATCTCCAACAACAACCTATGATAATCACATCTTATTCATACTCATTTAGGCATATGATTGCTGGTATTCTGTGATCTCAGAGAGTCTCGCCTCTGGCGAAGACCCACTATTCCTTGGATATGAACGATGTCCTAATGGAGTATTTTGAACGAGAGACGAGGCTCAATTAGGATTTGTAACTTGAATCTAGTCATTTTATTCTAATTATATGAATATATAAAGTTTACCATTGAATTGCCTTTTTGACATCATGAAAAACAAAGGATATTAGAGAAAACCATAAGATACGCACCATAAGATCTTAGAGTTGAAGACAGCGTAATTGGATCCATACATGAGCAAAGATTGTTGAGTTACAAAAGCTTAAAGCAGATGCAAACACTCAGCAAACTTATTAAACTACATAATGAGTTCGTTCGCATTTTTTCATTCACTTCTTCCAGTTTGTGAGGCCCTCAGAACAATGTGTAAGTGCTTCTGAAAGCTTCTCATCCTACTCTATCGAAATTTTCGTCAACATGGGAAACCGAGGAATTAAAACTATTTTCGTAGAACTCGACGTTGCCTCGAGGCCTCCTGAGACAGAGAGTCAACGGGCAATGCACGAGTAGGCATAAGGATGGTTTATGGTTAAAGAATCATTGAGTTCATGGGTTGCATTCCGAAAACTTTAAGTTTAGGTAGGCATATAACTTAAGCACGCAAAGCGACTAACATTGTCGCGAGAAATTCTTGCACTGCCAGATTCTAGAACAATGGCATTGTACAGGTGAAAATAGGAGAGCGAAGATAAACAGAGTAACTGAAACGAGTGGAAGCGCTATAAACAAAAATCAAAAATTGTCCGTTTGGAGGGTAGTATGTGCTATAGAAACGCTCGCGGTTGAACCGATAAGCTGAAACTTTGCTAGATGATCGAACCCGGAGATGATTTTAGGCCACATTTCACGAGAATTCGCTGCTTCCTTCTATCGTTTATTGATTTATTTACTGACCTCTGGAAAATGGAAGTTTGCAGTCATTAAGAAGTCATTTCACCACTCATGAGAGCTGACGTAAACCTTACTTGGTGGTTAGCAGCATGTAGTGCCTCTATGTGAGTCGCTTAAAGTGTCACCGTATTCATAAGAATGCTAGTGCAGGTTGCATAGGGTGCAGGAGAGGACGGAAAATTGAGGTAATCGGTGGAGGTAAAGCGCAAGTCGGCGGAGAGGTAAGTCCTGTCACTTTCCTCGAGAGTGTGTACCGCTTGGCGGTCCGCCTACCCATTTCCGTGCGAAATCGGGTAAGCTACTTAGTGACTGAATATAGGCGAAAACCCTGGGAAGAGCCAGATTATCAGAGGCGGTAAATCGCAATGCATCTTGAGTCGACTTTTCAGAGATGGACAGATTGTGTTTGCGAAACGGAAGGACCAGCAAAAAAATCTGGCTTTTGCACCTGAAATTCGTAGACGCTGCAACTGACCACCAGAGATGTCAAAGCGAAAGGTAGGAGCAATGGAAACTAGTGTGCTTGAGCCGGAACAATACGTGAAGACAGGCTGTCTAACAAAGGAAGGATATATGGTATATCGCCTTTTGAAATGAAATGTACACCCAGGGCCTGGCACGAGTTGGGCAAACGGGGTTTTTCAAAACGAATTGCCCTTTGGTCCCAATATTTTTTACGAATACCCCCTTGAGCCCAGAAACGATGCTTTGTGCTTGTGCAACAACAGCACCGGCCATGCTTTAAAAGCGCTCAAAAGCGCTCAAAATGTTCAAACTCCTGTAATTACTCATCACTTGTACCAAGATAGAAAGCAGGAAGAAGAATAAGCAAGAAAAATGATGAAATGAAGGAATGAAAAAATATTAAAGTAACGCAGTCATAGGACTGAGAGACGCCGTTCCCGCGCGTATCGATTGACTGGGGCGCCCTTTCCATCTTAGAAAGCTAGGCTGCTGATGCGATTTTGGGTAACAAAGACAAGAGGAGGAGTTTCGGAACCAAAATCTCACCATGTAGTAAACTTTAGGTGTACAAAAGATTTCGGTAAAAATTTTGAAGAACTTATGTGAACTGAAAGTTTTGCCCACCTCAGATGGGCATTAGGTGGGCAATTGCCCACCTAATTTCGAAAAAAGTTGGGCACGCTCTTCATTCACACAAGTTTTCCATAATTTTTCATACATAGTTTCTTAGCCCTACTGCGCGTATACCCACCAAGTCTCGCGCGATTATGTTTTCCCTGCGTTGCAAACGAGCCATTTTTCCATTTTCTTCATAGTGGGAAATTTTCAGAAAAAAAGCTTGCCACAGCTTTTACTCGCATAATTTTTCAATAAAACTTGTAAGTTAAGCCCTGCAGGCCCGTGTTCATGTACCTATCAAGTTTCAAATCGTATGGCCATCTGTGCGCTGCAAACGAGCCATTTGAATTCACATCTTCATTTACCAGTTCTGCAAAATTTTTGAAAAAAATGCTTATTACACCTCGCATTCACATAAGTTTTTCATAATTTTTCATATTTTCATACTTAGTTTCTACTAGCTTCTTTTCGTTCGCTTACCTAATTTGGTGCTATATCGTTACGCCAGCATTGAGAACAGATCATGTAATCATGCTGTGCAACGGCTTCGCTTATGCGACGTCGCGCACGCGGCAAAGCGGCCGCGCGGCGTAGCGCGCGCGAACTCTGTCCTTTGTTAAGGCTTATGAAAACTGCTTCCCAGTGAATTATATGTATGAGGTAATAAGCATGATTCGACCTTCTTTTGCTTGCACTTGGAATCTTCTTACGGGGCTCCGCCTCGGACCCGCAAAAACGATCATCCCCTTGCTTTATCCCCCAAAACAATTTCCAGCTTTTCAATTGCCCACCTCGTGCCGGGCCCTGTGTACACCATTAAACGTACACCTTGAAGTGCTCATTCCAAATCTGCTTTCAGTATCTGCTGTGTGCTCTTCCAAGAAAAAATAATGAGCATTTTTAGCTAACAAACTTGCAGTGTTCTGATGAAAGAATTCACAAGATAGTTGAAATGTTCACTTACCCACTAGAAAAAGCGTCCATCTCCGATATATCAGAATCAAAAAGCGTGGATACTGACGATTCTGGCTGCCTAGATCTCGTGAAATCAACATAATAAAAGTCCATGACTTTGTTCAGAGAGTCGCACAACAGAACGAACATATTGAAATCAAGGCGTTTCAAGGCGCACATACTGGTATACACCGCACTGCAAAAGGCCACTGTCAGCAAGTATCCTTCCCTTGTGAATATCTAAGTGTAAGCGACAAATAACTCATGGTGTCCCCCACCTCATTATTTCGCTAGCTCCTTTTTTGCTTCTTTGAATTTCATCAACAATTGCTGCGCACGAGAAACTTTGCGATTCAAACTGTTTCAAATGGACAAAACGGATGAGTGACGTAGTCCGTAAAAAAGGTTTTTAGACATTTGCTTGAGAAATTTCGAGTGGCTAATTCTAGTTGGATTAGCTGTTTTCGAACGACTCAAAGCACAATATACTGATATCAACGCATAATTTTAGCAAAGTGCAAAAAGTAGAAAAGGTCAACTCAAAAGGACTTTTGTATCCAGGGTTTTCTCGAACGTTTAAGGCAGCGTCTGGGCGGATTTGGATATTTTCGTACACTATCATATCCGACCACTACGGCCTCGATCTGATATTGTCGCGCAAATCCGACTTTTGACCCCCCCCCCCCCCAGCAAAAGGAGAAAATCGGAGCAGACAACGAGCCTCGAGGGCCACGCCACTCCCTCGCACCGCCCGCCCCCTTGAACGAACTCTCTTCAGCCCTTGACGTGTTTTCACGTGGCAAACACAATCGAACAGATAGTGTCTACGTGTTAAGGATTCCTTTCGACAAGGATAGCATTAGAAGCACTCGTCCACGGTTCTTACAAAATTGTCTCAAAAATGGGATTTTTTGAGGAATTCACGCATTTTGAATGTTACCTTTGGAATTAGCGCCATGAAAAGTCCTGGATAGTGCAAAAAATAGAAGTCGACATCCTGCCTGAAGGCTGCCTTGAGCTTGTACATTCTCCTAATAATCAGCTCCAGGAAACCGCCAGCAGAAAATTTTGCTATTATATTGTAAAACTCTATCATTTTGGTAACCTCTACTCCATTTTGTGATGGAACAACCACTTGGGCCTTTCCGCAAGATTTTCCATCCCGGTTTGCAAGAACATTTAAGGTAAAAGAAAGAAATTTGAGGCGAAAGGAAAGCACGAGCCCAAAAAGGAGAAACGACAAAGAACATCGAAGTGAACAGAAGCCAAAATGAGGCGCCGTAGCTATATAAAGCTGTTTTGGCTGGTAATCCGCTATGCAATGAGAAGTCTGAAGACGGTTACGGCCATGCGCATAGTGACTACCGTAATCGTCTTGGATAGCGCGGCAACCAATGCTCCCAGCCTCAGTGCCTAGGGGCGCTCGCATTGCGAGCCGGCGACGTCAGCATATGTTTGATCGTCTTAAGCAAAATGCTTTACCAATAATTCGTTTTTCATGTTCCCAAAGGTAGACCTTTCAACAAATAAAAAATAGTTGATGTGTCGCTCCGTCCAATTACGGTACTCAAAAATGGTAGATGACATCATTTTTTGACTATACAACCTAATGAGAAGTTCTAGAAAAAATGACAGAGTACAAACGAGTTGTCCCACTAGACCAGCATTCATCAACAAATGTCCTGAGAAGACTCTGGATGACATCATTTTTTGACTGCACAATCTCTACACAACCAATTTAACTTTGCAAAGACGTTAACGTCAAGTCTAATCGTGCACAAAGTAAAGATTATCAAAATTAAACCTCAACGCCTAATTCAGTCGAAGAATCAGAATCAGATCTACACTCCTCCAAGCGTCGCAAACAGAACAGATAAGCTCCAACCTGCTTAATCCTTAAATTCATGAGCTCTCTTGAAACCTGCTCCGGAGCAATGGGATTCGTTTAAAATCGCGTACAGCAGGACGGTGTGTATACCAATAAATAATGGTGAAAAATCATACCAGATTATTCATTGTGTGGCCTTTGTGGAGCAAACTTCTAGTCAAGAGTCTGGACGAAAAAAAATCGACAGACGAGACATTCGACACATCACCGATTTGAAATTGAAATAAATCATGTAAAAGACCACGCAATGCCATAAGGTATATAATCCGATGTGGATGTCAAAAACATCGAGAAAAATTGTAATTTCATCTTTGAAACAGCTTTCTTTTATCACGCAAGATAGAATCTTCGCTTTTCAGATATGATAAATTTTTGCATCTTTATCGTCGCTACGGGATTTGTCCTTTCTCGGCAAGTAATCAATGAGTTATCGCAAGCACCAAGCGATGAGTACACAAGTGTGCTTTGCTTTTACTGCAGCAGACTTTTTCAAAATATTAAATGAAAGAAGTAATTTTTAGAAAACCACGAATGGACAAAAATCGCAATACAACGGATGTGGCAAGAGCGAGAGAAAATGTCACACACGCCGCTATTCAAATTCAATGTAAAGCTTTTTCAAAAGATGTAAAACCAAGAAAAGACCCCAATTAAATCACGTTCTATTACAGTATGCGGGCCAGCCAAATGTAGATATAATATTCAAAAACGAATCCGCATCAAGGACGGGGTCTGTAAAGCATCGCTACACATGGTGTCTTATGATGTGGGCACTTATAGAAGGGCATGTTAAGAACGGTGAGTTTCCGTATCTGTCCTAAGTCATAGAAAAAGGAGTTAATTAATGAAACAAAAAATGTTCAAAAAATTCGTGTACACTCCTAGGAACTACCGTATACGAAGCATCATCCGGAAATACAGCCGCATCACTTGGCTACATGTGCCAGTTACTACACATACCATTAACAGCCATAGTACGTTTTCTACCACAGAATCTACTTTCTACGCAAATTAGTTCTCTTGTCAAAATCTGATTACCGCACCAACACGCTACACTTTTCAAAGGCATAACACCGAAAGATTCAGCTCTGCGCTACTCCACCGTTCCGCCGTTACTAAGGGAATCCTTGCTAGTTCCTTTTCGTCCGCTGAGTTTGCAAGACTGAAATTCTGAGCACTACTCGAGAAAAACCTCAGTGGTGCAAAAAAAAGCTCCACGAAAAACTAAAAAACAAAAACGAATTGAGAGCGTCATTCTACAACATAGCAAATGATACCAAAATGAACATACCGGAAAATCGGAAAGAACATGGTTGGAGAAAGCCTTGCACTCTGTAAAAGTTTGGAACAGATAAACGGATTAAATCTATATATTAGGTCGTTCCGAAAGTTCTTTCCGTTTTTCTAACCTATCATAAAAACACGTGGAATGCAGTTAGGGGAACGCTTTAGGCACTATCCGACGCAGCATTTCTTCCTCTTTCTTGCAGTCATATTCCCATGCCGCTTACTCTTGTGAGCACTGAGATAATCGCCGAAATTTTGAACTCATGGTTTTTACCATGTCCAAATTTGGCAATTTTTCACAATCTTCGTTTTTGACTTTCAAAGAAGCTTTGATAGCAATCAAATAGAGTAAACAAAGTGCAATGCAAACCATTTTTTTGGCAAATCCAGCTGGCTTTTCAGAATTTTTGAGATAATTTTTCCAAAAGTCTTCACTTTTGCAAAGTCCCAAAATACAGGAACGCGCCGAACACTGGCAAGTATGCGGATTTTGAAGCTTTTTAAAGTCAATTACGATTATCCACAATTTTTACAAAGCAACTGAGCGTTTACCGCTTGTAAATATAAGGTTTCGCATTTTACATGTACAGGCTGGGGCGGGTTCAAAATCAAGAAATATGGAAACTTTATCGCCAAAGACCCCGCAAATTGGAAAGAAAATACATTTATTAGAAAGAGAAGGAAAAGCTGCATCGAACGACACCTTAGTTGTGCGCCGTCTTATGTTCAATGGCTCTTGGCGTCCCCAAAAGTGGAATTTGATAGCATCAGAAAAATAATTCTAAAAAATTTTTAAGGCTAGCTATAATGGCGAAAAATTGCATTAAATCGCACTTTGTTTGCTCTATCTGATTGCTATCAAAGCTTTCGTAAAAGTCAAAAAAGAAGATTGTGAAAAATTGCCAAATTTGGACATGGTAAAAACCATGGGTGCGAAATTTCGACCATTATCTCATTGACCAGAAGAGCAAGCAGCACAGGAATACGACAGTTGAAAAGAGGAAGAAAAGCTGCGTCGAACAGTGCCTAAAGCGTTCCTCTACCTTCATTCCACGCGTTTTTGTGATAGGTTGAAAAAACGGAAAGAACTTTCGGAACGACCTAATATTATATGAAGTAACTAATATTAATCAGGTTCCTGACACTATAGAGGATATCAAAGCGAGACATATCGAAGAATATGGTGGCAAAGTTATGAAAGTTCCACTGCGAGAAAGGTAGGATAACAGATTATTTTGGAGGTCCACAATCTCTACAAATATTCGAGCAGCACTGAAATTTGAACAGAATGTCAATGCTGCAAAATTTCCCCTTTTCGACAAAGAAAAATCCCATTATGTCTTTCTTCTTGGTGAAAGATTCTCAATTATCAAATCTTGCGGCATTAAGGTTGATCCGAGCGCGGCAGATGGCAGAAGATAACGGTGGATTTTTTATGAACCAATTCGGTAATGCCGACAAAGCTGAAGATTTCCATGAAAGTGAGTGAAAATTTACAGATAAACAATTAATCAGAAGATTATCTTGTCGCAATGTAAAAAGCGCATGAATCGCATTTCCTCAGGCGGAAACTTCCCACTCGAGTCAGTGAATTTGTTTCATGAGATGCTCATGCAATTAAAAGCCGACAACACTCAAGAAGTGAAAGTTCCGCACTATTTCGTGCATTCAGCTGGAACAGGTGAGTGATATGAAAAATAACCACAGCGCTTCTAACGGTTTATGGGCTAGATAGCCATATTGACTGCATTTCGCCTTAAACCTCAAATAAATGATTGGTTGAAAGATAAGTTCGTTCTGGCATGGAAGTCTTCATGATAATATGGTTTGTTATTCCCCCATAATTTTTTGCTTTGAAGTAGACTGAAACTTCTGCTATCACATATCAACTACTTAGAATTATGTATTATCACTGTCAATTATACCCCAACATAGCTAGATTTGCGAAGGCTTAGAATTTAAAATTCTAAGTCTCGTCTTCACGCTGTGATGGTTATAGAGATTACTCAAAATTTGGATACAGAAATCTGTTAGCCTATACGCAATGCATGTCATATAATGCAACCGTTCGCTGGTACCCGCGAAGCCTCATATTTATCCATAAGAGTTACAATACACTTGTTTAAAAAGACATTCAAAAGACACTTATTTTGTGCCTGCTGTCAACATCGTACTTATTACACAAATGCCTGATGGTAATATTTTATACGTTCTCTGGTCGTGAAACCTGGGCATTGTCTTATTCATAAACTCTTGTGAGCCACGCATAACGTCTTGTGAGCCACGCAGGTTTGTTAAGATATTTATTAGGTGTGACGTTTCGGCAATGAAGCCTCCCTCAGAGACGTGAAAGAAAGTCTCACACTAGTTTTTTGCCCTATATGATCAAACTTCTCCTCTTGGTCTTACCAACCTAGTCTGATGCCTTAGGAGCACACAAGCGGAGACACTGCACGACAAGTAGCATACCAAGATTTCCACCGACAGCGCAACGACGACGTTCATCCACTGCTCAGATAATCGCCGGGGGCAGGCGGTCCGCAAACTCGCGCTTTTCTGCAGGCGGTCAGCAGGATTTCGGGGCGTGGCCAAATCTTCAGCGGGCGGTATTTGCGTTTTCTGCAAGCGGGCATCAATACAAAATTTTCTGCAAGCGCTCGTCAAACAATCTCTTTCAGCGAGCGCTGGCCAAACTTTCAGCAGGCGCTCAGACTCTTTTTACGCAGTTTCGGGCGTACGCCGAGAAAAGATGAGACTCTATGTGGCAGAGGTGCCATCGATGGTTTTATTACCCAAGTTTGGGGTACTTTCTTTCAGCGGAAAGTACCTGAGGGCTGTGCGGTCCTTCAAAAAGGACCGTGCGGCTCTCAATAATTTTGCATGTTCTCGCGGAAAATCCGCGAGAATGCGGCCACTGTGCAGCAACTTATGTATAGAAAAACCGCGATAGATCTTCGAGCGTTCGTCTAAAAATTGGCCAAAATTATTCCAAATTTCTGCAAGCGGACCACAAAAAATCAGCAAACTATTTTTCCGGTGCCCGCTTGTTCAAAATTCGCATGGCCGCTTGCCCCCGGCGATTATCTGAGTGGTGGTAAAAGACTATAGCTGACCGATATGGACAGCTTAAGTAGTAGTGGAGATGATATCTAAAGTAACAACATGAATAAGAACAATGAACAGCTCTCTATCACAAGTGACTTGATGCCATTTCTGTCATACTGTCACTTATAGATATCACCTCCACTACTACTTAAGCTGTCCATATCGGTCAGCTATAGTCTTTTACCATCAGCGGAGTTTGGACGTCGTCGTTGCGCTGTCGGTGGAGATCTTGATATGCTAGCTTGTCGTGTAATGTCTCCGCTTGTTTGCTCCTAAGGCGTCAAACTAGGCTGGTCAAGAGGAGAGATTTGATCATATAGGGCAAGCTAGTGTGAGACTCTTTCAGGTCTCTGAGGAAGGCATTTTGCCGAAACGTTAGACCTAATAAACTTAATAAACCTTCGTGGCTCACAAGAAAGTTTATGAATGCCTGATGGTATTTCTATTTCAGGCGGTACAATTTCTTCAGTTGGACGATATGTGAAAAAATACGAACTCAGCACTGAAGTAGTACTCGCCGACACACAATTTTCAGTTTATTATGACTATGTTATGCACGATAGGTAAGATGTATCCCAGACCTGCCGAATTTCAATTACGCCTTACTACGAGATCAAAAAGAACAGCATGAATAGCAGGCACTGTGTGACTGGAGGGTACGCGCCGCTGCGCATTGTGCATTCTGACACTTTACTATAAAACAAAATTCTCAGATGATAATTCAAAGACTTTAGGTTCAAGAACGAATCCGGTGCCAGCCTATGGGTGGAACCAGGAATGGCAGGTATTGGCTATGGACCAATGGGAATGGCAAGAAAAGGCGAAACAACAAGGTCTCAAATTTTCTTATTCAATGTTACATAACATGGGCTAAGGTAGTCATATTTGTGGAGTTTCTCGTGACAGCGCCGTGCTAACGCGTGCGGGAGTGCCAATCGATCAATACTGCCCGAGTGGGTTCCGACACGGTGCCAGCACGTGGTTGGCGTAGCGCTAGCACGGCGCTGGCACACAGTCAAATCCTAAAGGTAGCTTATACAAGAGTGAACATCAAGTCCTCAACGTTTCACCTGTGCAGAGAAAAATCTTTTTGGGCCCCCTTACCTATACTTAGTACTTACTTACTTCAGTATGGATGGTGCTGTAATCGATAGAGTGATCAAAATTCCTGATATCGCTGCCACGGCAGCCATGCGGGTACTACGAGGTCAGGGAGTTTCTGGTGGCACCAGCACTGGGGTAGATTTCCTTACCTCGCTGCATATCGCATCTACAGCAACGTAAGTCCGTAAATAATTCCACTAGAATTTTTTTCGCGCAATCACAAAGTATCAGCTCAGTTCAATGCTGCGTTAGGCAAAATTGGGGTTCAGAGAATCTTGAACAACCCTGTCTAAACGATGGCTAGGTTCTGCAGACATCATATTCGAGACGCGAGAACGAGGAAGTTGTACCAGACCCGCCTACTGGGACTACCACGCCTCACCATAGCCTATGAAGAATAGAAATGTTAGCCTCCTTTACATAAAGAAAACATAGGGCCATCGTTAAATCTTGCTTGCTGGCACAACTCGGATCGAATCTAGAAAAATCTCATTCCTACAATCTTAGCAGACTCGGAGGCCTAGATAGACCCACAATCGTTCCCCAAGAACTGTATACTGCCTTTCCCGACAGAACCTTGCTTTCATTTGATTCCCTATTGTTTAGAAAGCCGGGAAAAGGACGATTGACTATAGCAACAATTCTAGCTGATCCAGGTCATAATTACGACACAACTTATTACAATCGGGAATGGATAGCGCGGAAGTTTGCCACGCATGGTGGACTTAAAGTGAGTAAATACGCGCTATTTTTTACCCTACAGAAAATGCATATCTCAAATCGTTTCCCAACCAACAGCCCATACGACTCATTCGTGGACAAAAATCTTACTCCTGACTCTCGTCCAGACCGTACCCCTTGCGAGCAGGGAAAACGGCTTCCACTAATAAAATCTATGTCTACTAAACAATATTAGCGAAAAAACAGCCTACCTTCATATTTGTCTTGATATCCTCCAGAATGAAATGAACTGATCTTAGGACACAATTTCTGAGCATTAAAATGTGTTCTCTAAAACAATTTCTATTCAGGCGTACGACTGCTGGCATTCCGTGATCTCAAAATGTCTCGCCTCAGGCGAAGACCCACTATTTCTCGGGAACAAACGATGTCCTAATGGAGTATTCTGAACGCGAGACGCTCAGCGATAATTGTGATATGAATCTAGTCATTTTTTTATTAACAATTATACACCAGTTAACAACTTGGCTGTACATTTCAACAAGATCAATTGACTACAGGAGAAGTTAAAAATGACAATGTTCTGCGAAGTATGTAAAACAACAGAGTACAGTTCGAGTTCAAAACGAGGGATGCACGATGCTTTTACTCAACACGCTTTTGAATAAAACAGACTCTAGCCAAAGAGGCTTAGGATAACAACAAACAGACAACAATACATTTAAAAACAAACTGCTATGTGTTTCATTCCGCTATTGTCTGATCTCTTTGCTCTTATTTTTCTTTTTCTTCTTCTTCTTCTTCCTGCTTTCACTGCTCTCATCAGCTAATGCTTCAGCTGAAAATAGATAGACTTACACACAAAGTGTGTATTCATGTGATGTAAATCGGTAAAAGGAGCAGAACGCAGCAAGGCAAATTTTTTGTTATTTGTTTCTCCGAATGCAGTTGAGCGAGATAAGATAATCTCACCTTCCTCCGTCATTTCTGGCTTGTCTTTCATTTTCTTCTCTTCCTTCGAACCTCCAATTTCATCTTCTTCGCAAACTTCTTCAACTTTCAGGCGCTTGACATCTCCCTGGGAAAAATTGCTATAAAGCTCCATTTTACAGAAGACACAAAAGGCTAGTCGAAAATGATGCTAATTTGACGAATAAATTGGGCTTCAAAAATTCTGATTTCGAATGAGTATAGATAAAGTGAATATTAACATATGTGTGGCTGAATTCGAATATCGTAGCTAAGCTTTCAAAAAGTTTCTTTATGTGATTACTCTTATTGCTTCGAAATTGCGAGACTTAAGTTTTTCGGAATTTCATGGAAAGTTGGTGAACACCCAGTAGAGCCAACCTTCCCCAAGGCAACGCTTTTTTAGGATTGGTTTGCTTTTCGCGAAACTTCACTTTTCGAAACTGAGTAACATGGCTGCAGAGATAGTATTAGGTTGATGCATAATTCTTGCACCAAAATTTTCAAAATTATGTTACTTCATCCAGTTGCAATGAAATCTTCTGGTTCGATACATAGTAGAGAGAGCAAATCTTGCGCTTCCTGCCGGTGCTCGAGCCAAAAGTCCTTGAGGGAATATGGCAACGATATAAGGTGAATAAGAGAAATTTCCAAAAAGTGATTTTTCGATTTTAGTCACTAAAACTGCTAAAATGTCTACTAGAATTTAAATTTATTTTTGGTCTAAGTTTTATGGCATGCTCTTTTTAACTAAGAGAAGTTGGTAGTGATCGGATGTCTCTGCGAATATTTACGAATTTCAAATTTTTTAAAATGACTTATCGATTTTGTTTCAAAGATTTCCTAAAATGTACTATAAAATACTAATTTTGATATACATAACATAGAGCAGAACGTGTAAGTTGACTAGTTTGTTTAAGCATTTTTAAAATAATTTTTTTGTATTTTTAGTGCAAGAATTGTGCATCAACCTAATAGAAAGACATTATAATTCAACCGACTCAAATAGGATCAACCACTCACTAGATCAACATATCAAGACTGTGGGTACTACAACCATGCGAAATATAAATTATATCTGCATCGCAGAGGCGTACCGAGGGGGGGGGGCAACCCGAGAACGGGTCGCGATTTTTTTGAAAATTACTTAATGAGCTAAAAAAATGCGCGAGTGACTTGTTTGTACTTGTAAATAATTGAAATATTTTGTAAATTTTTTAAAAATTCACTTTAGCCTCATAATACCAAAAAAATTTTCGGAGTGACCTTCATCAAAGAAAAAAATTTTTTGTCGCCTCCCCCCCCCCGAGCCGAAATCCTGGGTACGCCACTGCTGCATCGCCTGTACACATCGCTCAGAAAAATAGCTGTTGAAAAAAGCAAAAGTGCATTATGTCAAACCTAATTTGTTCATTATAAGACTTATGAGTTCTATACATCTTCTTTGAAAAATTTGTTCAATCCTCACTTCTTTTAAAAATCTCAACAACAAAAAAGAAACATTCGGAGAGGCTTGAAGGTACAGCATTGAAAAAATTTGCTCTATCCGCACATCATGAAATCTCTTTCAAGAGTCTGAAATGAAAATCTTGAAAACTGGCTAAAGTAATAGGCGAAAGATTGCTTGGAAATTTTGTCGATTATTTTATATTACAGGAAAAAAGCAGAGACTCTGCATCGAATTCCAGCTGAATATCAATCTTTGCAAGATTTAGCGATAGGTCAAAAAAGTTATGAGTTGTTTTCATTTATCCAAATCAACCAGTCTCTTGTGTATGAGTTAGATGTCTGAAGATTTCCATGGAAACTTTTTTTAGACGTTCGAAAGCAGCGTCCGGTGAAGCGTTGAAAAACCGAGATACTAAAGCATTGCAATGGCACACTTCCCAACTGATCTACTACTAGTGAAGTCTAGGGCAAAAAAGGGAGTCTGGAAAGCCAAAAAATGACTCTCGAAACCTTCGGACTCTGCATCCCGACTCCGCCTATCCGCCTACTTGCATGCACTTCTTCTACCGAATGCAGATCAGGACGAAAAAGTCTCATTTCGTTAGTTTATGCGCTGCAAAGCCCAAGTATGTGTTTACATGCCGAGAAGGCTCAGGTGAAAACCCGGAGAAAAAAATTTGCCATGACATTATTTTTGAGTTCGCGAGAAACAGCTACCTACCTCCATTTCCAGTCTTTCTCTTTCCTGTCTCCTTTTCAATTTTTTCTCCTTTTTTCTTTGTCTACGTTGCTCTTCTTCATTTTCAACAGCTTCTTCTTCCTCCATGTTTTCTATTTTCACTTGGCAAAACTCCGATGATATTTCGTAAGGCACAGAATCAAACAATCTTTTCTTTTCTTTCCTTTTCTTCTTCTTCTCTTTTCTCTCCTCTTCCGTTTCCTGCTCTGTGATTTCTTCCTTGACAAGCGTATCTTCGAGCTTCACATTGCCAGTCTATAAGCATCGTATAAGGGTTTTTCAACGAAATTTTTTTATTCTAAAGGTTGTCTAGATGGAAGTTACATGTTACTGCTGCATCACATTTGTTTAACACCAAAATCACGCTGCATCAGGAAAATAATAATGCGATAGACGAAACTGTTATGATGCAAAAAGCAATTTTTCAAAACGTTGACAATGTTTAGCGACTGATATCTTACTTTTATTGACCATATTACGGGTATGAAGACCAAGTGCAAAGAAGGAATAAAATATTGACCAACCTTATCTTCCGATCCTCCTTGCTCACTCTTCGCCTTCATTGCAGCCATCTTTGCAGCAAAATATTCGCCTACAGACATGCTGCTCACAGTTGTATTTGACTTTAGTTCGACCTCTTCTTCCTTTTTGATAGGAGATTTCTCCTCCTTTGTCTCATCTTTCTGCGGACTTTCCGTTTCCGGTTTGTGAACAATCCCAAGTATGGCAGCACGATCACTCTCAGTGTAATTCGACGTATCTTTTGCCCGTGTAAATTTCTGGTAGCTAAAAGATTGTAGAAGAGAATTACTAATGGTAAGATACAAGTTGAAAAGTAATTTTTTGGACAACTCAAGATAATATTTTTGTAAAAATAGTGATTATGCGAGAAAGAAGATATGCTACTTTTGTGCCAGTACATTAGGCGTTAGGGCGAAGCCTAACTCTGAGGGCGGAGTTGTTCTACTACGTCTTTTTCCTAGTGCAGGTTTCAATGATATACGCATGGATAAAATTGTATTTCTTTCAGATCTATCAGACACAATAATTATACGAATTCTGCCTTATAAGCTTTGCTTCCTCTACAGATGCAACGCGGGATTTTGTTCACTCAAATTTTGAGAGGAGCAGAAATACTAATGTTAAGAAGAGAGTTCCTCAAACCAGCTCCAAATTTTTTGTGAGACTAACAATTATTTTAGAGAGAGCATCCAAAGACACAGAGAGCGATGTGAAAATCATAGTTTTAAGCTTGAAATAATTGATCAAGAAAGGACAAGATAAAAAAATTTCAAATCAGCTACTGTACACTTACTGTATTCGCCGCCGCAGGCTTTTGCTGCTCAACTCAAGCGAAATTCTTTTGGCTCTTTCCTCCTTCTCCTCTTCAGTAGTAACCTTCTGAAGTAATGCATTCATATTCGCCAATTATCTAAACACGATAAACAGTAAATAACAGTACAAACCTCTTTCTTATTCTTATTGAGAGCGTTGAGAAGGTCAGCAAAATCATCGTGATGTCCAATCCATGTGCTATCATATAAAGCCAGCTTGTCAGCTCCAAGGCCTAAAAAGAGCTTGTGTGTGACGACAGAGCTAACTTCCCTGAAGTTTCAGCATAATCCGTAAGCCAACCTTTTCCGGTATAATTTGCCTTCAGCTTGACGTGATCGGCACTGCCTTGTAGGTTTCTACCCAGCCCTTCTCCTTCAGACCAACCCATTTTCTTCATGAGCTTCTGTGAAAATTTGTCTTGATCATTTTTCCACTGAAGATTTCGGGGATCGATACTGAGACGTTGTTTACGACGCGGCTCTGCCAATATCGACATGCCGCTTGACCCTACAATTAGGGTAACACATCTTTCAAAGGAAGAAGTTGAATCGGTGTAAATGACAAGGTATGTGGTGATTAATGACAAGATATGTGGTGATTACTCAAAACTCATAGAACAAACAAGTATTTTATAAAATTTTATGAGAAGTCATGGTGAACAATAAGTAAACCCATCATATTTCAACCCAACATTCCTAGAGAAAATCACATCACAAATACCTAGAAGGAAAACGCAATACTGAAAAGCGGTGAAAATGCGAAAGAAACTGCTACAAAAGTTCTACACTACCCAGAAAAGGATCACTGGCATCATGATTGAGCATATTCAATTTGGGAAATCTTTGATAAAGTAAAGCATTCTTGATTTATGACCTACGCACAGATTTTGATTGCACAAACAAGAGAGCGGATTTACCAGTTAAACTTCCACAGACTATGGTGCAAGAACATTACATGTAGGATAAGATAACAGGGCAAATGCAGTTAAACCAATAAAAAAATAAATATGTCTCCTGATGCTCGAATTCGCGATAAAATGTCATGTTTGCCTCAGCCAAAGATGCTTCATCTCGCAGCCACTATGTTCACTACCCATATTTCCGACATTCTTAGCATTTTCATGGGTGCTCCCTATAACATGCCGATAAAGCTAGAAAATGGCAGTGGATGAAGAAAAGCAAACAAAAAAAATATACACTCTTGAAAAGGAAAAGTTAACAAGAAAGAAATTATATGGAACAAAATTCTTATTTTCAGCAGCTCCTACCTGGTACAGCGTTCCCGCAGAGACGAAAAGTTTCCCATTTCCATGAGGGAGATCATAAAGACCATGAAAGTATGGCAAGACTGTAAAGATCAGCGGTGCAAGCACATAGTATTGCGCAGCATGAGTGTGACTTATAGCAAGTTGACATTGTTAGCGGTCATTGCATGAGAGTCTGCAAAGCCGACCTGATAAAACAAGATCCACTTTTTCAAGATCGCTCTGCGAAAATTCAAGCACACTAGCAGGATTATGGGCCAAGACCACGCGAGTTGAGCCTGCCGAGCAGTTACTCATCGCTATAGTAAGATTCATGTGGTGATCCGCAATACTATAAATTGTGAAATTATTCCAAAGTCATACTACTACTTTAACATAAAAAGGTACATAAAAGGCAGTGAGAGAATGAGGAACATAAAAAAATGTAAAAAAAATGTAACTTGTCGCTAACCCAGAAGTCTCGCTGGAGACGTCATTCACACCAACGATACAGATTCTGTGGAACATCTCACATCTAAAAAAAAGACGTTACGACTAGCACAAAAAAAGTTTTGCACGATCGCACAGATGGATAAACAACTTACTCGTTATTCAGCACACGGATGCGATGGTCTTTGTACAAATTTAGCCACTTTTTAGCATCACCATAGTAGTATTCATGATTACCAGTCACAAAATATGTGGGGAATCTATGTGTCAGTTTCCTACGACAAAAACATATTTTTAGCGAACCACACCAAGTAATGAGAAAAGTCACCATCAAGGTGTAAGGCGGTCGCCCAGCTGTTCCACAGGACCATCGACTAGGTCGCCAACTAGAGCAACTGCATCAACATCCAGATCGAAAATGGTAGTGACCATTTTCTCAATCTGAAATTGAAACGCAGATGAAACACTCAAATTTTCCTTTGCAGGCACCATCTACCTCAACCTTACTCCAAAAAAAAGTTTCGAGATAAGATCAAGGTGAAAATAATTTAGAAGCAGTGTTTCGGCAGAATTTCGTTTTCCAGATTTTCACCTTTTCGCAACTTTCTCGCATAAGGAATCCATATCTAGGCTTTTCAAGGCATGAAAATGGCGAAAACGAGCTTTTTCCGCAGCTTTCCGGGTCCACATCCAGTGGAGGACACTGCAAATGGGCGCGGCCCGGAATGAGGGAGGCGGGGCGCGAAAGACTTCCGCAGTATCTTCACTGATTGCGGACCTGGAAGGCTTCGCAAAAAGCTCATTTTCGCCGTTTTCATGCGCTGAAAAGCCCAGATATATAGGGTGTCCGTAAAAAATGTGCCTACTGTTTGATTGTGAATAACTCTCTTCTAACGAAGTCTTTCGAGAAGCTTTAGGCACCATTTTGAGCGAGGTTCAACTTAGATTTGCAGTATGGAGCGAATCACCGAGCTCGTTTTATTACTGTAGGAATACGGTAGGAACTTTCAGCATATGGAACCATCGTGAAATATGCCGCCTCAAAATTTTTTTCAAAAAATCTGAAAAATCGTGTACTAGGGTTTTCGCGCACGCTGATTCCACTACACAACTTTTTACGGGTGTTTTCAGCTTTTTTGACGGTGTAATCACATTTCTGAAAAATGCTGGAAATTCAATTATTACGGTTCACCTGGGGTGACTTAGGAAAGAGGCACCACAGTAAAGTGGAAATTTCATATTCGAAAAGAGCGGCTTCCATTACCATAGTGTAAGAATTTCCGGCTTGTTTGGTTATGTTCCGAGGCAGATTATGGCCTCCAAAGACCTAAAATCCTTGTCGAAGTTCCTACCGTAATCCTACAGTAATAAAAAGAGCTCGGTGTTTCGCTCTATACTGCAAATCTAAGTTGAACCTCGCTCTACAAAATGGTGCCTAAAGCTTCTCGAAAGACTTCGCTAGAAGAGAGTTATTCACAATCAAACAGTAGGCACATTTTTTACGGACACCCTGTAGATTCCTAAAGGGTCCGAAAATGTGAAAAAACTGGAAAACGAAATTCTGCCGAGCCTTTGAGATCCCTCCAAAAGCTATTCAACCCAATACCAATGCGCTTTCAAATAACCACTATGTAGTGAGTCAAGAAATCAAAAGAGAAAAAGTCATATGTGTGATGTAACTACGAGAACATGAAGAAACTAAGAATTGATTGAAAAAAAAGAAATACCATGAAACACCAACCTGACTTGCATGAACGCTAGCTCCAGTATGAACATCAGATACAAGTTTCCAAAATTATTCTATGTTTTATCGATTTTATCGATTTTTTTGCAAAGTTTGACTTACGGGGCTGGGAGTTTGCATAGGGAGGGGGGGGGGGGTAATCGAGCATGCTGATTACGAATACAATATTAGTTTTTAGAACTATCCATTATTTTTTATCGATTTTATCGATTTTTTTTCCAAAGTTCGAACTACGGGGCTGGGAGTTGGCACAGGGGGGCAATCGGGCATGCTGATTACGAATACAACACAGGGAACGGGAAATGAAGTGTAGAAGTGGGCACAGGGAAAGGTTGTACAGGGATAGGAATGAGAGCTTTATCATAGTTTTTGTATGCTGTTCCAAGTAAGTTTAAGTCCCAAACGCTTAGGTGTTCAAAATCTCCCAGACTTGCAAATTTCCCTTGAATAAGAACCTACAGTCGAGTAGATTTCCTGCTTAATATAGTGTCCCTGCAGACGCGACAACGCTGGGGCGTCAATAAATGCCTTGCGAGTTCCCGAGCTAATGTTTTCCAGTGTTTTCTTCGCTTATTTCATGCTTTTTAGTTGATTCGTTGCTGATAAAGAGGAAAAGGGTAAATTGAAGAGTAGTTTCTGTTTTCTTAGAAGTTCTATTATCGCATATTCACAGATATCCACGTGGAAACATTTCGCGTCAGCTTCATGTCTACTTTTTTTTGTCATTTCCTTTTCTTCCGTCACTTCTTCTTTCAAACCTCCTCCTTCTTGTGAGGCGTTTCTTTGAACGCTAGTTGGCTTGTCTTGCAGCAACTTCGGCTTTCATTCATTAGAAATAGCATTTTGATCAAGTACTTCATGTGATAAAGACAATAAGTCAATCGTAAAAACCCATTAGCGTTCAAAGAAGTACCTCACAAGAAGAAAGAAACATGAAGTGACAAAAAAATAGACAAGAAGCTGACGCGAACTGCTTCCACGTGGATATGTGTGAATATGCGATGATAGAACTTGTCAGAAAACAGAAATTACTCTCTAACTTACCCTTTTCTCCTTTATCAGTAATGAATCACCTAAAAAGCATAGAATAAGCAAAGAAAACACTGGAAAACACTAGCTCGGGAACACGTCAGGCAATTATTGACGCCCCAGCGTTGTCGCGTCTGCAAGGACACTATATTAAGCAGGAAATCTACTCGACTGTACCTTCTATTTCAGTAGCTTCTGCAGATGGAAGATAAACTGAAACTAGAGCATAAAATATTGAGAGCCAAAGACGTGACTATTTTTCAATAAACTTCTGCTGGAAATCAAACGATTTCATTCGCTGTTTTACAAATGAATGTGGTAGGCACTAAGCGCCCGAAATAAACCAGCAAGCGCTGTGCGCTTGCCAGCCGTATACATAGCGCAACACTGCCTACTGCAGCCTACGCAAATAGAAATGATTATCGTTAACTCTAATGACATAAAAGAACAGAAATACTACTGATATAGACAACCACTGAGATTACAAATTACTAGTAGACAAAAACATAAACACTTGACGTTGACCCACTGGGTGCTACCGATGCGTGTATACACTTTTTTATCCATCCCAAAGCTTCACCTAGCAAATCCACCGTGCGTCGTCAATTTTTGTAATTCTACAAAAGATAGTTTCAAATCGTGAGCTTAATTAGTAATTCTTCGTAGACCCAAGATGACTGTACACTTAGGGACATTCGTAATGATTGTGCTCGATGTTTTGATAATCACTTATCATGCTGTCAGCCATTTGTCTACTCGTATTATCTGTCCTTACATGAATTGAGAATTAGTTTGGATGCACGATTGAATGCGTTAATGCGTCTAATGGTTGGCGCACAATATGCAAATACACATTAAGCTCACTTTCTTCATGTTGTTGCTTCCATATAAAAGCAGGCTAATTTATGCTACTTCGCTTTTCGCTACTTATCTCTCTATGCAATAAACATTTTATCTTTCACTGCGCCTTTTTCAAACAATTGGCGACCCAGCAAGGACGATCTTCGTCTTACGCAGGTACAACGAAACCTTCTACAACAGGACAAGCAGCAAACGTAGGTTCTCCACAGTGCAGTAATGTCCGATAGTGCTAGTATCCGACGTCAAATCGGATTTTTCAAGAAGCAATTGCAAAAGTACTGCTCAGACGCAAATGTTTCATTGAGGGAATACGACATTTCCCCTACTGCCCCACAACTCGAAGCTCTCAGCGATGACGCTATCGAAACCTTTCGACTGGAAATTACTGCAATCCGATCCAACCTGCTCAAGGCTTATGCCAAAATTACAAAATTGGACGAGGAATGGAATGCACTTCAGCAAGCCAGCCCCGAAGAGCAACAGGTACTCGCCGAATACCTTAAAAAGTATGGTGATTATCATGTTACTGTTGCTGACGCTGTCAAATGGTTGGAAACTCTTGACGTTTTGTTGAATTTCATCGATCAAGACTTTACTCGCCGCCACCTCACTCTTTCATCCATTTCTTCTGAAACTCACACACCAGACGAAGATCAACCTTGGAACCGAGGGACAAATCTCCATGTCCCCGCCATTTCGCAACCTACCGATGTTTCTCTTCTAAATTTTGTTGATGCCTCCATCCTCTCCAAACTTGAACTACCCACTTTCGATGGAAATCTTCTCGATTATCCCGAATTTCAATCCCGATTTGCTACCTTAGTCGGAAACAAAGTCCAACTGGACGACACTACCAAATTTTCGCTTCTCAAATCATGTCTCCGAGGAAAAGCGTTGCAAGTCATCCAAGGTTTATCCATGACCCCTGCCAACTATAAGGTAGCAACGGACATTTTGCGAACTCATTTTGATGATAAAGTCACACTCAAGCATATACTGTACACGAAGCTTGCATCTCTACCACCGTGTGACCCGGAGGGCCGCAATCTTCTCCCTCTTTACAATCAGATGTTTTCGCTTGTGAGACAGTTCTCTAACGGTAATGACGAATCAACAGAGAAAGCTCTCGCTGCTCTTCTCCTCAACAAACTTCCTCCTCGTGTGAAAAGTCAAATCTACGATCAAACTCAACATGACCACAATGTTTTACCGTTAGAATTGCTTCATCTACTCACGAGCACAGTTCGCAAAGAATCCACTCTTTCGGAAATGGAACTCTATTCGAAATCGTCCTTCTCTAATCCACTTCGCTATCCTCATCAAGGAACCTACATTACCAAGAAACAACCACGGTCTCATTCACCAAAATCCGTCAAATTTCGCCAAGGTTGTCCCTTTTGCGACTCACAGCTCCATTCTGCCGTAAATTGTACCCGCTATGCTACACCACAACAACGCTTTCAACAAGCAAAAAAGCGGAGATGTGCTATAACTGTCTATCTCCTCGTCATAGCACCAAAGAATGCCCTTCAAAATTTCATTGCCGGCTTTGTTCGAGAAGACATCACACATCTCTATGTTCATCCTCGAGAAGTAAATCTTCGAGACAAATACTTCCAAGACTACCGCTCATCATCTCCTCTCCCGTCCATTTCACCCACGTCAACCCATTCCATCTCGATCCCAGAATCATGCTGTTCATTTTGACAACATCATCCAAACCTCTTGTGCAGATGAAGAGACGAAGAAAACCCAGGCAACCCCTACCTTCGACCGAAACCCACAGGACATCACTCTCACATCATCTCAGAGAAATTCACCAGCTCCTTTGATGTGTACAGAAGTCAGAATCTTTAATCCTGATAATCCCTCCCATTCTCTCACTACAACGGCTTTTCTCGACTCCGGCTCAACCACCACCTATATTACCAACGATCTTGCTGCAGTACTCGACTTACCCGCCATCGAGACGGAAACACTCAACGTCGCAACTTTTGGCGAACCCATAGAGATAGAATCTTCGACTTTCCGATTAGGAATTGAGACCGAAAACGGCAACAGATGTTTCACGGTAAAATCTTCCCCTTCGTTACCAAATGAAGTGATGCAAGTAACTCCCGGCTATGAACCTTCTGTAACGACATGCAGTCCATCGTTACTGATCGGAAACGATTACTTTTGGGATCTCGTACTATCTCACAATTTCTACTACAAAAGTCTTCCGGAAGGATATCGTCTCCTGCATACTAGCATTGGTGATATCATTTTAAAAAGAGCAATTGACATGAAAATGAACGAATGCAGTTTTGTTTCCATTGACAGTGACAATGACGACGCTGCAAATCCTGCAAATCACAATGATCTTTGTGAGCTTGTCAGTCGTTTCTGGAGACTAAAGTCGATCGGAATTTTGGACAACCCCGATCAAAGTGATGACGAAGAATGCCTCAAACATTTCAATGACACCATCTATTACGACTCCACTGAGAAGAGATATGTTGTCACATTACCGTTCAAAACGGACCCCAGCACAATTCCAGACAACCACGCCCTAGCCTTTTCGCGTTTATGCAACCAAGTAAGAACTTTACAAGAAAACCCCACATATCTAGGGAAGTATCACGCCGTCATAGAAGATCAACTACAGCGGAACATCATTGAAGAAGTATCACTTAAAGAAATTCACCAACCGTGTCATTATCTGTCCCACCACGGTGTTCTGAAAAAAGACGACAAGAACCTGAAGATTCGTTGTGTTTACGATGGTTCTGCGAAAATGAAAGGACAGATGAGTCTTAACGAAGCTCTACATAGAGGCCCAGTTCTCCTTCCTGATCTCGTCGGAATCCTTCTCCGCACTAGACTGTGCAAAATACTGATATCCAGTGATATCGAAAAAGCTTTTCTTATGGTCGGTTTAAACCACAAATCACGGGATTACACCCGATTTCTCTGGCTGAAAGATCCACATAGGCCTCCTACTCCAGCAAACTTGGTTACCTACCGGTTTACACGAGTCCCGTTTGGACTAGTATGCTCTCCATTCCTTCTCGCTGGAACTATCCATTTTCATCTCTCTTCATCGGCCACTGACTTATCCAGGCACATTATTCGAAACACCTATGTCGACAACGTCTTTTATGGCGCCATGAACATTGATGAAGGAATCAGCTTCTATAGAGAATCCAAGGAACTCTTTCAGAAGGCAGGCATGAACCTTTGGGCCTTTGCCAGTAATGCAGAAGAACTCAATGAATACTTCGGGAAAAGAGAAACAGAAGCGATTCCCAAGATACAAAAGCTCCTCGGTTTGCAATGGGATCTCAGCAGTGACGAACTTATCATACCTTTGCCGGAAAAGCCATCAAACAAACTACTATGCTAGAAAAGAAAAGTTTTGAAGCACATAGCGAGCTTCTACGATCCACTTGGCCTTTTCTCTCCTGCACTGCTAACCAGCAAAGTTTTCCTCCAATCACTGTGGAAAGAAAAGCTGTTATGGGACGATGCCCTACCCACAGAGAAAGAGAAACAATGGGAAAACATTTTATCGAGCTGGACGATCCAAAAAATGTCAGTTCCTCGCCTTGTAGTAGATTCCCAGAAGGAAGCTTCGTATGAATATGACCTCCATGTATTTGCTGACGCTTCATCTGCGGCATATTGTGCGACATCCTATCTTCTACAAAGGATAAAAAACAAAACGGTCCGAACTTCTCTGCTAATGTCCAAGTGTAGACTTGCACCACTCAAGAACTCTATGACCGTTCCACGACTCGAAGTAGCAGCACTCATGATCGGCTCAAAACTTCTGACTTATCTCGTGAAAGAACTGGACCTGCGCATCTCGAAAAAGTTCCTATGGACGGACAGTATTGTAGCCTTATACTGGACAAAGAACAACAAAAATCTACCGATTTTTGTTAAGAATCGAGTAAAAATAATTCTTGACAATACTTCGGACGTAATGATCCTGCACGTACCCACTGAAGTGAACCCAGCTGACTTGGGAACTCGAGGATGTACGATTGAAGAGTGATAAAAGAAGATCTGTGGTGGCTTGGACCTCCCTTTCTTCGAGAAGAACAAGACAAATGGCCGGAACATGCACGCAACATTCTCCAAGAAAATTCTCTTGAGAATAATCAAGAACTGGACGCACTGGAAAAACATCTAACAGTTGCGAATTTTTCTCAAAATCCTAGACTCAAAGCACCTTTCAAAACCGAAGTCAATCCGCTCTTGGACTTGAAAAGATTCAGTACTTGGACCAAGCTACTCCAAACGATGATGTTTATGCTGAAATTTTTCATAAAGGTATCCAAACAAGCAGCAGATCTTTTCGGTAGCACCAAAGTCGTACTGCTTCAACGGAGCGAGACTATACTGTTCCGTCTGGCACAGTCATCTTTTCCTCCTTCTAGCGAATCCAAAAAGCAATATCGACTTTTCACTTGTGAAAAAACCTCGCTGTGGAAATCTCATGGACGTATTGAGCATGCCAACTTACCAACATCAGCCATCACACCAATCTTCCTTCCTCGTGAAAGTCGAATAACTATTCTCTACATACTACATGTCCATCAAATGAACAATCATACCGGAGTAAATCACACCCTCACACTTTTGAGACAGAGAGTTTGGATACCCAAAGGACGCGCCACAGTGAAAAGAGTTATCCACAACGAATGCTTTCACTGCAAGAGGTTTCGATCCAAACCATTTACTCTTCCTCCTTTTCCCGCACATCCGGAACGAAGAGTAACTCCTCCACAATATCCTTTCGAAAACGTCGGAATGGATTTTTTTGGACCTTTGACCTACCATACCAACACCAACACTGACGAAAAATACTGGATGTTGCTTCTCACATGTCTAAACTGTCGAGCAGTTTACGTAGACGTGATACTAGACATGACAACTGCCACGATACTGCACATGTTAAGACGTTTCATCGCCACTATCGGGTGTCCAAGATGGATCCTGTGTGACAACGCACAAACTTTCAAGACAATCAACCAATGCTATTCTTCACTGCCAGTACCCGACATTGACGAAGACATCATGGATTACTGTGCCAACCACCGAATCCAGATGAAATTCATACCCAGCCTCAGTCCATGGCAGGGTGGAGTTTACGAAAAAATGGTCGACATCTTCACAAAATCATACGGCACGCTATTACCAATCACCGACTCGATATTGAAGAAATCCGAACTTTAGCAAAGGAAGCCGAAGCTATAGTTAATACGAGACCGCTCACATACTACAGTGACGAAATTTCCTTCCAGCCTCTGCGCCCCATCGACTTTCTAAGCCCGCATGTTCGACTCTGTGGTCTTTATCCAACCGAATCACAAGACCAATGGTCACCTTTCCAAACTACCAGGGACACTCTGCTCGCCGAGTGGAATCGAACATTTGACTTAGTGTCCACGTTTTGGAATCGATGGAGCACAGAATATCTTACAACTATGCGAGAACAGTACAAAACGGAACATACGACTCCCAGATCCCATTCAACAGGGACTCCAAGGTACGGAGAAATTGTGTTGATTCAAGATACTACATTGGATCGCGGACAATGGAAGATGGGAAGAGTGATCGGTTCACAGGACGAGTATCAGCGATCGCGATGCCCAGATGAACTCAACACACCCAAGACCATCTTATACGCCACTACCTGCAGATCGGATGGCATTGCCGTTGCAAGGCATAACAGAAAATTTTGCTACTATCCAGTTTCCTGTCCTATTGGACACATACATTTCGAGAAGCCATACTCCAGCGCATCGAACTCCGACACAACACTATGTGGTAAAAAATGTAGTTGCCCCGGCTGGACTTCGTCGTGTTCATTTCATACTGGTCCTATCACGACCAAATCGAGAAAACAAGCGCTACCACACCACCTTCTCAACTACCGACCAGATTTTATCTGCTCATTTCAACGCAACGAAAATTGTAGTTCCATCAAAAGAGTAGGGACATTCAATCAAGTGCAACTATTTGATAACACTTTACTCCTGGTTGAAAATCTGACAGTCACTTTGAAGGACTACCTGACCCGAGAAGACTTCTTGTGCATTGACCGCAAAGGAACGAAACAACCTGCTGGAAATAGCACCACTGGCACCTCCCAGTTCTGCAAGAAACACAAATGCAAAAAACCTGCAAGGCTCTTCTGCCTCTACGACAACCCAATCGCCCTACTACTCATCAACGCAGATTCAGAACGTGATGCAATACCGCTCAAAGCCTGGGGCCCCACCACGAAGATATACTATGGACTTCCTTCTAAATATACATCCTCGTACACATCATCGGAGATTTCTACGATGCTATCCGTTGAAAAGGCTCAACATAAAGATGCGACAGTCTCCTCTGCTTCTTGCGCAAAGGGAGGACTAACTCTCAGTAAAAGCAGCAGCAAAGGAGCAGTAGAAGCATGCATCGATCAGTACTGCGTCTTCAAGCAAGACAAAGATTCATCACACATCCCCTTTCCTAACTCTCTCACCATGTACGACTACAAGGTTACCATCAAAATCTGGTCTGGAGAGAAACTCGATGCAGAGCTACAACTTTTCTGTCCCGCTCATCCCATCCGTGAAACGATGCGATGTACAGTCTGCTGGGAACGACTGTACAACACACAATGTTGGACCTTGATACAAACAACGGTGATTATCCTATGCGCTTTGATTCTTCGCTATGGATTTACGTGACCATCAAAATCCTATGCTGTTTACTGCGTTTGATGAAGATCATCCTTTATCGAGTTTGCTGCCTCGATAAAGTCTTTCGCATCATTTGCAGACGCCGAAGACTACAGACCTACACGAGCAGAAGAAGAAGACATAAACGCAGCATGTTTCCATGCCTAGCCTTAACTTGCTTACAAATCTCTCAAAGTCTGGGATGCTCTCAAATTACATCTATCATTGCAAGAGAAAACACCTGCATTGAAAGTGGAGGAAAACAAACCTGCGTCTTCAACGAAGCTACAGTGATTGCTTTACAACCACTACATCAAGAATCCTGCCTAACACTCAAGACCCACCACAACAAGCCAATCGGACTTTTATCCATCAAAGTAAAAGACATCAACTTTCAATGCCACAAAGATGTACAGTTTTACACTAGAGATCATCAAATACTCTCCGAATCCATCCATCGCTGTTATCTCGCTGGAATTTGCACCGAGCACGCCTGCGAAAACACTACGCCTACTACCAAAATTCAAGAAATTTCAAGATTAGCGAATGAGAGCCCTGGTTACACATTCTGTGCTTCAAGTTGTGGATGCGTCACCTGTGACGGTTGTTTCATGTGCCAACCTAGTTGTCTTTTCTACCGGATTTACGCCCAACCAATGAGCTCCAAAATCTACGAGATCTTCAGGTGTCCCAGCTGGGAAACTGTAGTAGATGCTGAAATAACCTTGGAACAGTCTAGCAGCAGCTCTTCTACTCTAACCCTCCGACCAGGACAGACGATTCGATGGAAAAACATCAAGTTCAATCTCATAGGCACCACCACTCCACAATTACCTATCCTTTCCTCCTTTTTCATGGCAACAAAAGGACGTACTTCAATTATTCAACCGGCTTACTCAGGACAACTGACCCCTCAAAGCGCTGGTCAACTACAATGCTCCTCTCTCAGGAAAGCAAAATCCTTTGGATGCGTCTTTTCCACAAGAGCATGCTCGTGCTCAACTGCCGTAAAGACAGCCTCATGTGTGTGTAGCTCTGGAAACATGGCCAAATTGATGAAAAGTTCACCACTTCCAGAAGTCTCCAAAAACTACATTATCTTCATGAAGGGCAAAAACCTATACGCTAAGGCTCGCATTGGCTCGATCTTACAACTACATGTAGTTGCAGATAACATGAAGATCGTTTCGCAGCAAACCAATGCTTCATGTGAAACAACAACCAGCGACGCCGAAGGATGTTACAACTGCAGAACTGGAGCTGAAATAACCTTTCTTTGCAAAAGTAACTCCAAAAACAATTTAGCTAATATCGTTTGTTCAGAACAAAACCAGATAGCCTATTGCACCGACGAAGGACATGCCAACAAACTACGCTTTCACTTTAACACCTCCACTATCGACACAAAATGCAAGATAACATGCCCAGCAAATGTCCAAGAAATCAAGATCCAAGGAAATCTGCAATATATCGAGGACGAACCGATAATCGACGACACGATGGCAAAAACTATCTCCGAAACATCTCTAGAGACGTGTCATACCTTAAGACCTTTTCACAACATCTCTTCAATCCGAAACGACTACTTGATTATTTTTTCTATCCTATCAAGTTCAGTTCACTAACACTTACCCTCCTTGTACTCGCTTTTATCTTGTATTACTCCTATGTCGCTTACTCTCCAACAACTTATCGCTATCGCTACAAACGTTATTAAACAAAATCTACGTTTCACACCTTTTTTCGTGGGGAGTTCTTGTAATTCTACAAAATATTGACTTTAGCTGTACTTTTGAACTTTATTAAAAATTCACTCAGCCTATGAATCAGCTGTACATCCCGCAATCTTGCTAATAGCTTTGTCTAGTGTTTCGTTAATGCCTGCTCTGCCATGCTGTCACTTACACCACATTTCGAAGCCCAAAGCCCACGACAACTCCAAGATGTCCGCTCTCTACGTCAACAAATCAGCATCGCAAAACAACAACTTCTTCGAGCCATAGAAGAGACAAACCGTGAGTGTATAGAAATTTCTCAACTTCAGACTCTCAACAATGACGAGCTACTCAACACTTACGAAGGCCACACGTCTGCGCATGACTCACTCCTTCGCACATATAGTCACATCTATCACTTATGGAACGAATGGCAGAAGTTGATACTAGTGAACCAGCAAGAAAATCAAGTACTAGAACAGTACGTAGCCACACATGGCAATTTCCGGCAGACGTTGGAAGATGCCGTCGATACACTTCAACGATTGGATCACGAACGACCGCTATTGGAAGGCGAACTCAAGCGAAAAACATCAATTTCGAACCCTACGAATCCGATGCCGATTCGTTATCTTCGGAAATCCCACACTCCGAAGGACGTCTAGCAGCAACACTTCCACATAAACCCACGTCACAGTTGCATCATCATTCCTCCCGCATTCTTTGTCGCCGCCACTCTATTTGAAAGGTCAAAGGCCACCTACATACGTCGAGGACGATTGCGAAACGCGTTAAGCCTCCTTTCGAACCCCTTCAATTTCATTATTACTGTACTAGTTCTTCTTGTTCCTCTGAATATCTTTATGGAAGCATTACCTTTGCTTCCTGTTGGGAATTTTTGTAATTCTACAAAAGATAGTTTCAAATCGTGAGCTTAATTAGTAATTCTTCGTAGACCCAAGATGACTGTACACTTGATTATCAAAACATCGAGCACAATCATTACATTCGTAATGATTGTGCTCGATGTTTTGATAATCACTTATCATGCTGTCAGCCATTTGTCTACTCGTATTATCTGTCCTTACATGAATTGAGAATTAGTTTGGATGCACGATTGAATGCGTTAATGCGTCTAATGGTTGGCGCACAATATGCAAATACACATTAAGCTCACTTTCTTCATGTTGTTGCTTCCATATAAAAGCAGGCTAATTTATGCTACTTCGCTTTTCGCTACTTATCTCTCTATGCAATAAACATTTTATCTTTCACTGCGCCTTTTTCAAACAGTCAAGGTAAAAACACGGCACGATGCCTCTCCACTCGCAAGGTTCTTTAACTCTTACCAGCTCCAATTCTATAAAAAGCTTGACTTGAATTCAATCCAAAACTTAATCTAAATCCATCACAATTCGCTCGAGCGGCACATGAAGATATATATTTGACCTCTCAAGCATTACAAACTTTACCAACACTTCGCTTTCCATACTCTCAAATGGAGTAAAAGCTCACAACATTTCAACACATAAAAAACAAGTTAATGCATCGCTCAGTCCAAGTAGGCAGATTTTCAAAAATGGTAATGACATCATTTTTTGACTATACAACCTTTTAAAAAGTCACTCTAGAAAAAATGAAGACTTTAGACGAGTTTTCCCACTAGACGAAAAACGCATTCATCAACAAATGTCCAGGAAAGATTCTGGATGACATCATTTCTGCACCATCTCTCCACACCCCCAGTTTCACTTTGCAGAAAGAGAGCATTAATGTCAAGTCACGTCTTACACAAGGTAATAGACTAATAAACTAGTTCCAATCTACCCTGTTATCGTTTGTGGGGAACAAAGTTCTGACAAAAAGTCTCGACGAAAAAAACTGACAGACGAAATGTTCAATACTTCACCGATTTATCAAATAAACCATGGTAAAAGTCACGCAACCCCATAAGGTATATAATTCAAATGCGGATGCCATCACACTGGAATAACATTGTTCTATCATTCATAAGGAAACTATGATCTTCGACATGCTATGATTTTTTTGTACATTTTTGGATAATTTTTGCATGCTTCTTGGATGTTTTGGATGTTTTCGTTTGATTTTTTGGCGCACTTTTGTGTATAACAATAAACAATAAACGACAAGACAGTTTTACTTCCCATATAGAATTAAATAGTCTTTCAGATATGACAATCCTACACGTCTGTATAGTCATTGTGGGATTCGTCGTTTCCCAACAAAGGGTCAACCAACCAATGCTAAGGTTATCGCAAGCACCAAGCGATGAATACACAAGTGCGCATTGCAACCGTAGCTAACTTTTTGAAATACCAAACAGCAAAAGCAACTTTCAGAAAATCGGGGATGGACAAAAACTGCAATACAACGGATGTGGCAAGAGCGAGAAAAGATGTCACACACGCCGCTATTTAAATTCAGTGTAATGCTTTTTTCGGAAGATGCAAATTCAAAACGAAACCCAGTTAAAAGCCAAAATCTTCACATTCTCAGTATCCCGGCCAACCGATGGTAGATATTATATTCAAAAACGAATCCGCATCAAGGACAGGATCAGTAAAACATCGCTTTGCATGGTGTCTTATGATGTGGGCACTTATAGAAGGGCACGTCAAGAATGGTAAGTATTTAGCCCTGTACACATTTTGAGAAGTCACAAAAGAGGAAGAAAACGTTTAGTGAGATGCAAAAAATACATGAAAATTTTCATGCACACTTCCAGGCACTAACGTATATGAAGCATCATCCGGAAATGCGGCCGCAGCACTTGCCTACATGTGCCATTTACTACATATTCCATTTACAGCCTTAGTACGTTCTTCGCCACAACATCTAATTTTTAAGCAAATTATTGATTGCTCTTGTCAAAATCTGACTACCGCGTCGTTACGCTACAATTCTCAAGGGCATAACACCGAAAGATTCAGCGCTGCAACTCCACCGCTCGATTATCGTTACTAAGGGAATCCTTGTTAGTTTCTCTTTATCCGCTATGTATATGCTTGAGTTAGCAAATAGACAAATCTGAAACACTGTGGGAAACACTTCACTGCAAGAAATTTGGAAAAACTTCGAAAGACAAAAATAATTTAAATAAAAATAATTTAATAATTTAATTTCTCCTTATACAAAACAGCAAATGCAGAAAAGGACACTAAAGTAAACATACCGAGAAACCGAAGAGCGGTTTGGAAATTCCCCTGCACTCTGTAAATGTATTGGTCATAAACTACTTCATATGTAGTAACTAATCTCAATCAAGGTTCCTGACACTATAGAGGATATCAAAGCGAGACATATCGAAGAATATGGCGGCAAAGTTGTAAAGGTTCCATTCGGAGAAAGGTAGGATATCATAAGTGTTTCAGCGATCTACTATGATCAATTCTATAATATCAAGATTAGCAATAAAATTTGGACTATCGAACCCCAATGCGCAATCCCTTTTTCGACATAGAAAACTCGTCATTATCTTTTTTGATGAAAAATAATGTCACTTATCAAATTCTGGTGGCATTCAGTTTGGTCCGAGCACGACAAATGGCAAAAGAAAACGGTGGATTTTTTATGAATCAAGATGGCGCTGGTGACAAAGCTGAGGAATTCCATGAAAGTGAATGCGAACAAGCAGAACACTGTATAGAAGAGAGTCAGGTATAGGTTTTTTCAGGTGGAAACTTTTCACTCGAGTCGGTGAATTTGTTCCATGAGATGCTGATGCAACTAAGTACCGACGACACTCAAAATGTGATAATTCCGCACATTTTCGTACACTCAGCTGGAACAGGTAAGATATCAGGTTAATGCCGAACTAATGCATGCTCCTTATTCTCAAGCGGCAGAGAAGGTATAAAATTTATAAAATACATCATTCAATTGCGCAATGTAAGCTCTACAAGATGGTTTTCAAACGATCTTAAAAAGTTTGATACACGGAGTTAGGAAAAAGAGTCTGAAAATTTTCAAATGCCCAAATCGATCTGTTCGAAATCCTACTGATATCCAACTTGCTCAAAAAAGGTACTTTCCGCATCAGCTATGCACATGTGCACTTGCGGTATTTTGTCCATGACCAGGTTGGAAAAATAAAATTTGGCATGATCTAGCAAAAACAATGATGGATTGTCTCGCCATACTTCCATACCAATGGCGTACCGAGGGGGGAGCATCCCCTCCCCCGAAAATGGGTCGCGAAATTTTTGAAAGTTACTCGCATGGGTTATGAAAATGTGCAAATGACTTGTTTACACTTGTAAATATTAGATCGTTCAGAAAATTCTTTCGCACCGTTTTCAAAAATTCATAACTTCTGGTTTTTTCAGCCGATTTGCAAGTTTTCATTTTTGTCTGAAAGAGCATATCATTCTCTTCGTAGTGGTGCCTTGAAGGCTTCCTAATGGGCATACACTGCATAGAGAGAAACGGTAGAAGAAAATTAATCAAAATTCGAATTTTCTGTGTAGGGTCATAAAAAATCTGAAAGTTGCACTAAAAATCGGAGCGGTTAGAATTGTAGGTTCTTTTACTAGCTCTTTCTAACTGTGCAAAGTTTGTGCTGATTGAGCGTCTCTATGAAGAGTTATGATTTTCGAGAAAAATGCCAAAATAAATCAAATTTGACGTTTTGTATTATTTGTTCGAAAATCATAACTCTTCATAGAGAGTTATAATTTTCGATTTGCTCAATCAGCACAAACTCTGCACAGATAGAAAGGGCTGCTAAAAGAACTATAATTCTGACTGCTCCGATTTTTAGTGCAACTTCCAGCTTTTTTATAACCCTTCACAGAAAATTCAAATTTTGAGTGATTTTCTAAAGCTCTTATCTATGCAATAGATGATCATTAGCAAGCAACTAAGATATCGATATAAAGAGCATGATTTACTCTTTCATATGAAAATAAAAGCAGTCAAACTGGTTGGAAAACTCGTATGTTATGAATTTTTGTTGGTGCAAAAGAACTTTCGGGACGACCTATTAATTTAAAACATTTTTTAGAATTTTTTAAATATTCAATTTAACCTTTAAAAAATTTGGAGGGGGCCGCGAAAATTTTGGGGAGCATATTATTAAAAATTTCGGAGTGCGTAGCTGACGCCACGCACCTCCATCAGAAAAAAAATTTTGTCCCCTCCCCCCCGCCCCGAACGGAAATCCTGGGTGCGCCACTGTTCCATACTACGAACTTTTGAAAGTATAACAATAAGAATTCAGCCTTCTTCGAGCGGACAAGAAATCAAATTCAACATAGAAATCCGAGATGCAAAATGTTGCCTTCTTCGGGTTTTTATGTTGACTTTTGGCCCTTTTTTACTGTGAAGTTCCCAACCATGAAAAAAATACGACAAGCGTGGATAAATGTTTGATGCGTACAATATATGAGTGACTAAGTTGGAAGCTCGCAAGGTTTTTTCATACGAGTTTCTGGTTTTTGAACCGAAATCTTTCCTTTCTTTTCCAGACTTCATACACTTGGAAAATTTTGCCATCATTCAAATGCAAGTAAGAACTTTCACATCTTCTTTGCTAAAGAATAAGAAACATGCATTTAGTCTGCACCAACCTAAAACCTGAAGACGTAGCGATGGGAGAAGAGGGGCAAGAATACAGATTTGATTCGACTAGCCTAGTCAAATAAGAACATTACGATACCAAAACTAAGATTTTCAAAAGCATTACTTGGCGCCTGTTGTTGAATTATATATGATACAACCGTCTGGAAGAACTGTAAATTTAGGCGGTACGATATCCTCAATTGGACGATATGCGAAAAAATATGGACTCAACACTGAAATAGTTCTCGCCGACACACAATTTTCGGTTTACTATGACTATGTAATGCACGATAGGTAAGCTCTACTAAGACCTGTACGATTTAAATACGCTTATTATGGAGGCAAACAAGAGAATGAACACGCTAGTAGCAGACAGCTACGCGATTGGTGAGCGCGTACCGTTGCAAATTCTGTATTGTCTGCGTCTGCGATTCGACTATAAAACAACGACTCCACATGAGAATCAGAAAAATTCAGATTCAAGAACGAATCCGGTGACAGCCTATGGGTGGAGCCAGGAATGGCAGTTATTGGCTATGAACCAATGGGAGTGGTAAGGATAGGCGAAACAACAAGGTATCGCATTTTCTTGTTCAATCTTACAAAACATTGGGTTAGAATAGTTGCGTTGAGTTGCCTGTGGCAGCGCCGTGCCAGTGCGTGCAGGAGTGCCAGTCGATTACAGTCCGCAGCCATTTGAGCAATTACACGGGCACCAGCACGAGTTTGGCATAGCGCTAGCACTGCTCTGGCACGCAGGCGACTCAAAAGGCACCCTACAGGAGAGAACGCAACCTCAATATTTCACCTGTGCAGAGGGTATACTTCTTTCCCAGAAGGACCCACTACACTTGCATTTCAGTTTGGATGCTGCTGTAATCGATCGAGTCATCAAAATACCCGATATCGCTGGCACCGCAGCCATGCGAGTGCTACGAGATCAAGGAGTTTCCGGCGGCACCAGTACTGGAGTAAATTTCCTTGCCTCGCTACATATTGCTTCTACAGCAAAGTAAATTTTGGTTCATTTATTAAATCAGGTAGTTTTGTGTAGCTAAAGACATATTCTATCAAACTTTAAATAGTTCTAGCAAAATTTGAAAGACTACGACTGGACTGTCGCTGTAAAGGCGGTGTCCGGGCAAAATCTCCTCGATTTTTAGAAAATCCACTTACCGGGGGTTATCCGCAACGCTGAATCCGAAAATCCACATTAGAGGGCGCGAAAACGGCGAGAACATGCATTTTCCAAAGCCTTACGATTTGTCGACGTCCCCGCCAGGCTGAGACGCAGAGTCACTGCGGGACCCTACAAGCTTAACTGTGGCGGCATGCGTACTCTGCCGCATTGCAGGAACTCGAACAGGTCGGAGGACCCCGCCCCAAGGCGTAAGTTTCCCCACTTTCCGACCGTTTTTCCTGCTTTAGGTCGAACCTTATAGGGTCGCATTTGCGCGATGCTGTGTCTGAGGGGGGCCACTTTCGCATGAAATCTCAAAACCCCCACCCAACCCGGACACTGCCTTTAAGCACAACTAATGCTCATAACTGGTGTAAACACTCTTGATAATTTTTCAAGAGAAAAGAAATCACTCGTTTCAGCAAATATTCGGACACACTACAAGATTTTTTTCGAACATTTAGGAAATAAGCTTCATTTTCAGTTCCTTCTTTAATTTGCTTCGACAAAGCTTTTGCTTTACTTCTACAAATTATTACTTCAATTCAATTCTATCAGCGATTCGTGCAAAGCCGAGTTTGTTCTTGTGATATGGGGCCACTCACACAATCATGTCTAAGGCAGTCTAGATTGATTTCACACTCCAAAATTGGATACTGCGGAGCCACTCGCAATCGCGGGGTAGCAGCAAAACTTTTTGTTTCTACGACCAAAGCCATAGCTCATTGATTGGCAAAAAAGCAAGAAGATTGCGTAGATAGCCAGGTTTTCCCCAGCTTCAAACAAGCTTGAAGCTCAGATAGGCGCCAGACTAAGATAGGTGCCAGAGTAAGCGAATATTTTGTTCAAGTTGGGGTCCTGCGGTGAACTGACGTCTCTCACCATACTGGCATCAATCCAAGTGACGTCAATTCTCCGCAGGACCCCAACTTGAACAAAATATTCGCTTACTCTGGCACCTACCTAAGCGATTGCCTGCTTTAGCAGCAGAACGCGCGCAAAATTAACGGGAGGTAGTAATTTGGCGTCACGTCGGGCGGAAATTAAAACATGATGAAATGCCCTCGCAAAGCAGAGAATGGGAGGATGATGAGGAGGTCTTCGAGGATGAGATGGATGAAACACTCGCAAGATAAAAAAACTTGTTGTTGCGGCGGATGCCGCTTTCCGCTTGACGTGACGCCAAATTATTACTGCTGTTAATTCTGCGCGCGTTCTGCTGCCAAAGCAGGCAGTCGCTTAGTCTAGCGCCTACCTTACTATCAGAAGCTGCTTTTAGTGGATTAGAGAATATAGCCATGCACCAGTGCTAAAGCAGTAGTGCAGAAACTCCATTCAGCGATGGGCGGGGCTTAACGGTGCATCCCTATTGATACATGCCTGCCCAAGCGTGCGCTATCGTTAATAAAGCCACCCCAAACTAAGTTTTATAACCACTTCTATAAGAATTCGTCCGGCATAACAGAGTATCAGCTCCATTCAATGCATGGTGGGCAGAAATGTTCAGAGATTTTTATACGACCTTAAACGCTGTGTCCAGGCAAATCTGGGCATATGGATTTTTTGCCTGGAAACTAATGAGGAAGTTCCAGCTAAGGCACTGCCCAAACCGCAGCGCAAATTATTCGTTCACGGCTGAGAAATCCACCGCCAAACACTCCGCGGCTGCGCCGTGACCGTGACACTCAGGGTAAAGCGGGGGGTGCGGCACGCCGCAGAGGGGGGGTCGTATTGAGGAGTCAAAAGGGGAGGGGGTCGTAGTTAGGTGATCTGATTATAGCAATAACATGATATTCGTATCATATCCATAATTAGCACGTCAATTAACCCCTGTAGACAAAGTGTGAGCGAATTCTGAAGATTCAAGATACTAGACTACCTAAGTGAAATGGTCAAATTCCAACATGGTTAACTTTGTTTTAAAGGTGAATTAGCTATCCGTTTTTGCACTCAAGACAAAGCACTACTCCTTCTTTGTCCACCTCAGGAATCCCGCTTCAGAAGACCTCCAAACTGTGGAATTAGAAGCCAACCAAAATCTCATTTTTCCCATTTTTCGCTTTTGATGGCTGTGCTTTCACCAAACATTACTCAGAGCTAAGAAGACGAATCAGGCTCAAAACATCCCTATGGAATCTACGAGGTTTAGGCTATCGATTCATATAAATATTGTCCGCTAAAAATGCTTTTTTGATATAGATAATGGCCTGCGGCACCCCCCCTCAAAACCTGCGGCTGCCGCAGGAGTGCCGCAGGGGTGCCGCAGGCCATTAACTATATCAAAAAAACATTTTTAGCGGACAATATTTATATGAATCGATAGCCTAAACCTCGTAGATTCCATAGGGATGTTTTGAGCCTGATTCGTCTTCTTAGCTCTGAGTAATATTTGGTGAAAGCACAGCCATCAAAAGCGAAAAATGGGAAAAATGAGATTTTGGTTGGCTTCTAATTCCACAGTTTGGAGGTCTTCTGAAGCGGGATTCCTGAGGTGGACAAAGAAGGAGTAGTGCTTTGTCTTGAGTGCAAAAACGGATAGCTAATTCACCTTTAAAACAAAGTTAACCATGTTGGAATTTGACCATTTCACTTAGGTAGCCTAGTATCTTGAATCTTCAGAATTCGCTCACACTTTGTCTACAGGGGGTATTTGACATGCTAATTATGGATATGTTGTCCATTATGTTTGACAGAGCCTTCAGGTAATACTATCTTAAGTGTATAGTTTAGGAGGGGGGTCTTATTAAGACAGCAATCAGGGGGGGGGGGGGGGGTCGTATCCGACGGTCGAGTGCCGCACCCCCCGCTTTACCCTGGTGACACTTAGCATGGCTCCCAGCGCGAACTTAATGTTAAAGTGAGCGAAGTCGTTTTCGAGTTACGGTCACGGCGCAAGCGCGGGGTTTTCGGGGACGGATTTCTCAGCCGTGAATGAACTATTTGCGCTGCCCTTTGAACAGTGCCTTAGTTAGGACCCCTCATCAATTTACAGTCGAAAAACCCATGCGCTTAGAATTACCTGAACACTGCCTTTAAAGGCAGCGGCCTGGCAGAATTTCGTTTTCCAGTTCTTCACCTTTTCTGAGCCTTCTCGCCATGAGGAACCCATATCTGCGCTTTTCAGCGCATAAAAATGGCGAAAAGGCGCTTTTTCCAAGCTTTTTTAGGCCCGCATTCAGCGAAGATATGCGGAAAAAGCCGCGCCCCGCCTTTTTCGTTCCAAGCCCCGCCCATTTCTGCACTAAAGGCTGACCTGGAAAGCCTCGGAAAAGTGAATTTTTGCCATTTTCATGGGCTGAAAAGCGCGGATATGGGTTCCTCATGGCGAGAAGGCTCCGAAAAAGTGAAGGACTGGAAAACGAAATTCTGCCGAGCCGCTGCCTTTAAGCGATCGCGAAGTGCTGGAGTTGCAAGCATAACAATCAACAATGAGAATTGCGTATGCCAGCTCCCCCTATAGGCCCACCGCCCTCTAACCGACGATAACTGGTGCAAAAAAATGCTGGCTTCCTTTACATCAAGAGAATATAACATAGAGCCATTGCCAAAACTACTTGTTCGCATGACTTTGATAAAACGTGGAAAAGTATAGGCCGTCCGCGCAAGGCGCGGAGAGTGCGCAAGGCGTGTATTGCGCGTCACTCCTCTTTCCCCGTGCACTCTCGCCGCCTGTTTTCTCTGCGTCTCTTCCAGTTATGAACTACCTTTAATGGACGCAACAGCGTTGCTCTCTGTGCGCAGCGCGGACGGTCTATAAAATCTGACAACCTCACTAGAGAAGCGCTAATAGGGGCGGATTAGTATACCTCTCCGAATAGTGGACTGGGTCGCAATACTACTTTTTCGACATCGCTTTCAGCTCCATTCGCTCTAGTTTAGAAAGCCGGTGAAAGAACGATTGACTATAGCAACGATTCTGGGTGATCCAGGTCACTACTACGATGCAACTTATTACAATCGAGAATGGATAGGGCGGAAGTTCGCGAAGCACGGTGGACTGAAAGTGAGTACATACGCGCCTCGTACTCCCAACTCTCGCCTAGACCGTACTTTTTCTGAGCAAAGCAAAAAGTTTTCGTAAGTGATTCAACGGCTATAGCATAGTGACAAAAATCAGCTTACCTTCATATTTGCTTTATTACCCTCCAAATGAACCATGACCTTTTAACTGTTATCTAAGCATTGCACCTTCTTTTCTAAAACAATTTCTATTCAGGCATATGATTGCTGGTATTCTGTGATCTCAAAATGTCTAGAATCAGGCGAAGATCCACTATTTCTCGGAAGCAAGCAATGTTCTAAGGGAGTATTCTGAACGACAAACGCTCAGCGACTAATGTGATATAAATCTAGTCATTCTTCATTAACATTTATACACCATCTAACAATTCTGTGCTGAACAAGATGAATACTACAGGAAGTGAAGCTGAAGATAACAATGTTCTCCGAAATTTGTAAAACATCAAAAAGTGAACAACGCTTTGACTCAACACGCCTTTGAATTGAAACTGTCTCTAGCCAGAAAGGCTCAGGATAACAATTAACAGACAACAATAGATTTTAAAAAAGTGATATATGTCTCAATCTGCTATTGTCTAATCCCTTTATTCTCATTTTTCTTCTTCTTCTTTCTTTCTCTGGATTCATCAGACAGTTGTTCAGCTGCAGATACATAGTTTGCTAAGGGAACTTTACATATTTTGCCTCGAAGAGGGGGCAGAACAGAACAGATACATTTTCTATTATCTGGGCCACTGTAAGAAATACCATGAGCAATATCTCAATATCTCACCTTCCTCCATTATCTCTTCTTTGTCTTTCCTCTTCTTCTCTTTCTTCAAAGGTTTTTCAGTTTCATCTTCTCCACAGATTTCTTCAACTTTCGCGCGCTTGGCTTCTCCCTAGAAAGCAGAATTACTAATCTTACTGTGTTTTTGGAAAAAAAAATTGAGAAAACCGAAATAGAGCAAACTCCAAGGCAACATATTTTTGCTTTTATTCAAATGGCTATTGGCACTTTTACTGAAATTTTGCGAAAACTCCAGTTTTTACAAAAATGGTGTATAATCGCATGAAGAAGGCTGAGCATGATTCAACTTTACACTGGTTCTACAAAATAAATGAACGTTACGACTTTGAAATGTCAATTTAGTGAATTTGAACGTCCAATCAAACACGCTGTGGAACATTTGCTCATTCAGAAAAAATATTTCACAGACATCAGTGGAGAAGTGAAAGGAAGTTTGAATCAAATCTCAAAATAATCATCTATCCCCCCTTTTACGCGACTTGATCAGCGAAGACGAACAGAACAGTAGAAACATAATCACGAATTGTATGTTGTATTACAATAGATAATCCAAGGGTGTTTCCATTCCAAAGGCAGTCAAGTTTCTGTTTCAAAGAGAGAAACAGGTACCCACCACTAATTCAGCTTTTTCCCTTTCCTGTCTCCTTTTCAATTTCTTCTCTCTTTTTATTCGCCTACGTTGCTCTTGTTGCTTCTCGATCGCCTCTTCTTCCTCCATGATTTCCTGTTTCACTTGTTCAAACTCTAATGGTGTTTCGCAGTGCACGGAATCACGCAATCTGTTCTTTTCTTTCCTTTTCTTCTTCCTCTCTTTTCTCTCCTCTTCCAATTCCTGCTCTGTAATTTCTTCCTCAACATGCGTTTCTTCAAGCTTCACACTGTCAATCTGCAAATAGCATATACCTTTCATTTAACAAAATGACAGAATTATACAGATGATTTTTCAGAGAAAAACGTGGAATAGTTGTTTCTGATTTTTTGAACGCATACATCGATTTTCAACAAGTTTTTTTTTTCAGATTGTAGTGTCAGGAATTGAAATACGATGATTATGGTGCAAAAAAGTGATCTCCATTCTGACAAACTGACCGATATCTCACTTGCATTGAGCAAAAACACTACGTGGATTCCAGGAGATGAAGAGAAAAGTCTACTAACCTTCCCTTCCGATCCTCCTTGCTCCCTCTTCGCCTTCATTGCTGCCATCTTCGCAGCAAAATATTCGCCTACAGACATGCTGCTCACAGTTGTATTTGACTTCATTTCGACATCTTCTTCATTTTTTGTTGGAGATTTCTCCTCTTTCGTCTCCTCTTTCTGGGGACTTTCCGTTTCCGGTTTGTGGACAATTCCGAGTATGGCAGCACGATCACTCTCAGTGTAGTTCGACGTATCTTTGGCTCGCGTAAATTTCTGGTAGCTAAAAGATTGTAGAAGTACTAATGGTAAGACACGAACAAAAACGAGTTCTTGGACGGATCAAGAATGTTCGACTACGTTTTTTCCCCTCGCAAGATTCAATGATATACGCATATATTGGGTTGTATTTTGGCTTCAGATCTGTCCGAAACAATAACTACGTAAACACTGAGTCTGCCTTGTATACTTTGCTTCCTCTACACAGAAACTACTCAGGATTTTGGTCACTTTTCAAACTTTAAGAGAAGTAGAAGAATAAGTTACAAAGCAAGTTCCGCGCACCAGCTCCAAATTTTTTTGAAATACTAATAATTATATGGAAAAAACATATGCAACGATACAAAGTTCAAGTGAGAATAATACTTTTAAGCTTGAAATATGAAATTACGAAATGCGCAAAATACACCAATGAATAGAATTTAATCAGCTATTGTGCACTCACTGTATTCGCCGCCGTAGGCTCTTGCTACTCAACTCAAGCGAAATTCTTTTAGCTCTTTCCTCCTTCTCCTCTTCAGTAGTAACCTTCTAAAGAGTACCAATAACTTTGTCAATTTATCGACAACGAAATCGAATTTGCATACTATACAATCTTTCTTATTTTTGTTAAGAGCGTTGAGTAGATCAGCAAAATCATCATGATGCCCAATCCACGTGCTATCGTATGAAGCCAGCTTGTCAGCTCCAAGACCTAAATGAGCATTCATGAGAGAGCTTACTTTTCTGATGTTTCAGCATGATTTAACCTTTTCCGGTATAGTTCGCCTTCAACTTGACGTGATCGGCACTGCCTTGTAGGTTTCTACCCAGCCCTTCTCCTTCAGACCAACCCATTTTCTTCATGAGCTTCTGTGAAAATTTGTCTTGATCATTTTTCCACTGAAGATTTCGGGGATCGATACTGAGACGTTGTTTACGACGCGGCTCTGCCAATATCGACATGCCGCTTAACCCTACAATTACCATAGCACATTTTCCAAGAGAAGAGGTTATAACCGAGTAATCGATAAGGCATGTGGCAATCAGCCAAAACTCACAGAAAACAATGCATTTCATAAAACTTTATGAGAAACCACGGTGAACAATAAGTAAAACCCATCATATTTTAACCCAATCTTCGCTAGAGAAAATCACATCACAGTACCTAGAAGAAAAATGCAATATTGAAAAGCGGTGAAAATGCAAAAGAAACTGCTATAAAGGTTCTACACTATCCAAAAAATATCACTGACATCATGACTGAGCATTTTCAGTTTGGGAAACCTTCAGACAAAGTAAAGCATTTTTAATTGGTGACCTACGGCACAGATTGCACAAACAGATAGAGAGCGAATTTACCAGATAAGTTCTCACAGACTATGGTGCAATAACATCACATGTATGATAAGATAAAATGGCAAATGCAGTCAGACCAATAAAGAAATCTATGTCATTCTGATGCCCGAATTCGCAATAAAATGTCATGTTTGCCTCAACCAAAGAAGCTTCATCTAGCAGCCACTATGTTCACGACCCATATTTCCGACATCCTTAGCATTTTCATGGGTGCTCCCTATAGCATGCCAATAAAGCAAGAAAAGGACAGTGGATAGAAAAGCAAACAAAAAAAATACACTCTCTTGAGACAGGAAAATTGACAAGAATGGAATTATTTGAAACAACTCTTATTTCCTGCAAGCTCGTACCTGGTACAGCGTCCCCGCAGAAACGAAAAGTTTTCCATTTCCATGAGGGAGATCATAAAGACCGTGAAAGTATGGCAAGACTCCGAAAATCAGCGGTGCAAGCACATAGTATTGCGCAGCGTGAGTGTGACCTGTAGCAAGTTGAACGATAGCAGTCATTGCATGAAAGATTGTGCAAAACCGACCTGATAAAACGACATCGACTTTTTCAAGATCGCTATGCGAAAATTCAAGTACACTAGCGGGATTATGGGCTAAGACCACGCGGGTTGAGCCTGCCGAGCAATTACTCATCGCTGCAGTGAGATTCATGTGATGATCCGCAATACTATAAATTGCGACTTAATCATTCTAAGGTCATACTACTACTTCAAGAACAAAAAAAAAGGAGTACAAAAAATGAGGACTAGAGAAAATTTGACTTATCGCTAACCCAGAAGTCTCGCTGGAGACGTCATTCACACCAACGATACAGATTCTGTGGAACATCTCACATCTGATAAAAAACGTTACGATTAGCACGAAAAAGATGTTTTGCACGAGACCTAATAGATGAATAAACAACTTACTTATTATTCAGCACACGAATGCGATGGTCTTTGTACAGATCAAGCCACTTTCTAGCATCACCATAGTAGTACTCATGATTACCAGTGACAAAATATGTGGGGAATCTATGTGTCAGTTTCCTACGAAAGAAACACATTCACATTTTTAGCGGACCAAAGACTAAGTAGTGAGAAAAGTCACCATAAAGGTATAACGCGGTCGCGCAGCTGTTCCACAGGACCATCGACTAGGTCGCCAACTAGAGCAACTGCATCAATATCTAGATCAAAAAGGGTAGTGACCATTTTCTCGATCTGAAAGTGAAACGCAGATGAAACGCTCAATTTCTACTTTGCGGGCATCTACCTCAACCCTACTCCGAAAAAGCTTTTGAAATAAGATCAACGTGAAAATAATTTAGAAGCAGTGTCTCGGCAAAATTTCGTTTTCCAGGTTTTCACCTTTTCGCAACTTTCTCGCCATAAGGAACCCATATCCAGTCTTTTGAAGGCATGAAAATGGCGAAAACGAGCCTTTTCGCAGCTTTCCAGGTCCACATCCAGTGGAGGACACTGCAAATGGGCGGGGCCCGGAACGAGGGAGGCGGGGCGCAAAAGACTTCCGGATTATCTTCAATGAATGCGGACCTGGAAGGCTTCGCAAAAGCTCATTTTCGCCGTTTTCATGCGCTGAAAAGCTCAGATATAGATTCCTCAAGGGTCCGAAAATGTGAAAAACTGGAAAACGAAATTCTGCCGAGACAATGCCTTTGAGATCCCTCCAAAAGCTATTCAACCCAATACCAATGCACCCTTAACGAACTCACTTTGTAGTGAGTCAAGAAATCAAAAGAGACAAAGTCATATGTGTGATGTAACTACGAGAACATGAAGAAACTAAGAATTGATTGGCAAAAAAAGAAATACTATGAAACACCAACCTGACTTGCATGAACGCTAGCTCCAGTATGAACATCAGATACAAGTGCTATGCGTACTCCGCCATCAGCTCCAGAAAAATTCTAAACCTCGAATTAATTCAGCGCATCGAAAAATGTAGACAAACAATTCTTACTTTGACGGGGATAACGATCTCCTTCACGACGATCTTGTCGCTGCTGAACCACATTAATGCGGACATCACAGCCGTGGCAACAAGTGCAACTCTAATCGATTTAGATACTAGACATTTAAGTTAGTTTGGCGATAAGGTACAAACAAAGTTGCCGGGTAAGAAGATTTACCTTATTTGATGTTTTCGGTCAGTAAGGATTCTACCAATATAAGCAAGGGAGTATAACCTATCTAGTAACGGCTTTGCCGCTGGTATTCTCTGAGAAATTGATAGCAATAAGACAATAACTGAGCCCCCTATAGCGTTATGGTATACTCACATCTAGCACATATAAAGCGCAGTTAATCAAAAAGAAGCCAGCTACGATGCCTAACAGATTCGTCCAAATGCCTGAGCACAAAGCACAAATATCAAAGAAGAGGAACTGAAACAGCTTAGCACTAAGAATTAAAAACTCAAGAAAGCTATTGTGACTCACCTGAACTATGTCTGAAGCAAAATACAAGAAGTACACAGCTTGCGAGAGGAACAAAAAGACCACTAATATCCTTGAAGCTCGTTCTCGATTTCTCTAGAAAAGAAAGAAATACGTCTCCAAAATAAAATACTTGTTTAACATGGTTTAAAACCGACCAACATTTTCTCTACAAAACTCACCATGACCACGCGCCTCTCATGTTTTAGCAACTCATTTTCCTCAAGATCATAGTAGGACATCAACTGACTATATATAAACATGCTACACAATGTTAGTAGGCATTCCATCCGAACAACGACCACAAATCGCTTTCGATTCCCTATTTCATAATCTACTCCATCATGAATCTAAAAAAAAGTCATGTTGCAAGAAGACAGTTGGTTTTCAATTCACTTACCCATCCTCTACTGAGCCTCATAATCGATAGCATGACTAAAATAAGCATTAGAATTGTCCAAATTTTTAATGAGCATTTATCGCAGTATCTCCGCATCTCCATCGATGACTTTTGAGTTCTACTAAATAGCAAAATTATGAAGAAGAGCCATCACTTACTACATGATTTCCAATGATTTGCATAAGTGCCATCCTTACTTGGTACCTGTTATTAGGGTACCGGTGTTGTCGGTTTTATATCCTCACTATAACCATTGTGACCAGTGTTGCCGCCGGTGAATGTTTTGTTTCATTTGTCAGTATTAATAAAACTACCGGTGTAATACTACCTTTTCAACAAGTTCCTATGCAAAAGAAAACGCACAAAAAAATAAGAAGGAGATCAAGCAACATTGGTTCGGCAACAGCAGCAACACCGGTAGCACGATAACAGCAACATCAGTAGTACGGTAGAGTTGATTTCCCGTCTGATAGTGCACTTGCGGTGCCGAGAAAATGCGGCAAAATTTGCGCGTGAACAGATACCGTGCCGATAATGCCGGATTTCTACGCACGCAAGCGGTCTTGCTTGCCTATTCGTTCGAGCGCAAAATTTGCATTTTCTCGGCACCGCAAGCACACTTTATGAGCGGAAAATCTACTCGAGTGCCTACAGTGTTTACAGTGTCTACAGTGTTTACAGTAAAACATGGTGTTGCAGATTTGATCGGTATGATCTTTACAAGGAGGTTTTCTTACAAAAACAAAAGTTGAGAGTTTCTTAAAAATAATAATTCCAATCTATTAAGATAGATGAAACGTTTGTAAAGCATGTTAGACAAATAGTGACGAAGTCAGCGTAAAACGTCAGAAACTGTCTTAAAGAAAAAACGGAAAGGTCATTCTGAGATTCTGGAGACATGCGATTCTCACACATATGGAATTTTTTACGACTCCAGTTTCAAAGTCACGACTTGCGCGAAAGTTCAACGAGATCGCAAGTTGTACGAGAACCAATCAAGACCAGTCTCAAGATCGGAGAAAGATCTTCATTGAAGATGAACGACATGATCGAATGTCAAAAAACCGCATCTCCAGTGAACCAAAATGAGATATGAATTCATTCCGAACAATCACGGATGTGATACTCGTTATACAGATGTCCAAAAAGTTTTATTAAAGCTTGCACATAGATATGAGGGAATCTATCAAACCTGGGCAATATACCCATATCACAGGCATCCTTGAACATATGACAAGATGATAAATCACTTCAATAAGAAATACATGGGAAGCTCTCCTAATTACAATATCTGTAATGCACCATATGCTCTCGATATTGCTAATGTCATTTGGCTGATGAATATGACTTTGGAGCACTTGTCAAAAATATCAGTATGTACCCATATAAACAGAAATTTTGTTAGGCAGAACAAAGGTAACTCATATACTAGATGTGTTTAGATCGTCTTCTGCACCTCCTTCCAAGCTTTCCATTGCCATTCGCATCGAAGCTCGCATGTTGTTCAAACAACGTTGGAGCTTTCTGAAAGCGACAAAAAAATAACTGAACGAGTGGAACAACGATATTACGATTCATAAGCAAATAATCCCCGTGTAACTCTGATCAAATCGAAGCGTTTTGATTTCCAATAGATGAAAAAGAAAGGAACAAAACCTTGGCAAGCAAATTCAAAAGTATCAAACATATGAAGACACATTCAAGGAAGATGAATCATGCATACTCAAATCAATGATACTTATCACCGCTACGAATGTAGGATTAACTTTATTAATAGGATAGAATGCTTGCAAAAGAACATGAAAACGTACCGCTGATCGAGTTGTCCCACTAAACCAGCGCGATATGCGTTGACATGTGTCCTGAAAAAAAATCCAAATAAGTGCACGTCAATCTATGATGACTAAACTTTTACAAAACTATTCTTCGAACGTAACGGTTACCTTTAGCAAAAGCAAGTCATTTTTTCATTCAACAAAAGTCAACGAGATAGAAATGGTGATTCGAACCGCACGCATCACACTGCTACAAAAAAATATACACTAACCTCGTTTCCAAATTTGTAAATCCTCCCAGAGCTTGTTCCAAGGCACATATATCTATGACACGTTGAGATGCTTCTCTTTCCGAAGCAGGTTCACGAGCTTCTAGCTGATCCAATAAATTAACAAAAGCATTTTGTACTGTAGCCTAGAAAGAGGAGATCAAAGATCAATGATAAGCTGGATTTGAAAGTTATCTGCACCTGTAGACATTCCGATGTGAGTTGAGGTGAACAAAGTTCTAATTCAGCTTGTTGTAATACACAACACATCATCATTTCCTTTGCATAGTCAGACACATCTAAAAAGGTCCCGACTCACTTCGCACCTTCATTCCATATGAGAAGAACACTCACCATCATCAGGTATATACTCATAGTTGGCTGAATCTATCAGCGTTGAAAAAGCACTGCTTTTGATCATTATGTAGCACCGAACCAGAGTTTGCCGATAAACTGATAACTTCGCCTTTGCCTTCTAAAGGGAAAAAAACACTGTCAGAAGATCCAACTGAAGAAGAGGAAACCAACCTCATGAACCTCATCTGCATATTTTACTCCGCAATCAAACATCCGTTTGTTGATACCTTTCAATGCATTTTCCAGTATATATTCGAGGTTGCATATACTTATGAGAAGCTTCTTTGTGGTAAGCTATAAACATCATAAATGGTATGGTACACGTAGAAAGTAGCACTTACATGAGATTTTTCGTCATCTTTGCGATTGAGGTCAAGGTCTTGCGGTTTTTTCAGATCAGCGCGGAGATTCAAGAGTCTGAAAAGACATGATTTACCAAATGTAGCGACAGCTAAATTCACCCTAATACACCGTGGCCGTTACTCAGACAATCATGTAATTGGCATCATTGCTCGAAATGCGCATCAGACAAAACCAGAAATGCAATGTTAATTGCAACGCTGGCCGATGTGATGAAAAAAACAGCACACAGCTGAGCCAACGATGTATAACCACATGAGTTTTTTCTGCAATTTAGCTAGAACTGATCATGGACATCGATAAGCATAAAAATAAACTACATTTTAGAGCTGGTATTTGTAGCATATCGTGCTACAGCACAAGTGGCACTTTTACTATTTTTGCAATATTTTCACAGTGCTTCGATCACTATATATCAGTTTCCTTTTAGAAATAACAAGGTCAGATTCAAAGCAGTAAGACAGCGTATAATGAAAAGTAAGCAAAGGAGTAAAAGAGTAAGTCCTAAGCGTACCTGTCAAAGCAATGTCTTATCGATGTCACTAGATGTACAAATATGTCAACAAGGGTTGTTCTGAATCTTTCGCGGGAAAATAAACAAGCTTCTCCCGGATAACCATTAGTCGACAACGCATCACGAACAGCTGACAAACAATCGAACACCTAGAAACAAGATTTGGGCTGAAGTAGAAACGAGAATGAAAAGATCAAACTTTTCACCTCGTTCTCGTAAAAATCTGGGAGGGCTGTTTTGGCAGCTACTGTAGAACTGAAATCTTGTTTCCAATTCTCTTTGCTGCCAAGGGCGCAAATATCTAAAAGAGAACGTGTTGAGATGTCGAAGATGGATAAGCTCTTAACAAAAACCTCACTTTCTACTCCCTTGTCAATTACGTCGGATACCACTTTTAATCGCACAGTCATACATAATTCTATCAATGGCTGAACGTGAGCATTGGTAAATTGAGCCTCCAGTAACGATGAAATGAATGACCTAAATCAAAACGACAACTGAACCATAAAATCTAACTAAGAAAAAGAGAATGCACCTGAGAGCCTTTAAACTTTGCGTAAGAACGGTGCGGTTGACTTGTGGTGACACATCGGGCCATCTGACAAATTGAGCTTCATACCTGAAATGAATTTGTCCAATCATAATTCTACACAAGCGATGGTAAGAACCTTTTAATGACGTCATCTGGCAAAGCTTTCGGGACTAACGCGTTTAGTAAGAGCCATGAGGAGACATTTATGGTATTGATGAGCATTTGCTAAAATGGAACATTTGTGAACTTTCAATTCCTCATCAATGACTATCCTAAGAGATGTAACGAATGAATTTCAAAGACCGAATGAACTAACATTGATATCATCTTGTCGTTGTGTCCACCGCTCATCATTTGTGGAGTAGGTGTTTGATAGTTTCCAGAAAGACTGTAGCTTATTCATCAGAATCGAAACCAATGATGACACAAATGACTGTCTTTCATTTGTTTCAACCACTGAAAAAAGCAAAGCATAAACTAAAAGCACGTGAAAGATTAGAACTCACTGGCAAACCGATTATCTTGAGCAGTTTTCTCTGCTTCCAACGCTGAAAAAGTTGAATGTTAGGTAAGAATGCGAGGAGAAACAAGCTTGTCACCTTTTTTGAAGTGATCCTCTTGCAACTTCCACAATATGTCCTCAAGCCAGCAGTGATATGCGGTGATGCATTCCCATGTAGGATCAGAATCTGGCTCAAGTATCTGAAGCAAAATCATCACAAGATTGACCCAAGTCATTGTGCTGGTACACACTATAAATAAAATTTGTAAACACCATATATAAGGTGACATGTTACTATGCGTAAGAGGAACGAATCTTCATGTAAAAAATGACTTGACTTCAAAGCAAAGGCGAGCGCAATTTTTGCTGTAGTGACAGTCTGATATACCAGAAAATGAACCCCAAAAAATATGCCTTGACTCAATTGTGAAGAACAACTTAGCAAACTTGAATTCAAGGATGTAAATAACTATGTAGATGGAAGTACGCTTGGGAGTATGACGTATAAATTTCAGCTTATGCAATGATACGAACATATGAAATGGGATTTCGACAAAGATATATGAAGCATTTTTGATGCACTGAATCACAGAAATGGCTATCAGATCCGGTCTACAACTACGAAAAGTCTGGCTTAATCTCAGGGAATTTCCATCTTTTTTATTTGTTTCTGTCAAAGACTAACAAGGAAATGAAGGGCTGATCAAAACAACAAAAACCAACCTTCAAGTACTTTATGAGTTTACTTTGTTCTTCAAATGAAGCTGAAGTATCAATCAACTTATGCTTCATCTCTTCTTTGAATTTATCCATCTTGTTGTCCAAGTGAACCATCACTGGAATTGTAAGGGATGGTTAATGTTAACGTAAAAGTTTGACATAATGGACCTACATTCTTTGAACAAAGTGACTTCAGTATCCTTGTAAAGCGATTTCGCTCTCATATAATCGTTCAGAATCGTCAGGTACTCGCCCTGTAGGAGACGGTATCGTTAGTAAGCAGAGCTAAAGAAGCCAATGCAAGATTTCCATACCTTCTTCATGTTGTCGTCAATTGTCTTGGAAAGGAAGAATATGAACTTGAAACGAGTCAAGACAGATAGCGCGTTTCTTGTGGCATCTGCTCGATCTTTTCGTGAAAGAACGTCCTTGAATACACTTTCTGCTTTCACTCTAGCTTCGGCAATCTGTAACCAAAAGCCATTACCAAAAAAAGTTTTGGGTTGTAGTGACTCGTCCAATACGTGTACGATTATAAATCTTGTAAAATTAGTAAAGAGGGTATTAAAAAAGGCGAGTATCAAAAAAGGAGAAAAGAACGGGAACGCATATGATCGATTGCAGTACCTGGCTTCCTATCTGCTTGATGACTGCAAATTCTCCTGCTTTATTACTTCTCTCTAACTCGTCATGCAATGCCGCTAATGAGTCGACGCAATTGATCAATGAGTATAGATTAGCCTAAAAAGGAATCTGTAGTTATTAGTCCGAAAACCTTGCAAAGCTAACCTTGTGCATTTGCTCATTTTTCTTGGCTTCGTCAGCCTTGGCAACTTTCATATTCTCAATGGCTTCACGTAGTTCTTCTATTCTATAAATAAAATCTGAGCTGATGTACGCAAAGAAAGGATAGGGCAGAAAAATTATTGAAATGTATAATTGCTAAAGATTAATAATGTAGGACAATAGAATAAACTTACGGAGTTTCAGAATGATGTTCCAATAAATACCATTGTGGATTAAAGCTCTCCATACGGATGTTCCCCGATCCATCAGGAAACATTTTCGACAGAGAAGCGGGGTCCAACTTCTTTGTGGTTGGCTTCAAGCCAAGCGCATCGCGTTCCTCTGAGGCTTGCGCTACTGTTCGAACAGCCTACAACTGCCTAATCAAATATGCTCACTTTATACCGTTTGCGACAAGGGAAAATTATAGAGGCCAAGGCAAAAAAACATTTACTCACTTCTCGCCCAGGCACTGTTTGCGTCTCATCAACCCATACGGCGGACTCTTCTAGGGGTCCTACTTGAGCAATAAATACCCTGAAATATCAAGCTTTGGCATACACATATGTATAGCACATGCAATTGAAGTGCAAGGTTGATAACCGAGATTGAATAACCTTACCTGAATTTCACATTGCAAATACCCCTTCCACCGGATTTTGTAGCGATCTTGATGTCGCCTAATCCTCGATTAGCCTGGCCCAAACGTGCTACGATCTTCTTCTCTGTCTTCCATCTGACAACGCAAATTCACATTAGCTACGCTTCAGCAAGCCAAAGTGAAAGGAAATTGACAGCCTACTTTGCAGTCTGCAGACAGTCGGTACCACAAATGAAAAGCATGAGAAGATCATTTTGATCTGTACCTAGGTTTTCACCACGAATGGTGATTTGTGTGCCAGGGGTGCCTGAACAATCAAATTTCAGCATGCTGACCAGAAATTATTAAAAACAGATGAAAAAGGAGATATTGCGCACTCAACAACAGAAAGCGCAAAGAATTATTACACATATTTTGAGCAACAATAAATTGATTTACTCAACTAGTGCTGTACCTAATTCTAGAGCATGCAAAGTGGATTTGAGGGAAGTTTGGGTCATATCTGTTTTTAACTTTTCTGTTTATGTAACACATGTAACACATAAACAGAAGATGGTAAAATTCAAACATGACCCAAACTTCCTTCAATTCTCTTTGAGACAAAGCGGATGTAGCTGCCTCTTGGCGCAACAGCTCCTATAATTATTGCGATTAGCGCTGCAAAAGTGTCCATAAGGCTAGAAAGGAATGAAGACGGATTTTCTGATCTTAACTTAGAAAGAGACACGGCGCTTAGAATTCAGAAAGATTGAGCCATTTTTCAAAAAGTTCAAAAAGTTGTCTGAGAAGTTCGAAACCAAAAAGATTCGCAAAGAATGAAGGTAAAAGTAAACCGGGGAAAATATCTAAATCATTGCTCTACACCAAAACAGTTTCAACACTGCAAAACAACAAAAGCTGAACGAAGGGTCGCGTCACATGAACAGACGCTAAATCATAAAACCAGATAAACAACTACATAAACAACCTTCGGTGGGTGATAAACCAGTGACCGTAGGTGGACCTTTAGCTCTTGGTGCCAAACTTCCGCCATCAGACATACCCGTACGTTGTTTCAACTACCTAAACAACAGTAAATATATACACAGAAATTTCGGCCTCAAAAGCCGTACCTATTTCGCCGAGTAATAGTAGATGAGGAGCAGAAACCAGATTATAACGTGCTATTAACTAATTTCTGGCTATTCAAAGCCCTTATAGAAAATGTAACTGTTATAATTTACGCGAGAGGAAAGAAAAATGCGACGGAGGATTCTCGGAAAAGTGAAGGACGATGGCAAAAGTCAATGTTTGTCCACGAATTTGGATTAGAGCACGAAATATGATGACTTCAGTGGAGACCATAAGGGACCCGTCATACTTCGCCGAAAAAAGCCCAAAGAAGCCCGAAAAGCCCAAAAAAGCCCGAAAAAGCCCAAAAAAGCCCAAAAGCGCCAGAAAGAGCCGGAACACTTCTCGCACGTTTTGGCGCTAAGGCATGTGTGTTGACTTCGCAATCGAGCCTTTTTGTCATTTTCTGTCGTCCGCATGATAAGATAATGTCAGAATTCTACCAAAAGTTTGTTTCTACATTCCGGCTCTTTCTGGCGCTTTTGGGCTTTTTCGGGCTTTTTTGGGCGCTTTTGGGCTTTTTTTCGGCGAAGTATGACGGGTCCCTAACACTGCGAATTAAGTTTGTCTGTACCATAAGAAAGAGTTCAAGTTTCTTGGACCAGTAAGTAAGGACTTTATTTTTTGTGGTTTTTCATCAAGGAACTCAGAAAAGTGTGATGAAGAAGATACGGTCACTTATCAGCACTTTCTAAATTCATGCCTGTAGATACCTACTAGAAAATCAATATCTCCCATAGATTTTCAAACAGATCGTCGAAAAACTACGCAAGAGCGCTGGCAAAATGCTGCTGTGCGCTCGCGAAGCCCTCAACGAAATGGATGCGCTGCTCCATAAGATATGCCATCCGGTCCGAACAGACTGTACGCCAATTTGTCCGCTTAAAGCGAACGCCGTGCGAGGCGCCGGACACTTTGATTGAAACAGGCTGCATCCGGATTTAGAATCGCTCTAGAACCGCTTTTGATTCGGAACGGAATTGGTGCACTAAACGACTCGCGCTCGGTGCCTGGCTTCCAAGACAAGCAAAATGCGTTCAAAATGTTGCTATTAACTATCGTAAGAATTGATATCCATTCTAGGGACCTTAAATAAAAGATTAATTTTACCATGAATTCTAAACCTCGATAATTTTTTCTCTCAATTTATTACAGTTGCACCAACTTGAACAAATGCTAGAAAGATGATATTTTTTTTGGAATTTTGGATTCTCACTACACATCTTACCGCAAATGTGGTACATCATTCCAAATAATTTTTGTACCAGTTTCCCATAATCGCACCAAGATAAGAAGTACAACGCAGAGATAATCTCAGCAATCATTGTGGAAGTAAATGGAAGCTGATAATGAAAAATGACCTCCAAGATTGACTATTTATGGATCAAAGCTACCTCGCAACTGTTTTTTTTTTGAGATGCCACAGAAATACTTCAGTCTTGATTTTGAGCTTATTTTTGGGGCACTTATGAAGAAAGGACATTTTGTTGACATACATTATACGTTTATGCGAATCAGGTTCCAACTTCCTGTTCACTAAAGCACTCTTCTCGTGTTTCAAAATCGAGGGTGAAAATCTGAGCATTCCCGGCTAGCAATTCTATGATCCATTTTTACACGTACTCGCCTAGAATTCTAAAATCTACATTTTTGTCGGGCTGAAATTATGCGAAGCTCGCCAAATTATGTAGCGTCTACACTTGTTTCTAATGCCTCAGATAACTATGAAGCTTCTCTCAAATAAAGATTCGATATGGTTCAGTTTTGTAAAATCATATGCTCTCGTAAAGCCTCGAGCAGAGTCACGCAATTTCATTGTCGCGACATCGCTTCAGCACAACTGTAATAATATCATTGCAAGTCGATCTTCTAGCATTTCGGTTGTGACAGTTTTCCGACACGATTAATCGTGAACTATCGCAACCAAAATACAAGAAGATCGGCAGACAACAAACTCGTACCAGTTGTCTTGTCGCGATGAATGATGAAATCGCGTGAACTTTGCCGCCCGAGACCTAATGCCTACTTTGTGATAACCAGAAATATCATAGTTGGATTGATTCCAAGGCGTGGTAATTCTGACCCCAGGCAAAAGTCTCCAAACAATCCAGTGAGTGTACCTCTAGCGTATGGCTTACCGTTTTCTCCAGCATTGACTCATATTTATCTTGTTCCCTGAACAGGTTCTGTGGCACCATTCGACAGAGCAAAGGAAGCTCTACAAGATGCACCTTGATGTTTGCTCAAGGTACGTTTTACATAAAGTTCGAAGCCTAAATTTTAGAAAATCTAAATACCCGAAAACTCGAGGAAAAAATCGTATCAAATCGTATCTCCACTCAAGAATTTCCTACGGACTTCCACTTGGCTCAGGCGTGAACAATCCATATCCGGCAATTTATTATTTGCCCTTTTTTCGTGGCTGAAAATGAAGAGAGAAATAGTTTTCATGTAGTAGTTCAGTAGATTTGCTAAACTGCACTGGGTTGCTCCCACATAGGTGACTTTAGAGTATGAACCTTCGAGAGTGTAACCATGGACTTTTGGCCTTACAAGCAATGGTTATTGATAAATGTCAAATTTAGCGCAACAAATCCACAAAAAGACGCCTTTTGTCGTTTTTTTGAATAATGTTGTTGTATGTATGTTTCTCGAGTCTTAGCCGTGAAAAAATAAGCAAATTTACAAATATTAGGTTGTCCCAAAAGTTCTTGCGCCGGATTTTCAAACAATCATAACTTGCTTCCCACTCGATGGAATTTTTTGAGTTTAATTTCATTTGAAAGAGGAAACCTTTAAAGCAGTACCTTTGGCATGAATTGGTATTAGAAAGTTCGAGAGCTATAGGTAATTGAAGGAAATCAGTTAAGATCGGCATTTTTCAAGCTGAATCACGAAAAATTCTGCAAGTATTTTCATTTGATAGAGAAAATTTTGCACATTACAGTGGTACCTTTTCCATGAGTCAAAACATAGATCGAGAGCTAGAAGCAAATAAAGAGAGTTACTTTTTTTTGTCAAGTTACTTTTTCCAAGGTATTAGTAGTGTGAGAGCCTCTTGGATTAGGAAATGTTAAGTCATTGGATTGTAGTGTCCTTCCGATAGAATATTGCGTGGTTGACCTTAGATTATGATGAATTTTTTCCCAAAACTCACGCTCATTAATGAACGACTCAGAAGCGAGACCCCACTTAATGCAGAAGAAAGAGAGGTTGGAGGCAGTGTCCTTGCAGAATTGCGAGCTCTCAATTCCATTACTAAAGAGGGCTCTCGCGCAAGCCATAGCTGCGAGCAAAACTGCTTCTGGAGGGAGAAAAACGCTTCAGAATTTTCGACATAGCCGTGATTCGCTTCAGAGCAAATAGTGGCGAGAGCGCCGCTGCAGCCAATGACAGAGTCGCAACGGCCTTGTCCCTGCATTATTTCCTGGGGTAAGGACGAGACTCTTCTGTAACGGACTTCTTGCTTCAGAAACGGTATTTGGCAGCCATAGTCGGGCTGGCTTGAATGGGAGTATGCTGCAGTAATTCGTCGAAACAGAGATGCTTCCAAATCTTCCTGACACTACCTCCAAGATATACAGCCGCCATTACGTCGACAAGTCACTTAACTTCTGGCATAGCACTGAAACTTGGGCTTCGACCTAAATCGTGACTGTTACCGCTGTTACTGTGATTGCTCAAACAATTATTGCGAGCATCTGCGGCCCCTAACGCTATAGGCCGTCCGCGCTGCGCACAGAGAGCAACGCTGTTGCGTACATTGAGGCAGTTCACGACTGGAAGAAGCGCAGAGAAAAACAGGCGGCGAGAGTGCACGAGGAAAGAGGAGTGATGCGCAATACACACCTTGCGCACTCTCCGCGCCCTGCGCGGACGGCCTATAGCTTTGGCGGTGCGCGGACCTCAAATTCTTGAATTGACCGTCCGTGGGCCTTGGGCGCACTGCATATTTAGTTTTCACGAAACAGGCCTTAACAGAGTTTTTGTATAGGGCAAGGCCCGTCCCGCGGGCATAGCCCATACGTTATTTCAGTAAAGACACGGGCCTTAATGGCCTGAACATTATCATCGGGCAAGCTCGGCCCTTCTAGGCCATGGTCCGGCAGATTACTCTGGCTGGCGAAAACGTTACTCGGCTGGGTTACCCGCGTGATAGGGCTACCCCAACCTTTGCGGTGTTGGTTATCGTATCTCGTTCTGGTTAACAGTAAGGTCAGGTTCCTAATCTTCAATAGATCTCGCAAGAGTTTTGGGAGTACCCTTTGATTCATCGAGATTGGTGGCTGGAAGGCGGGGCCCGAGGCTCAATCGAAGCTAGGGAATGGTTAGAGAGCGCGGCCGCGAGAGAGATGCAGACTGCGCCGCGGTTGCGAGCGGTCACCTTCCGTGCAATCCCGTTGAACCAAAGGGTATCTGATCTTGAAACCAAATGGGCTGTCGGGAACTTTGCCAAAGTGTTCTAGATGTAACGGAAGTTTTTGTTTGTATAGATTGCTGCCCTTATGCCAGATTCGGAATGATGGTTTTGGGTTTCTAGAAAAAAATTCGGATTTCGAAAAAAATAAATTCGAGATTGAAGTGCATAATTTCACTGCTTCACGACCACCCACGGGCGCATATCGGGCCATCCGCGGACATTCTGCGCTCATTGGGCACTTATCGTGGCGTCCTCAGGATGGATGTGGCGTCGCCCGTGGGTGCTGCTGCTCAACTCATCATTTAACAGCAGCATCAGCAGTAACAGAAGTGATAGTGCTGGCAGCGATGTGATATCTCTTTCCACGCCTACCTTATCGACTTTTCGAGCATTTAGATCTTCCCGATTTCGCTTCGAATTTTACATGAAATAAATTTTGCGTAGTATTATGGTGCGGTGTAGTAGAGCTGTGTGTGAAGAAAAGAAAATGGATTTACGCTTGGAATCTCGCCCACAGGAAAGAGATAAAATGGTCAAGAGGACTATGAAAATCACAAGGTCCAGTAGGACGACCGAAGATGAGATGAAGAGACGAATTTCAAAAGAAGCTTGGCGGCACTTGCAAAGTATAAGATCACTGGTTGAAAGAATGGATTAAATTTCTTTGGGTGCCACATATTGTAATAATATGAAAGGCAAATAAATCGTAAATCATCGTTATGGTGCGGTCTAGTAGAGCTTGCTTTGCTCTAGTAAATGGCTCCGCGGACTGTTTAGATAAAAGAGGAAGAATATAAGTTTTTGCTGGAGAAAGTAAAATTGGACGAAAAATTATGGGACACCCTAATAGTTCACTGTTCAGCCAGCTTTGAATTCTGCAAGTTTATTACTCTGTACACGTGGATATTTCAATAATCATGGGTAACCGGAGCTTTGCGCTTCGTTTTCTTTTTAATTTTCCTCCCATTACCTCAAATTTATTTCCCTGATCGGACTGGCTGGTATCAAATTCCTTCAGTGGTTTTTTTCTCATTCCACTTTTTGTTTTTGGTAAACCTTGAGTGTATTATGAAATGGAACTCAGCATTTTTGGCCAACCTCGTTTTTACAGAATTCCATATTTCAACGAACAGAAGAGTTTCCAAAAAAGAAGAATTAAGAATTTTTCGGAAGAAAAAGTTCGTCGCAGTACGAAATCGTAGGAATAGCTCACAGTATGAAACATTAATAGCAGTCTTGAGAATGGAAGCGTGGTTTCTTGCGGATAAAAGAGAAGAAATAAGTGCGATAGCTGGTCATAAAAATTAAAATTGGTCTATTTGAGTTATGTATAAAGCTTCACAGGTGATTTGTTTCTAAACTCCAATGATTGAATATTTCGAATTCATCAGTTTCATAAAAAATTTGTTGAGGACGTGGTTGCGGTCACGACTTTTTTGGGGGATTTTATGGTCCCAAGGTCGTAAAAATGTTAGAATCACCTCGAAAATTTTTGGAAAGCGTAAGGCCCCGGACAGACTTCACGCGACTCAATCGTCGCGATCTAATCGCCAAGATTTCCATTCATTTTCATTTCACATTCAAAAATTTCGGGTTGGAAAAGTATCACAACCGAATGCAAGTTGATCGGCATGGAATGTTGTTGTAACAGTTGTCTCGTCGCGACTCAGTCGCAACGATCAAATCGCGTGAAGTATGCCCGGGGCCTAACGCCGTGCTCCTTCACCTGGAAAAGTTGCTGACGTATCTTAGCCTCCTCCCCACCCTTCCCCCCTCTTTACCCTAAGAAACTTTCTGATTCATTCAGTGGTATTAACCACAATATATTTCAATGTTGTGAAGAGAACATTTCCATTAATTTTTCTTCCCATCCCCCCCTCCTCCTCCTTCCTTCGACCCCTTTCCATTCACTCAGTGTGTGTTCTCAGCTCTTCGGATTTTTGCCGCTGCCGAGTTTTGTCGCAGCTCGGCCAGCATTGAATTATGCGTTCGGGAATAACAAGCATGTCTAAATTACTCAACACACACTCTCTCTCACGCTCCTCCTCTTTCATCCAGCTTTTCACCAGCTATTGCTTTACTTCATTTTAGAAGATTTTTTCTTAATAGAAGAACTTCTTTGGGATTGTCTGCTTTTTCTCACGGGAATTTTAAGAAAATTTATCCCGCTTAGTACTCTTGGCTTTGAGAGCTTTGGATCTTTTTCAGTTTTTGTTCTCTCAAAAATTTCTGGACTTTTTTCTTTCCATAATTCTCAAGCGCTCAGATGTATAACATGATTAAATGATAATTGGCTAGAAGATTAAATAAATAGCGCAGATGGTTCAAAACAAGTAATTTGTAAATGGTATTTGCGTTTAGAAAACATGTAGAAGTCTGCAAAAATTAAGAAAACACGAGAAACCCATAATTTTTGAAAAAAAATAGGTGGCTCTTTAGAAGATCCTTCAACTGCACAAAACCTGTCATTTTCTTAGCTCTTTCCCTAGCCCTCTTTCAGAAGAGGGCTTTCGCAGACTCTTGAAATAAGCAGTCTTTTTCCTTTTTTCTCAATGGTGTGACTTAGACAATATATTATTCAGCTGTGAAGATATTGGGCTATTTTATCGCCCACATTCAAGGCATTTGCCGGGGAAAATTTTTGATGTGACAGCTGTGCTTGGAGAAATATTTCCGACGTTTTCTGAGCATAATTCCAGCATTTCTAAGAAAAAAGTTACCCTTGATTTTTCAAATGATACACATTTTTTCGTCATTGTTAAAAATCATGAATCCCTCTTTTCATCCAGAATATGCCTCGAAATTCCTCAAAAAAATTTCTTCCATATCCATGCGCCTCTCACCCCAAAACAAAAAAGAGTATTTTCATTCCCAAACAGCCGGAAGTTCACGACATTCCCGAAATAATCGGAGTGTTGGTGTGGTCGTCGAGACTCCTAGTGCTGCTCTTGATTATGTGCATTGTGCCGCTTCGAAAAGCTCATTTGGCCGGAGTCGTCCCCCCTTCGAATGTGTCCGAGGCTGAGTCCCTACAATTTGTGAGTTAGCGGCTGGAACATTCTGGCCTCCTCCAAATGAGATAGATTTCACGTATCATTGGCTGACCAGGAAAATTTCCTACTAGATACCCGAGGCAAATCTCTAGAAGTTTCCGGCTGATTGCAAAATTATGAAACGATACTAACAAGCAAAGATAACTCTCGACTTGTTCTCTTTTTGACTGAATGAATTCCAACCGAAGATGTTTATGTCTCCCTGTTGCTGTTTTCTTTCGATTATTTTTTTCCTTTTATGTTTTCTATCTACTTTTTGAACTGCATTTTGAGTGTTATGGCATGAGCAGTAATAAATGAATAAGTAAATAATGGACGTAACGTTTTAACCTTTGTTTAGCCTCTTCTAAGCGTTATATTTGCTACAAGCCTTATGATATTTTTTGTAAACTTTGTCTTTCCTTCATTGATCTTAATTTTGTCATCCGTAAACTTGTACTCATTATTTGTCCATCGCTTCTTTTTATACCATTTTGTGGCAATTTTTGATGGTTAGAGAAAAAGTCAATGAGAAAAATTTGAAAAAACTACCGCATTACCGTTATGTAACACTTCACTGATCATATCAGCTACCAAAATTTTTAATTGTTGGAAATGTTATTTTTAAAAAAATCCCATAGAAAATTGTGCAAAATTTACACTAGGCCTGTGTGTCTCAATCACTCTAAAGAAACGTCAAAAGGTTTTTTTCAGAAATAGTTTTCTTTTGTTTTCATCAGTTATACAGCTAAGGTACCGATGCTCTCTTATTACTCTTTCTTCATTCTATAATATTCAAACCATTTTAAAACCGCATTTCTTTTCAACGCGCGCTCAAACTCGCACTGCAATCAAGGTAATGCAATTCAGATTTTTACACGATGCCACCATGAAAACGCAATTTATCGTTGTCCTCGCCCTCTGTGGCTTCAGTTCTTCGAGGGGATATAAAATTGGTGAGATTACTTATCTTAGTTGGAAAAATGAATGTGCATAGAATAAGCTACTATCAGATTGTTTACATATTGTGGGGCATTCATGACAGAAAGCTCAGTAATTGCATTGAGGAATAGTGATACGAAAACAAAACAATCATGTGGCGAGATCTCAGTTTAGCCGGAATAATTTCTCTAATTTAGATGAGAACCTGTGAATTTGAAACAAAAAATCTCTGACTTTGAAAATTGTAGATAAGGGGGAGGTGGAGTCGAGTTGCTTTTCTTTATAGTATGAGATTCTAGTGGTTGGTTTGGCTCCATCCCATTTTCGAAAAAAAAAACCTTTTGTGAGAACTGATCCTGTGGAGAAGACAATTCCACCGCATCATATTGTTTTTATTGCTGTTGAGTTAGTCAGCTCAACTCCGAGGACCAGTTCTCGCTCGTACCTTGAATGCCAAGAAGATATTGTAACTGTTTAATAGACCTCGTAGTCAACCAATAAACTTGGTCATTGGTCCAATTAGATCTAGAATCGAATGCTGGAGACCAGTTCTCGCGTACTTCGCATAATGCTAATCCCTGTACCTAATGGATATTGGATAGCGTAGTCAGCCAATCCATTAGGCCATTAGATCTAGAATTATACTGTCGGGGACCATTTTCGCGCACTGGGCAATTACAGTATATTGGAGTTACTCACTGATATAACCATGACCGGATATGCAACAGAATTTTACTGCGGGGACCACTTCTCGGCGTATTTTGCATGTTGCTAAATATCGCAACTACTCAAGGGTAAGCACAGACATTAACCCAACTTGGTCAAATGGCAGATAAGAAAATCGTATTTGCGAGGACCAGTTCTAGTGTAGTCGCATAGAATCTTGCAGTTACCAAATGAAGGTAGAGATTAAACAATTCCGTCAATATTCACAACAGATGAAGAATATGAAGAATATGCAGCCGGGGACCAGTTTTCGCATGCCGCAGTATATTGCAACTACCTAGCGGAACAGCATAGTTAACCAGTAAAAATAATTTTTCTAATAATTTTTTCTAATTTGCGCTTACGGTATTTTGATAGGAGCTGTTTTGCGAGAAAAAGAAGATGCACATATTGCTGCCGCCATACAGTATACCGTCGAATGGCTCAATCAACGAGGGATATATGGCGAAGTCGAGTATCTTATTGATTATTTGGACGATATCGATCACTACGATGCCCTCAAAAAAGGTTCATATCTACTACCTATTATTCATTTCATAAGTATTGATTGATTCAACTATAGCATGTTCAATGTTCGAGCGAGATAAAGTGATCGCACTTATCGGAAATTCACATGCACTACTGAACGCTCAGCTGGAGAGATTGACGGATCAGGTAATTGACAACAATCGATTTTAATCGATAATAGCTGGACTTCAACCTTACGTAGTTACTTTTTCGAACATACTTTTCGAACAGCGAAATTTTGTTTAGCTGGATATACCATTATTGACTGCATTAGACGATGTCGAACGCAACAATGGCAACACAAAGGTATGTACTGTTTTTTATTTGTACGAAGACAAATTTAGATAATAATTAAGCATAATGAAATTTGAGCTGCAAGATTTTCACAGAAATTCAACCCATTTGACATCTGAGAATGAATTAGCAAAAAATTATGAAACACAAATATTGGTTCATCATAGAGCAACGTTAAACAATATATTGTAAAAGTTTAGTTGAGCACTGGTTATAGTCTTGTGCTGGCGATCCGAAAAATTTGTTTGAAGGATGGGGGGAGGGAAGGGCAACAGAAGCCTTTTTCGAGTGAAAGAAAACGTTTTTGGGATGCCTCCTAACATCTAAATGGTCCTATGATCCCAAATTCTCTGACTAAAATTATATTTATAAAGCTAAGTTCTAATCTTTGAAAGTTCCAAGAATTGACTTGCCTAATCAAAGAACGAGAGACTCGCCATTTTATAAAATCCGCACTCATCTTTATTCTTGGGGGAGGTGGGGGGGGGGGGGGGTGCTGCCGCTGGTTTGTGCAGTAAAGAACAGTAATTATTTTTTTGATTAGAAAGATGCGCTCGAATCAATTTCGTTGTAACTATCACAATCATTGGGATTGCTACAAATCAGTAAATATTTCTTGATACTGAAAATGCAGCCATGATTTCTAGATTGCGTTTTTCCCACGGGCACAACTTTTTGAAGCCATGGTCGATTTGTTTCAACATTGGCGTTGGAATCGTATCACTATCGTCTATCAACAAGACGAAAGCAAGTTTATTCTTTAAAAACTTCAAAAGTTTTTGCCAAAAATCAAGTTCGACGTTTTAGGAATTCGACGGCTTGAGCCGCTACTGACCAGCGATGCTTATTCGAGTATTCGTTTCCAAGTGATTAAGGTGCAACGAAGCGATTATATGAGAGCTGCTAAGGAGGTGAGCACAGCTAGCGCGAAAGGATCCCTTTGTACCATGTACAGTAGGCTACCGTAATTCAAGCCAGCGCAAATGTTCACCTGCTCCATAGATTCAGCCGTTGGAGCCGTATCAGGACAATTCCATGTAGGACCGCCTTAGCGCGCCACCCCGGGCTGGATTTTCCCTAAGCAGTTAAAGGCAGTGTCTCACCAAACTTGAGGTCGCGCGGATCTTCACATATTCTATTATAGGGACCTCTAAATAGGCCATTGCAACAAGTCCCACTCAATTTGACCCCCTCCACGCTGAGAAAAATACGCTCAAAGTGGTACGCGGAGAGCGGGTTGGTACGCGCGGACGACTCCTTCGGTCTCCCCCCTTACGCGTTTGAACATGTCCCTCCAGTTAGCATCCACCTTTCCTCTGTTGCTGCCACTTGGCTGAGGCCGAAATTGGAAGGCACAACTCGTCCATGTTGCTTTGGCGGGGCCTCCAGAAAACGGGGTTTTTGGGAACTTCTTGCGATTTTAAGCCCATACAGTGCTGAACAGGGTCCGACAGGCTTGCAAAATGCGAAAATCTCGGCAACTAAATTTTGGTGAGACACTGCCTTTAAAGGGGGAGGAAAGATTCGCAGCTTGCGCGACGTGTAAAGATAAGTCAGGCATGTTAAATGAATACTGTCGTGCAAAACGGCCGTCTCCCATTTTATACGGCTCGCAGGGTTACTGTAGCGTACTATAGCGGTACAAAAGGGCGTTTTTGAGGTGCACAGTGGAAAAAAAGCATGTTTTTAGGTGAAAGAAATGGAAGAGTGCAGGTATCAAGCTCGAAAAGACTGCTCAGATTTCAGCCGAGTGTTACTGGATCTGAATCCTGAACATACATACAATTTCCTATTAGCGGTTAGTTTTCGCTAGCTGGTCTAGTGAAAATAACGATAATTTATTTATAGGCACTCCAAATGGGACTAATCGATGTAAAACATTGGTTTTTACTAACAAACATGGTAAATTTTGTTTGTTATGAATTTTTTTAGAGCTTTTCGACGTCTTTCACCTAAACATTTTTTTTCGACTTTCTGCTAATTTCAGGAACTTTCCTCAATGAACATGGAATTGTTTCGTTATAATCATGCTCGTTTTGTCTCACCTTACCCAGTCGATCCGACGTTTTTGTTGGAAAACAAACACATATTCAATTTCACACAATTTCAACAACATGTGCAACAGAAATGGAATACAAAGACTGGTTTCAGCAAAAATTTGAAAATGGTGGGTTCTCTTTTGTGAAATGAAAAACCGGTTTATAATTTTATCTGTAAAACAATAAATTATTTAGATGGAAGCAATCTTCACATTTGATGCTATCTACACCTTCGCAAATACGTATACAGATGTATCGGCTACAATGATGGTAACAATAAGCTCTCAACTAGCGCGACTTCCGCTCAACTTCTGCGCAATCCGTGCAGAAGTCGGACGGAATTCGCGCCATTCGTTTCAACAAAATGATTTTCCCTTTTCAGCTTGATGATCTACCGCTCACTGCTTGCCGAAAGCCTACACGAAGTGCCAGAAGATACCAGCATGGTCGAACACTTATAGATCATATTATGGACAATGTAAGTTCAACTTATAGCCCCCCCCCCCTCTGTCGCGGTAATTAGTGGCCATGCATACTATAAGATAAATCTGTTGAATTCCAGAAACTTCGTGGTATAAGTGGAGATCTGCGTCGACTCCATGGAAACCCAGCAAAAAGCAACTTTTCGATGAGAATACAATTGCTTGGCTACAGTGGGAAGCTGGAAGATGTGAGTTTGACAAGTTCTGGCCTTTGAATCTAGATTTGGGCAACCTGGGTTAAACTTTGAGCGAATATCTTGGGGGACCTTGGCATGCTATTGCTCAGCGGGAGACAACTTAATCATCACGCTGAAAAGAGAGCATAATTCTACTGAAATAGTCGGCGCGACTTCCGTCCGACTTCTGCACGGATTGCGAATAAGTTGGACGGAAGTCGCGCTTTTTGAAAGCTACGGGAGATAAGATTATTCGCCTAATTTTCGACGTTAAAAATCAGTCCAAACCGCACTATTTCTGGACGGACCAATCAGCGTCACCGAGGCGGTAGAAATTACTGTCTGGGCTAGAGTTTGAAGTTTATTTTATCGGCCATGAATGGATCGTATGAGCTGTCGTTTGGTCTAGCTTAGCTGAAGCTCCTCAAACAGTAAATATTGAAAAAAAAATTGAATGTCCAAATTTTCATGAAAACGACATAATTAACCGAAATTGTAGCTTTTTAGATTGGCTTCTGGGAACCAGCTACGGAAGTCCACGTTAACATGAGTAGTGATTCCACTGAGCAATTGAGAACGAATGTGCAAGTGTCCGATGAGTTGAAGCCACATTTTCGTGTCACGACCATCATGGTGAATTCTTTTTCCCACAGCTTGTGATTTGGTTGACTAAGTGACAAGTTGATAAGTGTTTTAGGAAAGGCCATATGTTATGTTGAGGAAAAATCATTACGAACTCTATGGGAATTCAAAGTTTGAAGGATTTTGCATTGATCTGCTGGCTGAACTGTCAAGAGATCTTGGTGAGTTCCTAATGTTTGCTCCTATTTGGTAGCAGGTAAATAATTTCGTTAATAATAATGAAATGCAAAGGGTTTTCAAAAGGTAAAGTACGTCATGAATGATTTGCAAGTTCACGTGACCCACAAATAGAATCATGAAATCTATAAAGTGGTCTTGTGATTTTGCTAAATAAAATAGATTATGGTAAGAAATTATGAGTGCATTTTCGCATAATACATCAAGAATATATTTGTGCAAATTCACGATGCAATGGTTGAGGAGAAAAGCTCACTGTTTCTGCTATGTTGAGACAGTCAAAAAAAATTGCAGTCTTAAATTCAAAAGAGGGTTCAAAAAATGGAGATTCGTCCAAAGATTTATGAATTATTATCTTAAGAATGATTTAGAAGTTCATAAAATAAAGGTCTTGCCATTTCAATCCGTATAATTTGCTACTGCTTATCCCTACCCCTTTTAAAAAGCGAGGGAAAGTGGAGGTGGGCCTGGAGAGCGGGGGGGGGGGGTGTTTGCGTTATTTCGCGCATTATTTATTTTTCCAGCATACTGATACCTCTACTTTGTTTTCAAGGCTTCACCTACACCATACACGCTGTGCGCGATGGTAAATATGGTAATGACGTTTATGGCAATGGCACATGGGATGGAATGATTGGAGAAATTCTTCGAGGGGTTTGCTTCTTTCCAATTATTCTGTAGGCAATTTCCAAATTTTTTAAATTTTTAGGAAGCCGAAATGGCAGTCGCACCCTTGACTGTGAATTTCCGTCGATCAGAAGTGGTTGAATTTACAAAGCCTTTTCTATCTCTTGGGATTAGCATTCTCTACAGGGTAAGGATTGGCTTTTTTCAAACCCCTGTATTTGAGCAATTAATTTTCCAAATTTTGCAGGTCCCTGATGATCACCAACCCGATTTGTTCTCGTTCCTCAACCCACTTTCATGGGAGATTTGGATGGCTATACTCTCCGCTATAGGTGTGACAAAGTTTTCTCGTCTTTCTCAAACAACAAAACTTTTCTCGCCTTCCAATAAAAAAATTTCTCGTCTTTTTTCCCAATAACAAAACCTTTTCCGCCTTTCTTTGAATAAGAAAACTTTCCCCGCCTTTTTCAATAAAAGAAATACCCCGCCTTTTTCGAATGGTGAAATTTTTCCATCTTTTTTCAGATGACAAAGGTTTTGCCGCCTTTTTTCGAACAACAAAACTTCTCCGCTTTTTTCCAATAACACAACTTTCGCCGCCTTTTTTCCAACAATAACATTTTTCCGCCTTTTTTCTGGATGATGAAACCTTTCCCGCCCTTTTCCGAATGACGGTATTTTTCCCGCCTTTATTCAGCATTAAAACTTTTTCCGCCTAACTTCACACAGTCCCGTGTTACAGTATGCGTTACTCTTGCCATGTATATCGTATCAAGAGTAACCCCATATGAATGGAATTTGAACTTTTCCTGCTGCACAGCACATCAGCCACATCCGGGAGCTGCATTTGTGGATTCACCCGTGGAGTTGTCGAATAATTACAGTTTTTGGAACACTCTATGGTAAGTGCTCACCCTTAAAATTTTCAGCCTAAAGGAAATAGATATGGCGAAAAATGAAAATAACAATTTATGCATTTAGTGCAAGCATTTAAAATACAATTCAGCAAAGAGTTTTGTATTTGTTAAAAAATTATATAATAAGTTTTGGCAGAATTTTTTGGCAAATTGTTGCCAAAGATTGCTGCTGCAGTCATATTAAACTGAAGAAATATTTGGAAAATAGTTATAAATAGAACTTCCGTAAGTCTAACATTTTTCTGGACACTTGCAATAAATTTGCAACAAGAAATGAGAAAATAAAATAAAAAATGATACAAAATTGACAAGGTACCAACACTGATTTATTATTGATACTATTAGGTCGTTCCGAAAGTAATGTCGCTTTTTTCAAATGTATGCCACATCTCGTGAAACAAAGATATGTAAGAGATTCTGGCAGCATTTGATGCAACATTTCATTCTCTTTCTAATGGTTCTGAAGTTGTTGCAATACAGTCAATGAGCTTCCAGAAAAGAGTCAAAATCTGCGACCTATGCTTTTTAAGATGGCCAAGTTTCACAATTTTTCTAAAATTTTATAACAAACCTCAGAAAGAGCTCAAGTAATGGATGGATGGAGAAAACCATACAGGAAACAGCACAATTTTTTCTACTTTCCAGAGCTCGTCATAATTTTTGTATAGATTTTTTGATGGAATTATCGAATTTTAGCATTCTCGCCTCAGACACAAATGCATCAAACACCTATAAATCTTCGGATTTTGAAACTTACAAAGATGGATTATGGTTTGGCAACAATTTTACAAACCAAACGAGCATTCACAGCTTCGGTTTAGCAACTTCCGAAAATTTCGGGTACATCTTGGGGTACCTTGGAAAAGTCGAATTATGATGATTTTATCACGGAAAACTTGATGAATCGGAAACGAAAACAACCGCTAGAAAGAGGAGAAAAAGCTGCATCGAGTGACACCCGAGTCGCTTGCCGGTTGTTGTTCTGTGAGGTTTGACTTGACTAAATATGGAATTTGATGGCATTGAGAAATTGATTGTAGAAGCTCTGAGAAGCAAGCTAAAGAAAAGAAAAAATTACTCTATGTTCTATAGTGTTTGCTCTATCTACCTGCCACTTGTACTTTTTCGGAGATTAGGTACAAAAACTTAGAAAAATAGCCGAACTTGACCCTGGCAAAAAGCATGAGTCGCAGATTTTGGTAATTTTTCGAGAACTCATCAAATATTATGCAGTGAAATTGCAGCCACTAGAAAGAGGATGAAATGCTGCATCGAATGCTCCTAAAATCTTTTGAAAATTGATTCCACGAATAGTGGCGTTCCTTCGAAAAAAGCGACATTACTTTCGGAACGACCTAATATATTATTACTATACTATCTGTTGAGAATTTCATTATCTTTCAGGTATGTCACGAGCACAATGCTAAAAGGTGGATGCGATTTTGGACCTCGTGCTGTGTCGACGAGATTACTGGGTGGTAAGTTCGCTGCCTGGCAACTCATATTTTGTAAAAAAGATATGAGAGTATAATGACGAGAGAGGTGGCATGCGATTTTTTACGAAGATTCAGCGATTCCGGTTTTTTTTACCACTATGTTTTTGAATACGCACCATCTTTCCAGAATTTCAAATAAAAAGGAAATGCGCTTGGGTTCGACATCAATTTCAAATTCTTCATTTTCCTGTCAAAAAAATTGCCAAATACTTGGTGAAAACAATTATATCAATCGAAATTGCTGTGCTTTTCCACCTGTTTACTACCTTTGGATCCATCTCATGTGTTATGATTATGGTTATGAATCGAAACAGATAGATAAATAAATTGAGGTAACGTGTCATTTTTTGAACCCGAACGGCTTTAAATTTAGCACATCTGGAAACCTAAAAGCTGTCCATTTTTGCCTGCTAACTATTTTTTCTTGTTTAAGCTCTTGCTTCTTCAAACTCCAAAGATTTCTTGCAGGAACCTGGTGGGTGTTCACCCTCGTCATCATTAGTGCTTATACGGCAAATCTGGCTGCTGTGCTTACCGTATCGCGTCCTTTCATTCCAATCAAGAACCTAGACGATCTTGCCAATCAAACAACAATTTCATATGGCACCATCAAAGGCGGCAGCACTATGCAATTTTTCCAGGTTGGTGAATATATTGAAATATAAGACGTTGAAAACCGGTAAAAATTACTTGTTGCCTATTTTCAGGAGTCAAGGATCGGTTCGCATGTAAAAATGTGGGAATATATGAAAAATCGCAACGTTTTCGTGAAAGATAACCGAGAAGGGGTTGAGAAGGTGGTGAGGTAAAAATATAGAAACAAAGCGAATTTATCGCTGAGAATAAAATTTTAGTAAAAACTACGCATACCTCATGGAGTCAACTTCGCTTGAATTTGAAGTTTCGCAAAACTGCAATCTCACACAAATTGGTGGTGTTCTTGGCTCAAAGGGTTATGGTATTGCACTGCAGAAAAGTGAGAACAATGTTTCCACACAATGTGTAGAATTATTAGAATTGAGCAAAAGTTTCCTGTTTAGGATCACTTTGGACGGATAGGATTTCTCGACAAATATTACTTTACCAAAAGCGTGGAATTATCGAAATGAAAAAAGCAAAATGGTGGAGGAGCAAGTGAGTTAACTAACATGATAGAAATAAACCTTACACAGTGTCTTCAATATTTTTTAGGTATACAACTGCTATTGAATAAAATCATCTTCTCGTTTCAGAAAAACGAAAGCATAAGATTGCATGAGAGAATAATTAGTAATTATAAATAGGAAGCGCAACAAGCTGTTATTCAAAAACTGGGGGGGAGGGGGGGGGGGGAGGGGGACGAAGAAAACGACTTAAAGGCACAGTCCACCCAAAATGGAGGTTGGCGAGATTATGATGGCATACTAGTGTGGGCCCTCATACTAGACAAACCTCCAAGCTTCGCCGTAAAAGACTGCTTCTGAAGCGAGAAATCCGCTCCGGAAGTAACAAAGTGGGCGGGGCGCCCCCGGTGGTCCACACCCAACTCGAATTCAATGTTTTTGTCGCCTTCAGGCTTTCTGAAAGCCCTGATTTCGAATATGGAGTCGAAAATCCGCGAAACCCCCAAAAATTCCTGTTTCGAGAACCCTCTGCAACAAGTGCAGGCGAGATAAAGCATGCAAGTGGGTGGGGCGACCCGGTCGCCCCGCCCACTTTTGTTATTTCCGGAGCGGATTTCTCGTTTCAGAAGCAGTCTTTTGCGGCGAAATTTGGGGGTTTGTCTAGTATGGGGGCCCACACTAGTATGCCATCATAATCTCGCCAACCTCCATTTTGGGTGGACGGTGCCTTTAAGGTAATTGTCAAAAAAAAATCGGCTTCATAACTGATGGCAGTGGCGTCAAGATTCATGGATAAAAGCGAGCAACACTTTTTGATCAAAGGGGATTTTATGTTAGGCAGGTGAATCAGTTTTGAGTGAATCTTGAAAATGCTTGACATTTGAATGATTTATGATCGTACAGTTTTCGAAAAAGAAAAACTACTCGACATTGGAAACTCAAAGAAATTGATCATTCAATTATTATTTATAAGTAAACAGGTTAATATATTATGTAATTTATATGGGCCAATCTTAAAATTTTTGCTTCCCATTCTCTGAGGGAAAAGGGGGAAGGCGGGAAGGGGCGTTGCTTAGAACTTTCCCGAATTGAAAGATTGTGAGAGATTATGTTATTAATCCTAGATGAACGATAATACGTCTGAAAAGCCGCTGGTTACTTGGCAACCTTCACAGGATCATTGCCCAAATCTGCAAAATAATATTAAAGCAGACTGATTTTTGCTCAAAATTTTTGCGATAATGGTGATAATGATAATTTTGAGAGTTATTGAAGGGGAGAAGAGTACTAGTCAATTTTTTGAGGTCAAGTGAGATAATTAAGCGTTAAAATTTTGTATGTTACTTCAGAGGAGCGACATGCTCAGGAACTGGCTCGGCTGTCAAACAACAACGTTTCTCACTAAGTTTGCATAACGTGGCCGGATTGTTCATCATTTTGGGAGCAGGTCTACTTTTCGGTTTCTGTACCGTGATAATCGAACTATTTATCAGATGTAGTCAACTGGCCAGAAAGGAGAATGTAAGACATTTATCAGAGTTTTAAATTGCGTTAGGTGATCTCAAAATACGCGTTCTAGATCACATTCTGGGCGGAGCTTGTCAAGGAGCTGAGGTTTGCGCTAAATCTCAACAAAGTCGAAGAACATCATTCACGTATGAAGAGCCAGAGGGAAAACGGTGCAAGTTCAACCGAAAGCCTACAGTATACCGCGCAGCTGGCGCATAACGGAAATACGTCGTTGATGCGGAGGAAAAATTAGGATTACTGTAATATTACTGTAGTCGTAGGACACACTTTTCTGTTGTTAATATCTATAAGCGCTAGTCCCAGACGAAGGCGGATGCACATATGAGGTGCGCAGCACACACGCAGCGACTCGCGAGCGGTTATCGGTAACTATTGTGCGCTTCAAGGATGACAAGAGCTCCACTGCCGCGTTGCACTCGCTTCGCAACTAGAAACCGCCTACATCCAAGACTAGAGTTTATTGGTTCAGCTCTTGAAAAACTGTACGTTTCTATAGATATTGACTGTAAAATTTAGATCTACATCTATAGATATTTATTGTAAGATTTAGATTCATATTCAAAAATGTTTTCGTCACAATTTTCAGATTTTCCTTTTCTTAACTTATTCTACATAAAAGCTTAAGTTAGAATTTTGACAATAGATAGAAAAACGAGTAATAAACTATGCTATCTGAGTTGCATTGCAGAAATAGATTCTCCGTTTCGCGAATTTGATGGTAATCTGTGCGACTGCACACAAACATAAAATGGTGATTTACTGACCGTAGAACGTAAATACTTTTTGGTGTTTTCCGAATTTTACTAATATCTGATAACAATTTTCCAAAGATTTTGGCATTACAGCTAAATTTTCATCTTTTCTATCAATATTATTACTTTGCAAGTTTTGGCATCAACATTGATATCATCTGTTTATATGTTCTAACTCACAAAAGTTTTATATGGCCCGCTAAGATAAATCGAACTAAAACCCGGGTATTAGGTCTGATCAATTTTGCGAATTTTATCTGAATTTATTATTACAAGCTTTTGCTTTCTGTGTATGTATTTCTACAACAGCAGAAAATTCCAATAATTTCTGAGAACTACGCTTCAACTTCTTCCAGTTTTCGCAAACTCATGAGAAGAAATGAATTAGAGCGTTATAAATAAAACCCTTATTTAACTGAAAAAAAACAGAAGCTTACCAAGTGCACTACGTGTTCTATCTACTGCAAAAGTTATAATTTTTCGATGATGCGCGGAGGAAAATCGACAGGTAAACAAAACTGCAACAGAATTGATTAACGATGTGTTTATGTGATTAATTTGGGCTGCCACAGCTAGCAGAGGAAAAACATAGAAGCAAAAAGAAGGCGGAAAAGTGCAAACTCGAAAAAGAAAACAGAAAACACGGCGCGATACGACAGAACAGCGAATTTTATGGATCAATATTATAACGACTTGGTCAAGATGGGTGGAGATCAAACTACTGTAACCATTTTCAATTTCTAAACTTGATGAGTTGCATTTTCAGATAAATGACAACGGCCAAAAAAATTGCGATGTTCTCAGTGCAGTAGAGATAATAGATAACACTTACAACATTCTATCTACGATTTATTCAAAAAAGTTCGACTTTTTCACATAAAAAAGAGAAAACCGATTCCATTGCATGATAAATTGTGCATATGACTCTCAAATTGTACATAAATTGAAAAAAAATGCAGAAATCATCGTATGGTACAATAGAATACAAAGAACACAAGTAATAAGTCGTTCGGTTTGATCTATTCGGTGCTATTCTTCCATGAGGAAGACAACCTGCAGTGAAAATTATAAAAATGATAAAATGCATAGGCATCCACCCAAATTCTCGAATGCCATATCTTCTTAATTCTCAGGTTTTTTGTGACCCTGATTGAATGTAAAATGTGAAATGCCTGGAAACCAAAAAACCCCTTGATAACAAGCTTTTTTGGGCAAGCGCGGAAGAGTAACCTTTGATTCAACTGGCTTGGCTTTGGGAAGGCGGGGCTTTGTGGCGTAATTAAGGCCGCTCGCGCCCGCGACGCACTTGCGTCTTTGCGCGCGAGTGCTCTCTGATCACTAGCTAGCCTTGATTAGATCACGAACCCCGCCTTCTCAAAGCCAAGCCAGTTGAATCAAATGGTAGAACAGGGCTAGTCCTGGTGGATGCACGCAGGAACATATGTATACAGTATACGTATCGATTGAGCGTGCCTCATGAAAACGCGTCAGGGTATGAATGGGCGGGGCTTGTCTGAAATAGGCGGATGTGCTAGCTTTATGAAAATCGGAGAGTCATTCCCCTTCTAAAGACCTTTCAATAAACCGGACCACCATAATTCACTTCATCTCCTGCCTGTGGGCAACATTATCAAAGAAGCATAGAATTTGGGTAGACGCTGATTCACATGCACACTTCAAACAAATTCAGGCTCCCGCCAGAGTGCCGAAGTTATGCCAGCGCTACGCCAGCATTTCGATCGATACACGTGTATTTCGTTGGGGCGGGGCTAGCTGAGAGCTAACGAAATGCACGTGTATCGATCGAAATGCTGGCGTAGCGCATAACTTCGGCACTCTGGCGGGAGCCTCAAGATTCTGAGGTTTTGATGCTGTTCAATAGCGGGGCACCTAACTGGTAATCGCCCAACTTCCACTGCAAAACATAAAGTCCAAAGCGAGAAATCGCCCCAGTAGGAAGAAGTATCCCAAGTGGCTCCGCCCATCAACATGGGTGGTCTGCAAATATCATTTCGAAACTGGCTTCAGGGTAGACAGAAACGCCGAAAATCTAATAATTATAACGAAGGGGTGGATTCATGACAACTACAGGTATACTGAAGCCCAACTTTTGGGCGTTTTATCTTCAGATCACCGAATTTGATGGACGGAGCCACCTAGGCCGTGCCTACATTCTGGAGTGATTTTCTCGCTTCGGAATTCATGTTTTGCGGCCAGATTTGGATTACTTAATTAGGGGCCACACTATCGTACAACATGAAAGATTTCTCAATTTGAGTGGACATTGATTTAAAAATCAAAATTAATTCAAAGAAATCCTACCGCTGCAATTGCCAATCCAAGTAATGCCGCGGTTACAACAGCGATAACGATGAGCACGATTTTGTTCAGACTCCTCAGACGATCGACAGCTTTGCCAATCGCCGATCTCTGCTCTTCAGGTGCATCGGGCAATTCGATTTCAGTCATTTCTCAACTCTAGGAGAGATACACTGAACAGTTAATTACAGCGCTGCACTTTCACAAAAAAAGCTATTGACAAAAGAACAGTATGGATTTGAGCAATATGGCGCCTGATTTTTTTAGTAACAGGTAATTTTTGTGAGGATTCTCAGCTGCGTTTTCGTATATATGTCTATGCAACGAAAATCACAAAGATTTCTTACATCATTAGACATATAAAAGAAAGTTAGCGTAAACTCTCCGCATCTTTTGCGGTAAGCAATATATATATATATATATATATATATATATATATATACATATATATATATATATATATGTATATATATCAAAGACTAGCGGCCCTACGGGCCGCTGTAAGTGGGTCGGGGCAGATACATTAGTATTTGCTTAGTTGGGACTGCATCTAACTATAAACGGTGTTCACATCTCCTCTCTGAAGAAGCTAAATAAATCAAAAATCAGACTTTGCAGGTAGACACAAAAAAAATACCTGATCTTTCCCTCCAAATGCCACCACCAGATTTCACTTACTTGATACACTTACTTCTTTCGTTGCTCACTTAAAATCAACATAATCGCTTTCCCAAAATGCTGACCAATGCAGATGCATGGTGGGTCTTTCCTCCGGGAGCAAAGGAAGGCTGGTGTTTTCGATTTCGACAGAATTTCTGCGGCTGAAGTTTTGTCGAAATCGAGGTTTTTGTGGAACTTGTGAGAAAAACAAATTTTCGCTCTAAAAACAGGTCAGCCACAAAAAGGCTTGCCGGAGCTCAACCAGCGAGACCACAGCTTCCATGCTGGTCTTCACTCGGGAGCAAAGGCATTTTCTGGCTGAAATTTTGTCGAAATCGAGGTTTTTACCGTCTTTGGTGGAAATTGTGGGAAAAACAAAAAATTTTCGCTCTAAAAATAGGTCAGCCACAGAGAAAGTTTGCCGGAGCTCAACCAGCGAGACCACAGCTTCCATGTTGGGTCTTCACTCCGGGAGCAAATGCATTTTCTGTGGCTGAAATTTTGTAGAAATCGAGGTTTTTACCGGTTTTGGTGGAAATTATGAGAAAAAACAAGAATTTTCGCTCTAAAAACTGGTCAGCAGCAGAGAAAGAACGTGCCAAAAACCCACTTTTGCTGTTCAATTGCTCTTCGGATTGGGATTTTCGTCAACATTTCACAAAATATTGAGCTCTGACGACTATTCTATGAAGAATTACAATGCTCAGATTTCCTACCAAACTGTTATGCAAAATGGGAGAGGGGGCGGGGGGCAAGGGAGTCTTTAGAATGAAGGAGGAATGTAGCTAAGGACGTGAAAAGAAGTGGAACTGTGTATGTAAGCAGTAGGTATGCTACAGCTGTGAGGGCCGTGATCAAACCGAATATACGGTATTTCATCACAATTTGTCATCGCAAGCAAAGTCAAAACACCTGCCGTCATCGCATGCCTATAGGGTGTGATCAATTGACAAATGTCGAGACACTCTCTCCTCTCTAGCTTGCCTGCGGATGGGAGTACACCGTTTCTCTAGAATTCTCGTCGTCCTTAAAGGCAGTGTCTCACCAAAATTAGTTGCCGAGATTTTTGCATTTTGCAAGCCTGTCGGACAGTGTCTAGCACTGTATGGGCTCAAAATCGCACGACGTTCCCAAAAACCCCGTTTTCTGGAGGCCCCGCGGAAGCAACGTGGACGAGTTGTACCTTCCAACTTCAGCCTCCCACAGTGGCAGCAACAGAGGGGAGGGTGGATGGCCAAGTGGAGGGACATGTTCAAACGCGTAAGGGGGGAGACCGAAGGAGTCGTCCGCGCGTACTAATTCGCTCTCCGCGTACCACTTTGAGCGAATTTTTCTCACCGTGGAGGGGGTCAAATTGAATGGGACTTGTTGCAATGGCCTATTTGGGGGTCCCTATGATAGACTATGCGAAGATCCGCGCGACCTTAACTCTGGTGAGACACTGCCTTTAACCTCTGCGAGAGAGCGTGATTTCTCGCGTGCTCACACTGTCAACAACTCTCCCTCCGCAACGCTGAAGGGGGGCGCCAGGGTGGAAGAACAAGGTATGGTTTTCGTCGTCTCGATGGATGTTTCCAGTTTATATATAAGAAAGATATCGAAAAAACAGTTCATGCCCTAAGTGCCGCTTGAAGACCGTTCAAAAATTATAAGAACTGCCCCAAGCGTATAGAAATCTGTTTCCCTGCACAATCGGTTGCTGACTATTTAGAATGAAAGTTTATGCCCTAAGTGCCGCTTGAAGACCGTTCAAAAATTATAAGAACTGCCCCAAGCGTATAAAATCTGTTTCCCTGCACGATCGAGTTGCCTTATTGCCCTACGTGCCGCTTAGAGACCGATAGTAATTATTTAAAATGACAATTTATGCCCTAAGTGCCGCTTGAAGACCGTTTAAAAAATATAAGAACTGCCCCAAGCGTATAGAAATCTGTTTCCCTGCCCGATCGAGTTGCCCTACGTGCCGCTTACAAACCAATAATATCTATATCTAGAAGACAGTTCAAGCCCTAAGTGCCGCTTGGAGACCGTTTAAAAGTTATAAGAACTGCCCCAAGCGTATAGAAATCTGTTTCCCTGCACGATCGAGTTGCCCTATTGCCCTACGTGCCGCTTACAGACCGATAGTAATTATTTAAAATGACAATTTATGCCCTAAGTGCCGCTTGAAGACCGTTTAAAAAATATAAGAACTGCCCCAAGCGTATAGAAATCTGTTTCCCTGCCCGATCGAGTTGCCCTACGTGCCGCTTACAAACCAATAATATCTATATCTAGAAGACAGTTCATGCCCTAAGTGCCGCCTGAAGACCGTTCAAAAATTATAAGAACTGCCCCAAGCGTATAGAAATCTGTTTCCCTGCACGATCGAGTTGCCCTATTGCCCTACGTGCCGCTTACAGACCGATAGTAATTATTTAAAATGACAATTTATGCCCTAAGTGCCGCTTGAAGACCGTTTGAAAGTTATAAGAACTGCCCCAAGCGTATAAAATCTGTTTCCCTGCACGATCGAGTTGCCCTGCGTGCCGCTTACAAACCAATAATATCTATATCTAGAAGACAGTTCATGCCCTAAGTGCCGCCTGAAGACCGTTCAAAAATTATAAGAACTGCCCCAAGCGTATAGAAATCTGTTTCCCTGCCCGATCGAGTTGCCCTACGTGCCGCTTACAGACCGCTAGTAACTATTTAAAATGAAAGTTCATGCCCTAAGTGCCGCCTGAAGAACGTTTGAAAGTTATAAGAACTGCCCCAAGCGTATGAAATCTGTTTCCCTGCACGATCGAGTTGCCCTACGTGCCGCTTACAGACCGCTAGTAACTATTTAAAATGAAAGTTCATGCCCTAAGTGCCGCCTGAAGAACGTTTGAAAGTTATAAGAACTGCCCCAAGCGTATAGAAATCTGTTTCCCTGCACGATCGAGTTGCCCTATTGCCCTACGTGCCGCTTACAGACCGATAGTAATTATTTAAAGTGAAAGTTTATGACCTAAGTGCCGCTTGAAGACCGTTCAAAAATTGTAAGAACTGCCCCAAGCGTATAAAATCTGTTTCCCTTCCCGATCGAGTTGCCCTACGTGCCGCTTACAAACCAATAATATCTATATCTAGAAGACAGTTCATGCCCTAAGTGCCGCTTGAAGACCGTTTGAAAAATATAAGAACTGCCCCAAGCGTATAGAAATCTGTTTCCCTGCCCGATCGAGTTGCCCTACGTGCCGCTTACAGACCGATAGTAATTATTTAAAATGACAATTTATGCCCTAAGTGCCGCTTGAAGACCGTTTGAAAGTTATAAGAACTGCCCCAAGCGTATAAAATCTGTTTCCCTGCACGATCGAGTTGCCCTGCGTGCCGCTTACAAACCAATAATATCTATATCTAGAAGACAGTTCATGCCCTAAGTGCCGCCTGAAGACCGTTCAAAAATTATAAGAACTGCCCCAAGCGTATAGAAATCTGTTTCCCTGCCCGATCGAGTTGCCCTACGTGCCGCTTACAGACCGCTAGTAACTATTTAAAATGAAAGTTCATGCCCTAAGTGCCGCCTGAAGAACGTTTGAAAGTTATAAGAACTGTCCCAAGCGTATGAAATCTGTTTCCCTGCACGATCGAGTTGCCCTACGTGCCGCTTACAGACCGATAGTAATTATTTAAAATGACAATTTATGCCCTAAGTGCCGCTTGGAGACCGTTTGAAAGTTATAAGAACTGCCCCAAGCTATAGAAATCTGTTTCCCTGCCCGATCGAGTTGCCCTACGTGCCGCTTACAGACCGATAGTAACTATTTAAAATGAAAATTTATGCTCTAAGTGCCGCTTGAAGACCGTTTAAAAGTTATAAGAACTGCCCCAAGCGTATAGAAATCTGTTTCCCTGCCCGATCGAGTTGCCCTACGTGCCGCTTACAGACCGCTAGTAACTATTTAAAGTGAAAGTTTATGACCTAAGTGCCGCTTGAAGACCGTTCAAAAATTATAAGAACTGCCCCAAGCGTATAGAAATCTGTTTCCCTGCCCGATCGAGTTGCCCTACGTGCCGCTCACAGACCGCTAGTAACTATTCAAAGTGAAAGTTTATGACCTAATTGCCGCTTGAAGACCGTTCAAAAATTATAAGAACTGCCCCAAGCGTATAAAATCTGTTTCCCTGCACGATCGAGTTGCCCTACGTGCCGCTTACAGACCGATAGTAACTATTTAAAATGAAAATTTATGCCTTAAGTGCCGCTTGAAGACCGTTTGAAAGTTATAAGAACTGCCCCAAGCGTATAAAATCTGTTTCCCTGCACGATCGAGTTGCCCTGCGTGCCGCTTACAAACCAATAATATCTATATCTAGAAGACAGTTCATGCCCTAAGTGCCGCCTGAAGACCGTTCAAAAATTATAAGAACTGCCCCAAGCGTATAGAAATCTGTTTCCCTGCCCGATCGAGTTGCCCTACGTGCCGCTTACAGACCGCTAGTAACTATTTAAAATGAAAGTTCATGCCCTA